ACGCTGGTGGCCTTTCTCCATTAATTAATAACATTTTGTACAATTTGCTGTCAGAGAAACATATGAGCTTTTCTCATGGAAACTATACAGCTTCTCGATTTAGTTACATGGGTCTCCCCCAGGGCTCATGTTTAAGTCCCCTGTTGTATAATTTCTACGTCAGAGATATTGACAATTGTCTAAGTGACAACTGCACGTTGAGACAACTTGCAGATTACGGCGTAGTGTCTATGACAGGACCCAAAGGGGTCGACCTGCAAGGACCCTTGCAGGATACCTTAGATAATTTGTCTACTCCACGGAGAAAACTGAGTTGGTCGTTTTTTCTAGGAAGCATAGCCCAGCACAACCGAAGCTTCATCTTTTGGGTAATTGAGTATCTGAGACAAAAATGCCAACAAAGGATCAATTTTTTCCGAACAATTACCGGAACGTGGTGGGGATCTCATCCGCAAGATCTTCTAACGTTGTACCGGACAACGATTTTATCGGTTTTAGAGTACGGTACTTTAAGCTTCCAGTCGACGACTAAAACTCATATCATCAAACTGGAACGTATCCAGTATCGTTGTCTTCGTATAGTGTTAGGATGCATGCACTCGACTCATACGATGTGTCTAAAAGTGTTGGCGGGCATTCTGCCACTACCGGATCGATTTTCGGAATTGTCCCTCAAGCTCCTCACCCGTTGTGAAGTTAGGAACCCACTGGTAATCGAAAACTTTGAGAAGCTTTTAGAGCTAAACCCTCAAACTCGTTTTATGTCATTGTACTACATGTACATAACACAGGATGTCAGTCCTTCACAGCATAATCCTCATCGTGTATGTTTCTCTCTCTCTTTCTGTATGTAATTTATGCTGCAAAGTTTGGCCAAGTTGCCAATTGAGTCATACCATCACGCTCGTCCACGCATATTAATTGGAATGAAGCATGCTCAACTGGGACTGACGTTGAAGAGCCGTGAAGGTGAATTAGGTCAACCGATCGCGATGAAGACACGACTAGGGTGGACTGTTTACGGAGGATTGTGTTCCGGAGAGACACCGAATATGTTCCATTACACATTCCACGTACGCTCATGCAGCGAGGAATCCGACGAAAAACTACATCAAGCCATGAAGGAGTACTTTACCCTTGATAGTCTCGGATTTATAAAGCCTGCTAAAGTGCTTCAATCGTCCGAAGATGAGCGAGCTCAATCACTCCCGTACACGTTTCAATGGTGAGCGTTATGAGACAGGCCTGCTTTGGCGATACGACGACATCCGTCTACCCGATAGTCGAGAGATGGCACTACGTCGCCATCAGTCCTTAGAAAAACGTATGGCGAAGGATCCGCAGTTGTCGGAAGTACTACAGCTGAAGATTGCCGACTATACTGCAAAAGGGATACGTTCGCAAGCTGTCCGATGATGAAGTTAAGCAGCAATCTGCTCACACATGGTTCCTACCAGTATTCCCAGTCACAAATCCAAACAAACCTGGAAAAATGAGGATAGTGTGGGACGCGGCGGCCAAAGTTCACGGAAAGTCACTGAATCCTGCTCTACTAAAAGGACCGGATCTACTGTCTTCTCTTTTTGCGATTCTGCTTCGGTTTCGCCTGCATCCTATTGCAGTAACTGGAGATATCCGTGAAATTTTTCACCAGGTGCTAATCCGCGAGGAAGATCAACGATACCAGTGCTTCTTTTGGACGAATGAAAATGGAAACCTCGTAGTGTACGCAATGCGAGTCATGACCTTTGGGGCGTGCTGTTCTCCGAGTAGCGCTCAATACGTGAAGAACGTCAACGTGGAGCGTTTCAAGAATGAATACCCAGTCGCATACGAAGCCATCACAAAGTCACACTATGTAGATGACATGCTGATCAGCGTTGCCAACGAGGAAGATGCGATTCAGACTGTGAAGGACTGTTAGGTACGTTCACTCACAAGGTGGGTTCGAGATCCGAAACTGGAACAGCAATTCAAGACAGGTGACATCAGCGCTGCAAGAAGGAAACACGGAGGAAAAGAGTCTCGATCTGTCGTCAGAGTTATCCACTGAGAAGGTCCTAGGCATGTGGTGGAATACAACGTCTGACACATTCACCTACAAGGTCGGTTGGAATCGTTACGACGGAGCTCTGCTGAAAGGTCAACGATGGCCCACTAAGCGTGAAGTTCTACGAGTCCTCATGACTATATTTGACCCACTTGGACTGATCGCACACTTCCTAGCCTACCTGAAAGTCTTGTTACAAGAGATCTGGCGATCCGGTATTAGCTGGGACGAAGAATTTGTCGAAGATGCGTTCGCGAATTGGCTCACCTGGCTGAAAATCTTGCCCAAAGTCGAGAACGTTCAGATTGCTCGGTGCTACAGTACCAGATATCCGTTCATCGAAGCCGATGAAGTACAGCTACACACCTTCGTAGATGCCGGAAAAAATGGAATGGCAGCTGTATCATTTCTTCGATTTGTCAAGAATGGGACGATCCACTGCTCTCTCGTCACCTCTAAAGCCAGAGTAGCACCATTGAAGCTAACTTCGATTCCTCGACTGGAGCTGCAAGCAGCGGTGATAGGGATACGGCTTACTCATACGATCATTGAGACGCTGTCTATAATCATCACGAGAAAGTTCTACTGGTCGGACTCAAAGGGATGGTTTGTGCTGGATCAACTCCGATCATCGACGGTACACTCAATTTGCCAAGCAAGCTGAACGTAGCGGATGATGGTACAAAGTGGGACGTACAGCCTGATCTATCTTCTGAGAGCAGGTGGTTTAAAGGACCGGACTTTCTCTAGACAACCGAGGACAAGTGGCCACAGTCAGCAATCCGGAACGAACCGACAGACGCTGAACTCATAGCAAATCTTTCAGTCCACTACGCTCTCCCAAAACCAATCATTTGCGTCTCGGACTACTCCAGCTGGGAAAGATTGAGAAATGTTGTCGCACGTGTGCTACGGTTCACAACAAACTGCTGCTCCAAGAAACGGAAGCAGCCGATTAAAACGGGACCTCTCATCCAAAACGAATTCTACACAGCTGAAGCATACCTGCCTACGATGAATTTTTCTTCATTTATAGTCAACAGTCACTCGCCAGCTGGCAACATAAATGGAGTAAAGGGTTTTTGGGACGTTGGCTATATTCGATCATCCCTAAGGTGTCGAAAAGTCCTTGGTTCAAAGGGTTCGATGTGGGTCGAGACTCCATTCGTGTGATGTCTCGCCTCATGTCCAATCACTATTCGTTAAACTCTCACTTGTTCCGTGTTGGGCTGGGGGACAGCAATCTCTATGAATGTGGACAAGGTTACCAAGACGTAAATCACATCATTTGGTCTTAGATTGTAAGTTTTACTAACCATGTGTTTAGTTTATGTTTTGTTCGTGCGGGTTTTTTTTTTTGTTTCTGCAATAATTGTATGATTACACTACTGATACCAAATTGCATAGGAATAACTTCATGTTTTAGGAATATTGAAATATTTGTATCGTAAATCATATCTCAGACCTCCTTCTCCCTCTGCCCATCCATAAAACTGTAAATCTGCACTAACCTCGAGACGACCACGAGTAATCGGTTAAATTCCTTTAACCCTATATTTAAGACATTAATTATGCAAAACGCAAATGATAACTTGGCTCTGAAAAGTTTATTCGATTGAGCCTGTACAAATAAAGTAATACAAAAAAATCTTAACGGAATTGCTATGGAGTACGAGAAAAGCTACAGCAACGGCCGGGCAAGTCAGGTACATAAGACACTTGTCTACGACAGTCGGGCTCTGGAATAGTAGTCGTGACTCAATATGAAGAATTGATAACATAAAATGGCATCTTTACTAAAAAGGAATATCAAATTTTAAAAATTTAAAAAAAAATCGTCAATTTGAATGGAATTGCTCGCGCGGAAAACCCCAAACGCGACAATCGATTTTAATCTCGTTATGTACGTTAAACATAGTGTCGGAAATAGTGCGTGTGGAGATTTACGGTGTCCAACTTGAACGACGATACACGTTTACGTTCGAACCGTTTTTTTTTCATACAAAAAAAAACGTAAACGAGAATATGGATACTTATCATCATGAATCATGATTACTGCCAATGCTTAAAGTGGTACTGTATGTTCAAGAAGCAGGTTATCGAAAGCATCAAATAGCGCATCATTCTCAGAAAGCACAGAAGTTGACTGAACTTTCAGTAGAACCTTCTGAATTATTAAACTTGACATAAATTAGCCCAAATTGCTTAAGTTTGTAAGATGAGCGTGTTTGCCACAACACGCGCTACCAACATCTCGACTGAAGACCAGCCAATCTAACGATTTCTCATAAGCATTGATGTCATCTAAACTAAATCAGCAATACAATCTGACCACTTATTTTTAAACTGCATGATTTGTAATTCAAATGAACGGAAAAACCAGAAATAGATCGCCCAAAAACTAAGAACACAAAGAAACAGCAGTTCCGCTGCTCGATCGATGTCTATATGTATCCGACCGCGTTTGTACCGGCTGTCGCTGGTCGCATTTGTGAGGTGCATGGGAAAAAAGAAAACTTTCGTTAAGTTTTTCATGTACGTTTTTTTTTCGAATCGAGGGCCGCTTGTAAACGATTTTTTTTTAATCTTTTTTTTCTAAAGTGGCGAAAATTGTAAATAAATACAAGATTGCCACACACCGATGGGAGTAAACAATTTCACAAGTATATGTTCGTGAATGAGGATAGCATCAAGCGAATTTAGACCAGGAATCTCGGTAGCCAATGTTTACGCAATATCACAGTCTCGTGTGAAGGCGGGCATTTAGTTTAAATACGCAGCATATGTCAGTAGCATCAGGACCATCGGATACATTTTGAGTTTGTTTTAAATATAAATAAAAATAAAGACTGCGTTTTCTACTGGCCAACTCAAAGCACTTGAAGCAACGATAAGCTGCCGCGAATGCCACAGCTCTAAATACGTGATAATCAATCTATCATCTTTACAGGGTAGCGTGCCATTGAGATCGCCGACGCCTCCGACCATGGCAAGTCATCCATCGTCTAGATTTAGAATTTCAAGAGCCATGCCATCGTGGGTGGTAAGTAGGATATCTTATCTCGCTTAATGGAGCCGTTTGACTTGACGTCATACTGTTCATCTTTTGCAGACCGAGAGCAGCGATCGAGTAGGACCTCCACCACCTCTTCCACCGGCCAATGCTGATCCAGAATACGAAGTCATTGACGTGGTAAACCAGCAATATTCCAATACACCTCCACCAATCCCCGTAAAATCAGCCGGTGAGTGTGTAGCGAGTAAACGCAATCTGATTTCAGAATAAAATATAAACAATCGTCTATCATGTAATTATTTTAGACATTAAACGGATGACCGTTATGAAGTGCGACTTGTGTGGATCTGGAACGCCGGTCGTTCGCTGCGAGCAGTGCGAACATAACCTCTTTTGCGCATCATGTGACGATCGCTACCATCGCCATCCAAAACGTCAATCACATACCAGAACCGTAAGTAGTTTGAAAACGTTTGCTACAAGAGCTTACCATGCATGACCTTTCAAAGTACCACCACCACACCATTCGAAACGGATCATAAACATCCTGTTTTGCCCACCCCCAGCTGTTTCCCTGAAAAAGCGAAAATTTGGCAAATTGTAATGCACCTCTCATCTCTCATTGGCTCTGGAATAAAGTCATGACCTTTGGCGATTTGCAATGTCTCACCGCATGTCATTAAATGAATATTTTTTCAAACAACCATCCCCATATAAATCATGTCAACACTTTTTTCGGTAACCGTTGCGTCCTCGTTCCGTCTGCGCGTCATCTTTTATAACCGAGCAAAACTGTTTCTCTTTCTCTCACCCTACCTACAGCCCGTAGAATTGCAAACTACTACCACCACCACTGCTACTACCAGTACTACTGCTACTGCGGTGAAGCCCCCGTTGCCGCCAAAAGGCGAGGCTAGCACGACCGGTCCCCTGGCGCCACCCAGAAGAAACAAACGTCCCGGCAGTTTCCTCTTTCCCAGTCCCCTGCTAGGGCGGAAGCAGGACCAGGACCAGGTACGCTGCTGTAGCATTTCTTGAGGAACTAGCAAATCATAGTTATATTATGACTAAATCGAATCTGACATCCGTCAATTGAGTGCATCATGAAATTATTCATCCTTTCCAAGCATATTATTTGCCAAATTAATACAATCTACACTTTCGTTTGCTCACAAAACGCTTTGTAAATGGATCCTTACCCAAGCAACATTACATGTTTTATGAAGGTTTTAAAGCATTCAGCAAGTCTAAATTATGGCGTACAAGAGTTAGATAGAATATGAAATGTTGCTTGGGTAGAAACGCATTTTTTTAGTGCTGCTCGGTTTGTTTTCAATGATTTCAACTTCTTAATAGACAAAAATTATTTTAGCTCGAAATTATGTTTGGATCATTTTGAACTTCTGCTCAAACTATTCTGTAGTTAAACAAAGCCTGTAGTTAAAAAAATAACACAAACTGTAGAGACGCATTACACAATAAGCGCCACCTTTTACAGTTAAGGCAAAGCATCACATCGTCCCTTTTCTATAAACATGGAAAAAAAATTCTCGCAAAAGTCAAAAGAATGTTATTTTGAAATCGAACAAACAGTTAAATATACGTTTTGTTTTAAACTAAACCCGCATGTGTTTTATTTTTCTTCACTCGCTCCCTAGATGAAATTTGCTTTTCCTACTAACCCAATAAAGATAAGTTGCCCAACCGCTTAGCTATCCGTTTCTCACTTATAAAAATCTGTAAAATGTATAACCTTGTAAAAGATCACTTTTGTTAGGCCACTTACTGAACGCTCTTCTTTTTCTTATTTTTCCTACTGGCTATTACGTATTTTCTGGAACTTATTGCCTGCTCTTTTCTTCATGATCTTGGATTGCTTTGCCAACATGCTACGGCTGTTCCATTATTGTAATCGTATATTGTGTGGCTATGGGATGACGAGTAAATTTCCCAAAGTTCCTCTTATGGAGCTTGATTTGACACACTGAGGTATTCTGAAAACCCTTCAGTGGACCGTGAAGAAAATATATTATTTGAATTTGCCTTGACCTGGATGCAGGTCAAATTTCAGTCGGTTTCTTAATGTCCTTTGTTGAAGCACAGCCATAGACCCCTGGATCTGTTCTTCCGGATTCCAATCCAGTGCTTGCCTGCGGAGTAGTAGAAAGTAGAAGTAAAATAATGTTTATTTCTGTTGATTATCATTGTACATTGATTTAACATTTCAATTGATTAGCCTATCGGGCTCATCATCTTTGGATATTCTAATTTAATATTTGCGTTTTTCAACTAGTTTACAGAATATCCCTTTGGGGGTGTTTTTGATTGAATTGAAAAAAAAAATGGAATAACCTACCTAACTACGAGTATAACTCAACGTAACGTGCTAGATCACGTATGATCTGATGATCTGATCTCAGACAGATGTCTCCGAACCTTTCCAAGAAGACTGTTATTTGCTCTTCTATAGTCTGAAGGCTAGCCAGGCGTTGGACCTTAGAATTTCGCGTCCGTGGAGGACTGATTAGGATCATCCTAAGAATCTTGTTCTGCTCTGGATCCTTTGGAGTTTAAGGTGATGGCATTTGGTGCAACTCTTCCAGATTGGCATACCGTGCTCGATTACGGAAAAGATGATTTGCTTGTAGACAGCAAGCTTGTTTTTCAGGGACAGGGTGGACTTCCTGTTGAAGTGGATATAATGATCTTATCAAGATGTTGCACTCGGTTTTCGTTTTGTCAACGTGTTCCATGAAAATCAGCTTGCTGTCGACCATACGGTAGAGTACCTCTTTGGACCATTCCCCTACTGTGTCGTTTAGGTTGATCTTATTAATCTCTGACGGAACAATTCTGTGAGATTTGGAATGCGAAAGTCTTCACCACGTTTATACTGATCTTCAATCTGTTGAAATAATCACACAGAACATCCAGTCCTATCTGAAGTTTTGCGGCCAGAGCTCCTAATAGATGACGGATGTGTCATCTGCGAATAGGGGCAACGATGCACCATCAGGGAGAGCCAGCATATTGGAGGTGAACAAGTTAAACAGGATGCTTTCTTGTAAAACACCCGTACCGATGTTGAATGCAACGAATTGAAGGCATTACGGAAGCAAAGCTGTTCTTCGAGCCGGTGGTAGACTGCCCTTTCGAAAAGCTTAGGTAACCCCGAGAGAAGGCTGATGGGTCATTAATTTGAAGCAGAGGACGGACCTTTTCCAGGATTCAGGATGGGGATGATTATATCTGACTTCCAGCACGAGGTGAAGTAGCCAAATCTAATCAGTGCCAATTGGTTGAAGAGCTGGAACTCATGTGTTTGACTTCTAGATTCAGAATTTGGTCGAAACCTGGGGCCTTCATGTTTTACATGATTTGATATAGGCCAACAGTTCGTCAACCGTAATCTCGAATTCCACTGGAAAATTGTTGGGAATTTGATGGAGGTTGGCTGCAATTTTATCAACCACAGTATCGTATGGATTTGCTATGTTCAGTCCGAGATTATGAGAGCTGACGAAGTGCTGATCTATAGCATCAGCCTTCTCTTCAGGGGTTATCAGATGCGCGACTGAATCATTGGATTGATTCAACGGTACAAGTGGTGGATTGGGCCTTGGCTTATTTTTAAGGATTTTTGTTAGTTTCTAGAAAGGCTTTGCACAATCTGGGAGAGAACGGATCTTATTAGCAAAATCTTAATTTCTGAGAATGGCCTGAATGATCTTTGTTAATCGACTACAATTGGTCTGTAAGTAAAACTGACCAGAACGCTGGTAGTGCCTACGAATGGTGTTACGGAGCCTAATGAGATCTTTCGTAGGGCTGTCAAGGTTCAGAGTGTTACTTACCTGTCTGGATACTGGCACGTGTTGTTCCTGGCTCTTGTTTCTGAGCGAGCAAGCGTTCCAATTGACAATTTTGATGGCTTCACGGTCCCTACTTATTGATGAGCGATATGGCAGCATGAAGCTGTTCTGTTCGGGTCCTGAAAGTGCGCTGGATCATGATGACTTCTTTCACGAGTGTAACCAATTCCGCCGTTGAAAGCAGAGTGTCTGTATTCTCGATCGCTGTTGAAGGGGGAGCATCTAAATGCTGCCACGATAGTCCCGGGGGTGGAGAGGTGCTTCGGGATGGAACGGATGCCGCATATGACTGACGACTTGAGTTTACCGAAGTGTTATGCACCCCAGCTGACGGCGGGACCGAAGCAGCTGCAGCAGCCAAACGGTTGTTGAGTGGAAGCCGTTGGGTAAATCGGATTTAGGTCGGGTTCGGGAATAGGTCGGACTTCGGGTCATAAAATTTCCATACCCGGCCATCTCTACCGGCCTCAGATAGCCTAGTCAGTAAAGGAACGGTATTACCAACCGGTGGAAACTAACGATTAAAAATTGGTTCACTACTTGACTAGCTTATTGGTCCTTAGCAAATCGATTAACGTACCCCATTCTAGTAGAAATTCTAGTACTACACTATGTTTGTTTTGATTCGCTGTAAAAGTTTGACAGATAAAATGAGAGGTTCTTGGTGGTTTTCCTATGTTTCGAGGGGTGCATCGATTAGCTTGGGACCGAAGAGAGTACCAGAGCTGAGCCAAAAAGTTGAGCACGTTTCAGTCAGCTATTACTTACAAGTGCTTAATTTTGTTTCATTTATTTTCCTAAATAATGGTCTAGTGAAATTATAAACCGAGTTTAGCATTCCATGAACTCCCAAGAAATGATTTTCAATTTAGCGTATTCATACTAGTCTTTTAATTTTGGAGATTTTCTAAACGAGTGCTCTCATAACTGTTTGAGCTAATTGTACACAACCCAAGTAACATTGCAAGTTTTATCATGGTTTTAAAGCATTCTACTAGTCCAAATCATGGTCTACAGAACCTTCATAAAACCCAAATTGTTACTTGGGAAGTGTATAATTTGGTACACAATAGATGTGATTTGAAAAGCAATTGGAAATAGTGCACAAACAGCTACAGTCAATCCAATACTAAATGGGAAATTCTACTCTCCTCAGACCATCCCTACTACGGTTCCCCAAGGTCCGAACAACACTCAGAAGCCACCACAGCCACCTCCAAGCCCGGCTTTGTCTCTACGTGACAAAATGAACTCCTTGAAGCGATTCATTCATCCATCAAATCGACCTCTACCAGATCCACCGGAAAGCAAGATTCACTGTAAGTTCAACTGAAGTCGCTCCCACTGAAACGAATTAATAACAGTTATTTGACGTAGCTTCTACTTCGTCGCTGGACACGGTTTCGAAGCGTTCGTTTTCCATCGGTACTCCCAAGTCCTTGTCAAGTGCCATGGAAAAAATCCAGAACAACACGACTGCCACACTGGATCGAATGACCATGCTGCAGCAACGCTACCGTCAGCACCAGGAAACCATGCGAGCGGACAACGATCGAAGCCGACGTGCAAGTCTGTCCTCCAATGTTGATATGCAGGTAAAGCTTTTAAGTTCGTTGTGATTGTGATTTGAGAATTGTTTTCTCTTGATTTTGATTACCGGTTGACAGCTTTCTGTGATGTCGTTTTTCTAAGCAGTTTTAAATTTTCTAATTAATGATTTTCAGTCATCAGCGCAAAATATACGCACAAAACCACCATCTGTTCCATCAACACTAAATCAACAGCAACAACAATTTCATCAACAACACCACGCGTTGCAATCGAGATGGATCGAACCACCGACACCCAGAATAAGATCTGGCAGTGTTGCTTCGGGTATCAATTTGATGCCCAGTGCTTCTTCACCGACCGTGCCTAACGAGTGCAATGCCTCTAGCATTAATAATCAATCGTTTATGTCCTCCACACAGCGTGCGGATTTTGGCAACAGGAGTCCCGACTCCGGATTGCCCAATCCTCGCAGTACCTCTGTGTTTAATCTAAACCAAATGCACCAACAGCCAGTGCAGTCCAATATGTGGGGATTCACTCCACTTCAGCAGGTATCTATGGTTGACTCTATGGCCTACAATTGCGCAAAATATAACTCTGTTTAAATTATTTGAACAGGCTCAATCGATGGCACACTTCAATCAGATGCCCTGGAATCAGATGAATCCTTGGATGCCAGGTCAGTCGCAGAATGGATCAAATATAAGCCTCAACGTACCGCTTTCACAGCAGGGTCAATATCCGCAAGATCCATCTGGCTATCCACCGGGTTGGAACAACGCGTGGGGAGGAATGTATCCGTATCCAATGGGAATGATGCCAATGATGCCCGGTAAGTTTTTACGAATAAAGGCACTTGAGAAAATACTACAACCGATTCATGTTTACCTATCATCTACAGGAATGGCAATGCCTCCTCCCCGATCGCGAGCCCATTCACGATCACGTGCAGCTTCCCCGGCGCTGAGTGTAAAATCTCGCAAGTCCACCATATCGATGCGTAACCTGAATCGTAACAGCTACATGAACGATCTAACCGATGACGAAGATTCCGATGAGGAGTTCACAAAGTCCCGTGGCCGTCGCGATCGTCGGCATCGGCTGAACTCGAACAGTAGTTTGGATTTTGATGAACCCGAACCGAACGCATTTGTACGGGCTTCGAGCGTAAAACCTTCTCGCTTCAATCGGGAGCGCCGTGGAGGATCCTCGGCCAGATCGTTAATTGATTATCCGACGTCATACAAGCGTGACACACCTCGTTCCAAATACGAACGTGAAGAATTACTGCGCGATCGTTACGATAAGATGTCACTGTCGTCCCCGAGGAAGATGACTTCTGATTCGTATACTAATGATTCCGATAGGGACTCGAATCGCCGGGGATCCAACAGATCCAAATCGAATAACGAGAGCTTCAGCTCTCCAAGGAAGATCACTTCAGATTCCATGACCAATGATTCCGAACCCGATATCGAGAGACGCCGTCTGGCGAAGCAAACACGATCGCCCAGTAGCGTTTCGTCGCCAGTGAAGATAACTTCTGATTCATTCATGAACGATTCGGATGCCGAGTTTGAACGGCGGAAACAGCAGAGACTTAAGGCTTCTGGATTGTTTGCTCCAAAACGAATGGAATCCGATTCTGTAACTGGCGAGTCCGATGTAGTGCGTGAAAAGCCCAAATCAACTGGAACCAGAAAACTTTCCGACACTGAAAAAAATAAAATTGTTAAGCCGAAAACAGGTAAATCAACTCCTAAGAAAATCCCATCCGATTCGCTTACTCCGGATACGGACGGTGAACAGAAGCGTAGATTCGCTGCCAAGAAAACAGTGAAGAAAAATTCCAGCACGGAATTCATTCCGAATGATTCGGAGGTCGAATTTGAGCGCCGTAAAGAGGCGAAACGGAAAAGCTCCAACATTGTCAATGGATCTCCGGAAGCTAAATCCCCATCGAAATCCGACGATGAAGAAGAAAGTGATCAGATGAAAACTGTAGAAATCAAGAACCAGCTCAACGAGTCCAAATCTGAGCCGAAAAAGTATGCGGTTGAAGATTCCCCTCCTCCTCCTCCTGCGCCGCTACTGATAGCTGCACCTGATCGTGAATGGGAGTGCACATTCTGTACATACGTCAACGAAGCTGGCGTCAAGGTATGTGCCATCTGCTGCAAAACAGTTTCCGTGGCTGTTCCAGCGTCTCCGAATGGAGAACCAGAAACACCTCGATCACCGCCGCCAGATGTCGTCCAGGAGCCACCCTGTGAAAAACGAACAGTTCAAAGTCCGGTCACCGATGTGAAGAAACCACAAACGATCATACCGTCGCCACCTGCCAAAGAGGTCGATACCAAGAAGAAAGGTAGGATTCGCAAAATATCCTTTTGGCCTGGCACTAAAGCGAAGTAGTTAGCACCACAGAAAACAAAAACCTTACCGTTTTGAACCCTTCCGATGGTCCACCTCACATTGTATCTATATAACCGCATATAGCCTGTAGCAGAATCGATACCTTGAAAACGACTTATGTACAGTTACAAAATCCAACATTGTTCCAAAAACCCTCCCCGAAGAAACAGTTAGAACTAGAGCGTGTTTTGTGTTTTATAAAGTAACAATTGCAATTTGTTTTGTTTTTTTTTTTTGTATTTGAATACAAATATTTATTTTGCAATAAAAATACTTTTTGAAGAAGCCAAGAGTTTTAATGTGCGTTGTTTTTGTTCTCGTTATAGACAATGATGATCATGATGATGAAGATCGATTTGAAGATGGTGTTGAAGAGTCAGATAAAATTGATGAAAATTTTGTTGAGGAAAATCAGTACGCAAACCATGAAATTCAGTTCTCCGCCCAAGTGAAACCTGAAAATCCGAAAGGCAGTGGTGAAATCAAGCAAAATTTAGACAGTGAAGTGGTCAAAGTTGTGAACAAGGTAGTGAAAGAACATGTTTCTACAGGTTGTGGTCCATCTCCTCCTCGGGAATTTGCCGAAGTCAAAGAACCAACCGATACAGTCGATAGTTATCATCTTCCCTCGTCAAGAGCATCCATCGGAACGTCCCCTCCTCCGCAAGATATGTCAACGCAGGTAAGCTCACTATTTTCTCAAATGTAATTCCATCGACCATCAATCTCTCCATCCTAGACGTACGACACATTTGAAAAGGTTCGCGAAGATGCCTCGACCACCAATCTAGTACAGGACAAACCCATCAACAACCTGACTCAGCCACAGTCCAGCAGCGTCTATAAACGATCGCATTCGCTTGCCACGCCACAACTGCTGCAAGTGAGCAACCCGCGTCCCGACAGTCGTCAGAGCTTTTCAAGTGACACTCAGGTTCGGAAAACGCAAGACATGATTTCGCAACTGTGTGAACTATTTTCGTACCGATCATCAATCGGAAAATAGCTTCCTCCATTCAGCTTCTTCGCCTATTATCAAGCACTTATTCTTCTTTATCGCTTCTCTTTCTTGCTCATCACCACACCCTCTAAATCAACTACTCATCGCTATAGAAACCGATGAACTTCGGTCTATGCCGGCGACAAGTACCGAATTAATTACATAAAATGTGTATCTTCGTCTAATTATAACATCGATGACAACATCTTGCTAACACACTTCTGGTTGATCTATTTCTAATCGCATCATTTGTGTCACCCACCGTGTCCTTGCACGACACTAATTTATGTAAAGTACTACTACAGCTCAGAAAAGAAAAAAAAACAAAACATCGTCATTAGACAGTTGCAAGAGTTCCCCAGCAGTCCGATTCGAATCGCTTACTTAATGGTTGACGTCAATTCGACGAGGCCCGAGCGATCGATGATGGGAAATGATACCGTGACGAGGCGAGCGAGCCGGCAATATGAGGAAATTATTGCCAATGACTCGTGAAAAATCGTGCCACGCTTGTATTTCGCTGGCGAGTGCAGGAAAACAAACTGGCGTCGATATTAATTTAAATTGCTGATGCATAGTTCAATCAGTCGATTAGTGGATCTCTAGTGTAAACATAGTCGGCTAAGTTGTTTTGGTTTCCCAGGACAAGGACGGTAATTGTGTTATTTTATTTGTAGTGCAGTCGTTTAATTATTGAATTTGCCTATCTTATGCAAATCTTGTCAAAATGTGGAAGTTTATGAAAAAACTTGTGGTACAAAATTAGACATGTTGTTGCATGCTGTGTTCTACGTATGGAGTGATAGGTCATCACGCGTATCCTATAAACGATCACCTATGATGGAGGCGAACGGTAGATTTTATATTGTTCGTTTCGCATCACGATTCCAGGCCACGTGTTCCGTCGTAGTTTGCAAAAAAAACAATTAAATACTCGACTACTTTTTTAAATAGGTCCTTTAAAAAAAGGTCGATTAAAAAATCGATAAGCTTCTTTCGCACAGCCAATGAGATTAACTCAGTAATTGATTCGAGTTCGACTTAAAATTGCAAAAAGTCGAGTTTACTAAGTGTATGTGTAAAATTCGCTTTTCCAGCCAAAAGTGCTGGAATATGAGGAAAATCAACGAAAACTTGACTAAGTCTCAGTCTCAGTAGACTAATAGACTGAGTGAAATATATTCAACAAACGATTCCTGGAAAATCTAGGAAGAATTGATTTATATGGTTTTGAATTGACGAGCACAATTTGTGTGAATCATGCTTTACTATTAACGTAGTTCGAGGAAATTTGAAAATAAATAAAGTTGTAATCATGTTCTTGCTCAAGATGAGCAGAAAATTACTCAAATAAAATGCAATACGATGATTTTAAGCATTCAATGATCAATAAAAATCTAAATTCTACTGGGTTGGCACGTCGCTGAGTTGAAGTGGGATCCAGAAGGTCCGTAAAAATCCATTTACGTCATTGCGTTAACGGTAGACAAACCGGGCCAAAAGATGACTTTGCCCCTATGCTTTTCAGGCATTCTTCGATGCAAACTTGGGATGTCATCGTCGAGGATGTGACGAATGGTTCTGTTTTCAGGCCACAACTGCAAATCGCTTGCCAAATCATGGCCTTCTTCGCAATTTGTCGGCAAACACGAACTTGAATCTTCCCGGCACATCCCCACGTCAAGTCGCGATGTAAAACTTTTGACCGGGAAGCTGCTTAAAATCGAGTTTGACGTATGCTTCGTTATCGATCAAAGTGCAGCCCTTGTGTTTCATCAAAACTCCGTCGTACAAGAGCCTTGCACGCTTTTTGGCCACGGAATTCTGCTTCATGTGCCGGTTCGGATGTTTACTGGCGTTGTACGACTTGTATCCTTCCCTGGCAAGGATGTTCCGTACCGTTTGAAAGTTGTACCTTCTGGCCACATCTCGGATCGAAGGCCGGGATTGGCTTTAACGCACCTCAACACCTTGCACCTTGCTGACGATCCCTGGTTCCAGATTTTTCATAGGTCCGCTGATTCCTTTCCACACTCAGGGTTTCCTCGACAAACTGTTGTTTTCTTCATTTTCAGCACTTTAGCCAGCGTAGAACCGGACCACTCCAGATTTTCCAGGTGTTTGTATACAATATTTTTTTTCTTCTTTTGAGTTCCATTTGACGTTATGTCTGAACGCGATCGACTACTTTGATCAAACTTACACCAGTTGTTCTCTATAGAAATGTAAACAATCCACTGTCAAAGATTTTCGATTCCCAACACTAGAGGCGAGCTTGGGGCTATGGTCCTATGGTGAGATCTAACTCTTCTTATTTAATTTAATTACGATAAAATATCTCAAGTCCGCATCGAGGGAAGAGAAGATATATACCGCTAAACCAGCAGATTTTTCCAACCATATGTTTGCACACAAATACATACCTCTCAAACCTGTACGACCGAATGCTTTTTAAGAATTTAATTTTGCTTATGTACGAATTAGTTTTGAAATGGCATGCTTGGTTTATTTTATAGAATTAATATTAGACTAAAAATGCAAATTATCAATTGTGGGGTGAAGTTGATCACGCAAATGTTTATCCAATGCAGTATTCAGAAGCTAATATGTAGGTATACTTGATTTGTGTTCGCTGAAAAAGAATCTGGTGTCAAAATTTCAACAAAATTTGTGGTTAAAGAACAAACTGCATATTATGTAGCTAAATAGTCACTTTAACACTCTTGGGTCATTGTCCGGGGGTGAGATTTGAACTCGTGACTTTGGCGTGAGAGGTATGGATGTTAACCACTACGCCAGGGTCGCCCCCACTAAAATTTGCCTAAACGTAGCCAACTAACATCAGTACATCACATAAAATCATTTGAATGATATGAAATCGTTAATTTTAACAAAATCTGATTCCAGATTCGGATTCAGCGACTCAAAATTAGGTTAAATGAGTAATTTCACCGAGCATAGCACCAGGAAAAAAGGCTGATTCAGATTCAGAACAGTTAAAAGTTGCATATTTCATCAGTTCCACATTCCAGTGTATATTTAGAGTGATAGAATGCATAGCTTGTTAGGAGAACCGTTTCAAAGGTACTATTTTAAAACTACTCAATGCAATCTTATAACAATATCATGAAAAAAGATCGTTGAAAAACGATCCCCCCCCCCCCCCTTCCCGTTTTTACTGGTGAATATGAAAAAAAACTCCCAGGAAAGTTTGAACAAACTTCCTTAGACAGAATCTGTTGGAAGATAAACATCCAGCGAATGTAAAAGTGCTTTCGGAGCTAGTCGGAAAAATTTGTAGAGGAGTCAGAAGGAGCTTCCAGAATAAATCTTAAGAATATTCCGGAGAAATTCTGGAAAAGAAATAACAGATCATGCCGGAAGAAAATTACGGAGAAAGCAAGAAGCCCTTCTGGGAGGATTTGGAACAAACCTCCAGATGAAGTAAGAGGAATCTTCCGGTGGAAATTGGAAGAGCCTTCATGGGAAAAGATTAAAATACTTTCGGGAGTAGTCGGAAGTCAGAAAACACTTTTAGGAGATCCCAAAAACAGACTAGCTTATACAGGCAAAAATAAGCTGTATATAGCAAATTTTACCTGTATAAGCTTATCTGCAACTAAAATTGTTACATAGTTAGGAAGTCACTTCCGGTATACAGTGTATGTTTTCTAAACATTGCACAGTGGTCCAGAATGCAGATTTAGGGGGCATGATATGTTTTGAGCCTGAAATTGAAACTTTCGACTAAAAGTCTCTTCTACAAAGTTGTTCCTTATAGTTAGATCCTCATTATTATGGCAATGAATTCTAGGGTGGTTCCTATTATCATTAAAATCAAAAATCTAACTTTTTTGTTTGAATAAATTAAGGTATATATTCTTGTGCAAAGTTATAGCTGAGCTAATTTCAAGCAACTTTGTTGCATACAACTTTTTTTTATCTCTTAAATTGGCTGATTTAGAGCTATTTTCTTGAATTGAGTTAGGGTGGCTCCAAAAAAAAGTTGTTTTGCTCTAGTTTTCTTATTTCGAATTTCTCAGCAAAGGTGTCTTCAAATAACTTTTACACGCAGAAAAAATATTTTAAACGTAATAATGTTTGACGTAAATTTAATAAGAATTTCATTTTGTTTTGGCTGCAAAAAGAAATCATTATTATTTCAACAATCCACCATTGAAACCTTTCTGAGGCATAAAATCTCTCCGGTTCATGAGTTGATGGGTCGATAAGTAGGGTCCAGGTGTGGGATCGGCCTTCCTGGCGTCGGGAGCATTGGTACTCAGTACTGAAAATAAGATCGACGGAAAAAATAAAGGATAAAAAAGAAAAACTGTTTATATTTTGCGACTGCAGCATACTTGCTTACCTCTAGAGCTGTTTGTTTAAATACAAATGAAATTTTTTTTGGTTCAATGCAAACAATTTTCTGTCCGTGTAGATCTTAAGAAGACGTTTTTATACTAAAAATATGCACTTTTCAAATGTTAATATCTCTGGTTGGGGCAAACAAAAAAAAAAGGTTTTTTACGGCATTTGAAAGGGCGTATGTTATTCTCAACAATGTGAAAAATTGGATGTGTTATTTTTAAAACTCGTATAAAATTAATTTGAATTTATTCATATTTTTTACTATATTTGGGTATATCTTTTTTATTAGACGAGATACAGGCAACAAACTTCACTTTAAAACATCCGTCTTAAAGAGTTTTAAAAGTCTCTAGGAGATGACTTTCATGAGAAATTTCAAATAATGTCTTGTATGTCCAGCTCGTTTCATGGCTCTTTGCGCTGTGGTGTGCGATATTACCCGCTTCTTTCCTACATCTTTGATGGAAAGGTTAGGATTACGCTTGAAACGCCGGTCAGTCTTCTACCGGTGGCTGCGGCATCCTGGTTTTGGTTTCTTCCTGTTCCTAGTTCCCCTAAACACTTTAATAACGTTTGTCACAGTCAATTTGGTTACTTTCAGCTATTTTGCAAAGCTTGCGTAGGAAAAATTGGAATGTTGCTTATGTGCGAGCAAAATATTGATACGCTGTTCCTCTTGCTTTGACGCCATTTTGACAACTGAATATTCAATGATAATTACAAAATAGAGGCACCATTCCTTACGCACACACCTACAACATGAGGGATGTTCAAGTTTTTTAAGTGCTTCATCAAAAAAATACACAAAATTTTAGTCGACCAATTTTTGACCGTTCCACCCTTTAGTTAAAAGAAGCTTCAGAAGGAATTCAGAAGAAACCGTGGATTTTTAAGACAAGACTTTTCCCTGCTTTTGAGACAGCTTGAACAAAAATTTCATGTTCGTTGTATGAGAAAATGGTCAATATAGATTTCCAGCAATTGGGAAAATACGAGCTAGAGTGAGATCGAGTAGGGGAGAGATCGGGGAAGGAAGAATTGACTGTATGAAAAAGCTCAAAAAATGACTCAAATTTTGCATATGGAAGCAATTTCATATGTACATCAAGGGTCTGCTGAACCCTCACCCCCCCCCCCCCGCCCCTTTTTTATGCTTTGCCGCCGTAAACCTGTCGTTGTTGTATTGAAATTGATTTTTTTTTTGTCAGGTGCATAATAAACCATCAATTTACCCTATTTTGTCATTTTTTTCATATTTTTTATCTTTCTTGAATTGCTAAATAAAAACTGACGGTAAAAAACAGGCTTTTTGGTCATTATCATAGCCGCCACAAATTCAATTAATACTGCGTTTGAACAACTAGAACCAAAATTAGAGCAATATTTGAGAAAATAAAACTGCTTCCATAGTAATCCCTATACAAGCTTCGAACCCATACCTACAAAAATGTTCTAAGTCGTACACATTTGTTTTCTTGGAGGTCAAATTCTAGAACAGTTTCTAAGTTCATTCTATCATTTTTTTTTTCATATTCGGGCTAATGACCCATTCGGCTTAACTACAGTCTGATTATCCAGGATCATTTGGTCTCCAATAACAATATGTGAGGAATGAAAATATTTTTTTTTGGGAGCGGTTAAGTTTATAATTTAACCATTTTCTCGAATAACACGCTAAACTAAGAATGTGCATTTTCAGACAACATTAAATTTTGAGAAAATACAACTCTGCAACAAATTAAAATCTAATTGATTTTAAAGCAAATGATTGAAGATTTATAATTACTGTTGATGATTACACACATTAAATTAAAGTAAAGTATGCTTCAGTTAGAATCCGGAATCACACTATACTTTAAAGCAGCATTCCAAGTGGTCGTTTCTGGAATGTTTTACAGCAGTTTAAAATAATATATATATTGCACAAATTGATCAAGAATCCAATGTGTTCCACTCCATTTTTGGTAAAAACACAAAAACGCTCAAAAGAAAAAAATATGATCACGTAACGAGGCTGTACGAGGAGATTTGCTAAATAATTGTATTGGCAAGTGACTGATTAGGAAACGTAAACCTGTAGCCCACTTAGTGAAAGGCTTTCGTTAGTTGGGTTGAGCTGTCAGGTTGAAAATTGGTTGAGTGATACACCGATTGTTTATTATAATCACAATCTTTTAGCAACTATCCAAATTGTTCAGACATGAGCCTCTCGAAAAATAAATAGCACTGTCAAAAATGACGTTTGACTTCGATTTAGGTGGGCTACAGCCCAACTAACGGGAGCCCAACTAAAACGTAGCCCACCTAAACATAGCGCAACGAATGAAATTTTACTGTACCTAACTCATGTCGTAGATAATTGACTCTGAAGTTTCCCCGTCCCTATCAAAACAAGAATCACAATTTCCCGGTGTTTTTTGAATTTTGCTAACAAATCTAGTCTGTATTTCAAACTGTACCATATCATATCTCACCGGACCGCTATTCGCTTGCAGAGTTTGCCTCCGACTCCACATGAGTTAAGCCCTCAGCCGCATCAAACACAGCAAAATGATAGCCATCAGCCAACGCAAACGTCACCCCATCAAGAAGACGAAAGCATGTCCTATTTGGACCGTGCTATCCATCAAATCATTCAAACCGCTGCCACCAGAACCAATTTCGGTTCAACCAGACCGCTTGATCAGCACAAGTACCGTGCGATGAACGATCTGCGGCGCATCGATACCAATCATTCGCGACCGACTACAATCAACGAAACGCTTCACAATAATCGACAGACGGTGAATTTCGTTTGATATGCTTTGCTTGTTTCAGCTATTGTGTGTCGGTGTGATTTAGAATAACGATAGAGTAACGTATTGTGTCATCATTTTAGACAACAAACAGCATGTGCGAAAGTCCCACGGATGCTGCAAACATGATGGGATCGTTGGCGATCAACAACCAGGACAATTCAGCTGGTGCTGAATTGGTGAATCTTTTAAAGGTAGACAATCGGGTACGGGTGTGATGAGGTGTGATTCAAGTGATAATTTTATATTATATTTTCAGGAAGCAGAACGCAACAATTTCACTGCTGACGAGCTGCAGGCAGCGTTAAGTCATTGCAGAGATAAACATCCAGTACAGTGGCTTCGCGACAACTGGTCCAAGCTGATTGATACTGTACAAACTTTGGCTACCAAATACGGTCACGAGAAAAGAGAAAATATTATTGGAACCATTTCATCTACCGAGGCTCGTGAAGCTCTGCGGCTTCATAAGGGAAACATTTGGCACGCCATTACGGAATGTATCGAACAGCGCCAGAAGAAGTATCAAGAAATAGCTTCGAAAGGTAACTTCACTCGAGAAGACATTGTGACAAGCCTTACAGCGCACCATGGAAACTTAGAACTGGCAATGGTTGAGCTTAGTAAAACACAACTTAGACCGTTCCTAATGCGTATCTGGGGTCCTCCAAACGGAGCAGACAACGATTCGGGTAACTTGCTTCTGCAGCAAGCTCTGAAAGAGGATCGGAGTGGAATTAGTAAGAGAGCTCGCAAACACTAACATAAATTACCCATATTAATTCGAAACTCTTTTTTCTCCACACCCTTTTTGGCCAACCGGGAATCCTACCAACACGCTTCCTTCAACACCCTGCCCTGATCCCATCCAGGCACCGAAATCCAGGAATTTATTAGTGCACATGTCGAGAAGGAACTGTTGTCGGATAATAATTCCCAGTGTACGACAACGACAACTGTTGAGGTAGAAGCGGTGAGTTATCCCGAAGAAAAATCCGATGCATGCCAGGATACTACTAACCACACCGCCACCAATGGTAACGGTAAATGCGATCTCGCAGATGAGGAATCCGTAACATCGAATACAGTCATCCTGAGAGACATCGAGAAACTGATAGATCAAATGGAAAAGAACCAGACAAATCAAAACGAGGATGTGCTCAAAAATATCCAGCATCTGCTAACCAAACTGGTAGAGAAGAACGGAACTCGACCAGCATCGCAAGCTTCGGTACGTTCAGAATCATCCGAACGAATCATTGTGAAAAGTCCAATTCTACTACCACGTACGAATCAACCAACCGAAGACGAGACGAAACCAATCTACGAAGACATCCGAAGCTTTATGGCCGAAAACATCCAAGAGGTTCTTCCAAGTCTTGTTGACCAAGTACAGCAAGAACTGGAAAGTGTGCCCATCCGAACGGAACGAACTCTGGAGGACGACATACGAGAGACGCTCATGAACGCAGACTACTCAGAAGGAGAATATTCGACGTTACATACTTTCCCATTCAAAAAACATGACGACGATACCTTTGGGTTCCCGAATCTGAATAAGATATCGTCAATAGGATTCACGAATGCACAGGAGGAAGACAACGAATATGAAAATATACAGGACTTCCTGGTAAAAGCTATTCGAACTGAGAGACTGACGAATGATTTCGAACAGTACAAGACTCAGAACTACCGGTTCGACAGTAGTTCTGATGAGGCTAGATATACGGCCGATTCAACTGACTATTACGACATTGTTGCAGTTAACCAAAGAATTCAAGACTTACTGAACAGAAACAGAGAGGTAGTATCGAGTTTGGGTTCAATGGAAATTGCTCCATTGCAACAAGTACCATCGACTCCAACGGAAAAGCCGCCGGTCGAGGAAGCGATCTACGTTAATACAGCTGAAATAACAGCTATGGTTGCTGCACTGCCTAGTCCTGAGGTACCGGATAGAAAACAGGTGAAAAAACGTCGTGTATCGAGAATCCCGGTTAACAAAGATAACTATCTCCAGCGTAGGCCGATGAAAAGTTCCTCTGAAAGTGATTTCGAAGCAATTGCTCACAATCACAAATCTCCCATTGCAGCAATGCATATCGATCATGTTGAGGAACTGCGGCACGTTGTAGATAATATCGAAAAAATTGAACACGAGCTTGACATGATGCCAAACGACCTGGAGAGTCCACAGGTAGAAATGGAACAACCGATCTACGATAATGTCACAACAACTGCTGAACTCACCGTAGTAGAAAAACATCCTGTAGCTATCGAGGAACAATCCATAGTGGATACCGTCCCGAGTGATCAACATGATAAGGTTCCCGATATTGCATCTACATCTGCACAGAATCATGAAATGCATGAACAAAGCCAAACAAATGTTGTTGTTTGCGATCCTGTGCCTGCCATTGCGAACGTAGATGTAGTCGCACAAGAAGTAGTTAAAGTAGATGAAGTCCCCTTGAACTCACTTCCAGAAATAGTTGAAGCTCCCTCGAACTCACTTCCAGAAATAGTTGAAGCTCCCTCGAATTCCTATCCAGAAACCGTTGAAACTCACTCAAACTCCCTTCCAGAAATAGTTGATACTTCTGAAGCATCCCTAAATCTAGCTGTCCACATTCCTCATGAAGCCCCCATAGTAGAAACAAACGTAGTCCATTCCCAAGCTCAGCCATCACCGAAAACTCCTGAAGAAGTTGTTATTCAATCCCCGCCCAAAAGTCCTACCATAATACAGATCGTTGATGCATCACAGGTCGAACCAGAATCCACCAACGATGAACCAACGACTGTATCACTGTCCAAACCGTCCAACAACCTGTCAGACCTAGTACTGGACACGAAGCGCCTGATTCAACAGATGAAAGACGAGATCGCATCCGATATGGCAACCCTTGAGGACGAAGATGAGATTTACGATGACGAATACTACGAAGAAGAGGAAGACTGGACTGAAGGTGAAGAAATGATGGAAGAATGGGATTCAAATGAGGAATACGACATTGACGAAAATGGTGACTTCATCGAATACGAAGACGAAGACGATGACGGTTCGGTAATGTTTAGCGAGATAGCTCCGGAAGATGTTGTGCATCCGACGGGGCAAGTAAACGAACTTGCCATTCAAATTGAGGCAAGGATTGAGGATAACAAACCTGAGCTTCCGAAGATGAATGCAGCGTTGGTGAGGGAAATTGAACGAAACAGTGCCTCAGAGGTCAGCGATCTACCGTTGGACAGTGATTTCAATGATACTTTGAGTGTTATAGACCAGTCGGTTGGTGAAGTTACTGATATTTTGAGCTTAGCCGTGCGAGGACTTACGGTAAACAATCAACTGGAATACGACGAGTCTTCAAGTGCAGAAACTGTACAAAATAGCCCAGAAGTTAGCGAGATCAGTGAGGTTACGCTTGTAGCAGATGCGACTGATTCTACCGAACCGACACTGGTAGCGGAAGAAAATTTGAATTTGACCATGAGAAACGTACAGACCTTGTTGAATGCAAAGGTTGTCATAGGAGAATTCATCAAAATCAACATGGTTGGAAATAGCGATACACGTCAGGTGGAGGTTGGAAACGACACCGAAGAGTCAAATCACGTTGGAAGTGCAGGCATAGATTTATTGCCAGTGCAATCAAGTCAAACTGCAGCATCACAACCCGACATGGCTGAACATCAGGCTACAAAACGCACTGTAGGACCCGTTCCACAAACAATATCTGCAGACAGTATATCGAAGGATATAACACAAGTGTATGCAGAAAACGAAGCCACATCTGCAACGCATGTACTTGACGCTACCATAGAGATGTTAAACTCTGTTGCAAGAGATTTAACCGAACAGTTGCAACAGGTTTCATCAGTTAACGAACCGGTCGTTCAGGAGAACAACCGAGAAACTACTATACCGGAATATGCCACTGTAAACAAGAACACAACCACAGGACATTTGACAGAATTGACAACCATTGATATACAAGGGCAATCTACGCAAACTGTTGAAAACGAAATGCCTGAATACGTAAACGTCATTGAACTTCAAAGTATGCTACTTGAAAACGGAATAGCTAGTGAGTTCGAGCAAAACGTGGTAAACGGATCCCAAGACTCATCAAATCAGGAAGATGTTGGTCATATTGAACTCCAAAGTATGCTACTTGAAAACGGAATAGCTAATGAGATCGAGCAAAACGTGGTAAACGGATACAAAGACTCATCAGATCAGGAAGATTTTGGTCCCCAACAAAAACAAGTGGTTACTCAAATACCTGACTATGCAACTGTGGTCAAGACTGGTAGAGAAATCATATTGATCAGTTCGGAACCAGCTAAACTTGAAGGGGCTGCTTCAGCTGAACAGCATCAACCAGCTCAGGATCTTTCAGCAATTCCCGAAACGCAACCAAGCACTGTTGTTTCTGAAGTAGTGGAAACTTCAATAGGAAACATTCAAGAAACTACTACATCAAACGCTATTCAAGAAAATCTATTAGAGCCAACGCTACAGCAGCCCACACATTTTGAACCGATTCTGTCATCTGAATCTGATAATGCTCTTGAAACAGAAGAAATTCCTCCGGAACAGAACGAACAAACAACTAACCATACACTTTCAAGTAGTTCATCCGCAACAGAAATCCAGTCACACGTCTGGCTGGAAACCTTACGTCGGCGCTCAAGCGAAAGCTCGAGCGAAACAAGTGTTATTGCATTACCCATGGCTACTGAGCGAAATATTGAAAAATCTAGGTCAATTGTATCGATTAGTGGTCCAGCTAGCGGCACTAGTGTTCCAAATGATCAAGATCAACCAATTGATACAACAAACCTGGGTAAGCAATCTCTCAGTAATGTTTCAACTGACGACAAAACAGCGACTCCAGAACCGACTTCTCAACAAGTTTATGTTTCGGAATCTGTACATGAATCTACATTAGGTTCTTCGATTGAGACTGACAGTGTTGAATCAACTTCTACTACAAACGAACAATTTGTTTCTGAAGAGATGGAGACACCCATTATAGGCACTACGCCTGCTGACGAGCATGAGGACACACGTACCATCACCAACGGAGAAATACAAGATGATACTCAACGGTCATCAACCTCGCGTGAACCATCCGAAGAGCCATCCAGTTTCATAGAAATCCAGCCTTCACAAGTGATCATCCATTCACCAAACATTGAAGCATCCGCTTCACAGTCGTCATCATCAGAAGCTCAACCGCAGTCATCAAACATCTATGAAAACGTTCAGGTCATTTCATCCGCTTCCAATGGTTCTCCTATCAAGTCCACAAAGGTACCCCTAAAAATTCCGACTCCTTACACTTCTCAGTCATCATCACAGAGCACTGCTAGCAAAAAATCATCCACTCCATCCACTCCAACAAACGGCCAGAAAACAATCAAAATCATTAAAACCAAACCCAAAACCACCACCGACACCAAAAAGAAAACTGCCACCACATCCGATTCCTCTAGCCGTAGAAACTCACTTCGCAAGAACTCTATTGGCAGTCCGTTCGGTCCCATGCAGACCAACACCGTCAAGAACATGCAGAAAGAGTTCCTCAACAAGACACAGAAAGATTCATCAAAATCGACCACCATCACACCGAAACCAAAACCATCCAAACTGGTGCAACCAAAGGCTTTCATTAATAATAAGCTTATTAACCCTATTACACCCACTCAGCCGAGCACTGCGGCGAGCACTAGTAAGGCTTCAACGCCTTCCGTGGAACCGGGATCGTCTCGTTCCACTCCTGGGCCGAGTTCATCTAAGAGCACACCTGGAGCATCGCGCGAAGGTTCGGTCACCTCGGAACAGAGACGCAAACTCAGAAAGAAATACATGGAAACATGCTTCAGTGATGACTACTTCAGCTCGGATGACGATGATGAGTTCACAACCACGATCACGGATAGCGAAAGTCGCACGATCATTCGATCACTGGTGAAGCCATACGAGCCAAGCGAAGAGCCACCAGAAGTAAGTGAAGAAGCGGTATCAGCTGTAGAATAACTTGATATTTTCAACACTTATAACCAAATAATCCAAATGAATTGCTGATTGACAAACTGATACAATGTTTTCCCATATAGGTACAAGCGCGACGTTTGCTGGACGAAGGTCACGTTCAGTCGTATCAGCAGGCAGAATTAGCGGTCCAGTTGATCGAAATGAGATACAACCACGACAATGCCATCTGGGCTGCAACCCAGTGCCATACCATCGAGGAAGCCAAGAACCTCTTGCAGAAAGAATGCGAACTATGCCTGGGATTGTACCCTATGAACGAAATCATCTCAATGCTGAAGTGTACGCACACCTGCTGCCTGGACTGCGCCAAGGTATACTTCACCGAGGAAATCATGCACCGTTCAATTACCAACTGCAACTGTCCGTACTGCAAGGAGCCAGATTTGAACAATGCTGACGTGACGGAAGATGATGTTTTGGAGTACTTTTCCAATTTAGACATTCTGCTGAAGAACATAGTGGATGAGGAGGTGCACGATCTGTTCCAGCGGAAACTTCGCGATCGTACGCTGATGCAAGATCCTAACTTCAAATGGTGCGTCGATTGTTCGTCCGGATTCTTCGCTCGGCCACGTCAAAGGAGACTCATCTGTCCGGATTGTGGATCGATTACTTGCTCGTCCTGTCGGAAGCCTGTGAGTATGGCCATCTATGTTAAATCGATGCCAAATCAATTCCTGATCATAAGTTCAATTTATGGCTGATTTTCTTTCTCATGCTCACACACGTGTTACACGTAGTGTTCCTATAATAGTGGAACCCATTAGAAACCAACGCATTCCACTATTATAGGAAGCAAAGTTAGCAACTACCACAACTACTGGAACAGTGTTCCTATTAATGGAGGATGAGTTTTCTAAAATTGCATGCAATTTTATTACAGTGTAATATTTTTCTATCAAAATAGAGGTTAAAAGCTATAGATTGACGTACAACAAATGTGTGTACATCGTACAGTAGGGTGTCCAAATTTGCCGGGAATCGGGAAATGCCAAACTTATTTCTCGGGAAATCGCGGGATCCAAGAGTTGAAGAGGAAGCCTTTTTTTTAGCAAAACAAAAGTATATTTAAATTAAATAATATCAGTTAGGAATAGGATTGATGATTAATCAATGATATTTCAAATATGAAAGAAAACTAGGGGTACAAAACGCATGGTAAACGTATACACCCTCGTAAATGCGTAAACTTCCATCACACTTCAATGGAGCCTGGCATGTTTACGACAGTGTATGCGCATAGTGAATACCCCTACTGATTTTACATGTAAAAGGATATCCTGGTGTCTTTGGCAAAGTTTCTGGATGTGAAAAGTCCCTTCTTTTGACATTGACAGATCAATGATTAATTTCCCTAGAAGTGAGATCCAAAATTTATTTTATCTACAATTTCATATTCATGGTCGAAGTCTTGGGCAAATTTTTAGATAATATCAAAACAAGAAACTTTACTGGAGACGCAAGGTGTCTATTTCTTCATCTCATTGAAATATGGAACACTTTTCGTGGAAAACCTCTTCATAAAAGTTTTAAATTTATAACAATGGGAGCGAAAAAATAATCTTGATTCAAAAATTGAGATGAATGTCTATGGGATGGATAAAAATATCGTTGTGCTTAGAAACGAAACTATTCCAGATGATATTAAAAACCGGTATGTTTTTCGAAATTAAACAAACCAGTTTCAGCTTGAAAAGTCTGGTGAAAAATCATCAAACATCTTCAATGGAAACGGAATCATGCCAATCATATCATGAAATAAAATTATCCCTTCAATATTGAGTTTTCTTTTGTTGTACGTTCCTAAATTTGGTAACTACAATTTATAATTTATCATGTTGAAACAAATTGTTACATGCAACTCTTCGAAAACATCGCCAATTTGTGTGATTTTTTGGGAGGGCGGCTGGTTTTAAAAGACCTTCCCAACAGTGTCTACCCTACCTACATTTACATATTTGTAGTTCTAAAAAAAATTAAAACACTTGGTCTGTAAAAAACGTCGTTTGAAAATGTAAACACGATTCTTAATTTCAGTGGGAATCGCAGCATGAAGGCATCTCGTGTGAGCAATTCACCGCATGGAAGGAAGCCAACGATCCCGAACTACAAGCCCAAGGCGTTGCCCGGCATCTGCAGGCACACGGCATCAGCTGTCCGAACTGCAGGTTCAAGTACTCCCTGTCACGTGGTGGATGTATGCATTTCACCTGTACGCAGTGCAAATATGAATTTTGCTTCGGCTGCAATAAACCGTTCATGATGGGTGCCAAATGTGACGTATCTCCGTACTGTGCCAAGCTAGGTCTCCATGCTCACCATCCGCGAAATTGCTTGTTCTATCTGAGAGATAAAGATCCGAAGGATCTGCAGACGTTACTAACGGTAAGTTACTTAAGATATCCTTCCGCGTAGTGCGTAGTAACTATACAGACTATACCTGATTCCGTAGATGCACAACGTCACGTACGACACCGAACCTTCCGAGTTGATGAAACGAGAATTCTTAGAAGGTGGTGGTACATCCATGAAGTGCCCTATTCCACTGCAGAGAGAAACACCAGCCGGTCTGATGGACACCATCTGTAATGGTGACGTTCCCGAAGGATACGCCGGCCTGTGCAGGTAACCATTAGCCCATCCGCTTCAGATAACACTGTTCCAAATAGTTACTTAGATTCCGTAACGATAACTGTATGCTATCTTCGTTGTGTAAACTGCAGCGGCAATCGGTTACCAATGGGGGCTATGTCTAATTTTGAAGTATCTTTTCACAGGATATAAGTCGTATTCATCATATAGGAAGTATTTCGACCAGAGCTTTGTAAAATTGGTTTTCAAATCTTTTTTCTTTATTTTTGATATATTGATACTGTGTTGGAAGTCATTCCCAAGAACACATTTTCGGCTACAAATTCTGATTGAGCTATATTTTGTCAACGTATATTTTCTAGCACACACTTCATAGAGTATTTGACTTCTCTGGTGGTGCATCACAGCATCGATCCGTTGCACATACTGAACGCGGACGATCTTGAGTCGCTCGTACGTCGCGCCAACAAACGCATGCCTCCACGCCCGTTCGGACTCGTAGACGGAATCTATCGCGACTATTTAGCACAGGTGAGCGTGGCTTCAAGCTCAGACGCTACTAAGAGTGTGTTTTTTTTTTCTTTTTACTTGCCTCTTCCAGAACACATTATGTTGAATATCTGGTAGGCGCGGTATCCAAGGCACAAGTTGATCCCCTGCCAATCCTGGATTTGACAGATTGTGTCCAGGAATTGCGCAGACGGGGGATGTCTCTGCCGGAACGGGGTCCTTGGGATACCGACGAAATCTACCGTGAAATGTGCCAGAAGGTGAGATTTGACCCTACTAATCGCTAACACTTACCACCTAATTGCCATTTCATATTCGAATTCGATGACCAATGAAGACCACTCAAGATGACTTGGTAGCGCAAACTACTTCAAGATAATACATATTTTTGATTAAAACACTAATCACTCTAACCGTTTTGAACGTTTCGCCACTCACCACACTAACACAAGCTCGACCTCTGGACAACAAGCAAACAAGCCGACAAGTAAGTCGAACGCTGACTTTCATCATTAAGAAGTACTTTTCAAAAAATACATTTTTGCCTTTATTTAAAGAAACATATCAGTAATACAAAACTTACCATTTTAGATCGTCAAAGAGCAAATTCCATTGAACTGAACATCCCGCAGAAGATATCGACCAGCTGTCATCTTAAACCGTAAGGAAGCATGATATAGGAAATTGATGCTGTCATCTCTCTGAAAAAAGAAAACTTCTATGATACTCAAGTTACCCTAAGCGCTATTGAAAAAAAATATATTGTTACAATCACGCATTCTACTGTTACGTTGAACATTGTGCTATTGGTTAGGTACCTACACTATACTATCCTGATCCTCTAAACTTACTCAATGAAAAGTATGATTCATCAGTGATCACTTTAATTGTTTTAGATTATTATTCATTAAATATTAATCTTATTGAAGAAACAATTTCAATCGGTCTTGGGGCTTCAAAGACCCCGCAGATGACATCCCTTCCGAGCTCTTCTTCAACATGATGGCCAAAGCGTTCAGATGATTGGGCTCCTTCGAGTTAAAAGATGCCTTCGAACTTTTTTTCGCAGCAATCTGAGGACTGCTTTTCGCGAAAGGTATGTTAAGCCCCGCATTTACATCACGGTTGCGTTTCTTTTTCTTGCTGTTGACCGCCGATGGAACAGCTTCTTCCTTTTTCGATTCCGAAATCGTGGGATTCTTATTGGCTGTGGTGATGCGGGTTTTGTACGAGCAAAGCTTACAGGTGTATTTCTATAAAGAAAAAAAATCTTGACATCGTTCATGGTTATACTTACAGTACACGGGACACACTCTTACCGCGGTTACACGCTTACGGCTCATCAAATAATCAAAATGTGACTGTTGTTTCTTCGTTCGGACGGCTTTGTTCCGGTATTTTTCCAGCAGCTTATCGTATCGATTGGTACTTTTGATCTCGTCTACGTGGAAGTAACCATGCATCCACAACGTTTTACACTTGCGGCACATCCACTTATCGTTCGTCTTCCCAACATCTGCGCCAGCGGAAGCTGTTTGTCTGAAATATATTTTGTAGTGGAACAAATTGTTATCCTGGTGACTAGTGAGTTGTAAGCACTTTAAAATAGAATATTTTCTGCGAAGAACCATGACGATGGAAGTAAATTTAAAATTCATTGTCTAGTACTAACTAATCCAAGATATTTCACTTGGTTTGACCAGGAAATTGGAACTCCGTTCATAGTGACTGTGTGACTAGTACTAGGTTTCGAAAAGGAAGCTCTAGGCTTATGTGGAAATATTATAAGTTGAGTTTTGGAAGCGTTGGGAGAAATCTTTTATTTTTGTAAATAAGAAGAGAAAATATTTAATTTTTTTTGCAGTCTGCTGCAAATAACACGAAGACTTCTTCCCTTAGCGGAAATGCGTGTGTCATCAGCGAACAAAGATTTGTGGCAGCCCTGAGGCAAATCAGGGAGATCCGAACAAAGTGAAAATGCTATACAATATAGGCCCAAGAATGCTACCCTGAGGAACTCCTGCTCTAACAGGTAGTAGTTCAGATTTGGTATTTTGATAATTTATCTGCAGAGTTCTGTCAGTTAAATAATTTTGAACCAATTTAATAATATATAGAGTGGAAAATTAAACTTTTTGTTTCAATTTAGCAATCAAAACTTCATGCCAAACACTATTTTCTGCTTTTTCTATGAGTAGAAGAGCAACTCCAGTTGAGCAGCCTTCAGATTTGTTTGCACGAATTAAATTGGTAACTCTCAAGAGGGTGGAGGCGAACCAGCCTAAGGCTGAAAGCCTCCTAAATAAAGCTAAATAATAATAATAACTCTCAAGAGTTGATGAGTAGTTGAATGCCCATGGCGAAATCCAAATTATTTTTTTTCAAAAAGTTTACTTATTGAAGAAATTTTTTTGTGAGTTTCCAAAAGGGTTTGGATCTCGGGTCTAATTTAGAAACATTATCCAGAGGGCAGAGAATCGCCTTTTAATATGTTTTTGCAAATCGCGCCAGATAACATTCATGGCAGGATCGATGTTCTTTGATATTGTCTCCTACGGACATTTTAAAGACGGATCAAGAGCTGAAGATCGTCGTCTATTATAATTTGAAAACCAAGTAACCCGCGATTGTGTTACGTTAGTAAGTATTTAGAGAATAAACGTTCATTCCACTTTGTTCCTTCAAACCTGAAGCACCGTTTTTCCTTTTAACTCTGTAAGAGGTTATGGGCCCAGAACCTAACCGGAAGAAAAGAATAAATTAAGTTTTCAAGATGTCAACTGGAGGTAACAGCGATAGTAGCAGAATCGGAAGTCGAAGTGAAGCAGGAAGCGTTCGAGTTACGATGGGTTCCGTAGCTATGTCGGCTATAAAGAAGTTGAAGGGCCGTGAAAATTATTCAACTTGGGCATTTGCGATGCGGATGATCCTGATCCGCGAAGGAAGTTGGAGTGCTGTTCAGCCTGCTGAAGGAGAAGTCGTTGCAGCGGACGTCAAGCTAAGAGCGTTGGCAACGATTTGCCTGAGCCTAGAAAGCTACAATTATAGTCTGGTTCAGGATGCAGAGAACGCAGTAGCTGCTTGGAAGAAACTTGCCGAAGCCTTTCAAGACTCTGGTTTGACAAGGAAGATTGGTCTCTTACGTAAGCTTACTTCGATCCGGCTGGTCAATTGTTCAAGCGTTGAAAGCTACGTCAACGAGCTGATGTCTACCAGCCACAAGCTTACGACATTTGGTTTCAAGGTGGATGATTCGTGGTTAGTCGCGTTGCTCCTGATGGGACTGCCAGAATATTATGAGCCGATGATCATGGGATTGGAGGCGTCTGGAGCAAAATTATCATCGGATTAGGTCAAAGCCAAGATTTTGCAAGACGTCAAGCTCGAAAAGGGTCCCATTACATGCAGCGACAATGGAGCACTGTACTCGCGTGGGACGGACCCAGGCAAAGCTAAGAATCAATATAAGAAGACGAAGGCAGAGAAAGCTGAGAAGACGTGCTTCAATTGTGGTAAGCTTGGTCATTTTGCTGCCAGATGTCCCGAAAAGATGAAACAAAACCCGAAAGGGCTCTTCAGCATTTTTGCGATGGGTAATGTCAAGAGCAAGGCGTGGTATATTGATTCGGGAGCGACGTGCCACATGGCTCAACCAAGCCAGAAATTTGTTGAAGAGATGGCAATTGAACACGACGTTGGAACAGCAAACAATGGTTCTATGAAGGCCGTGGCAAGAGGTACCGTGGTTCTGCAGAAGCGGGACGACTCCATTGATGTTCTGAAGATCCCGGACTTAGCAACAAACCTGCTGTCAGTAAGTACGATGTGCAAACGAGGCCATAAAGTTATTTTCTCGGCAGACAAGTGCGAGGTGCTAGATGATGATGGTGAATTGATAATCCATGGAGTCGAAGAAGGCGGATTGTACCGAGTGGTAGAATCTGAACGATCATTTCTTACCAACGACATTGAGTTGTGGCATCGACGATTGGGTCACTTGAACAAGGCTAGTTTGAAGCAGCTCAAGCAATCGAACGAGGATGTTAATTTTTCAAACAACCAGCTGGCAGACTGCACTACGTGTTCAGAAGGCAAACAAGCTCGACAACCGTTCCAGAGAAGTAAAACAAAAACATCAAAGGTTCTGCAGCTTGTACATTCCGACCTGTGTGGGCCCGTAGACGTTCCGTCATTGGGTGGCAATCGTTATTTCATTACGTTTGTGGACGAAGTAAGCAAGCGAGTTGTTGTCTATTTCCTGCAATCAAAGAATCAAGCGTTTAAGGCGTTCAAATTGTTTCAAGCAAAGGCTGAGCGACAGACGGGTAAGAAAATCAAGATTCTTCGAACCGACAATGGACGGGAATACCTTAGCGACAAATTTCGACGAGCTTTGGAGGACGATGGTATACGTCATCAGAAGACCTGTCCTTATACACCGGAGCAAAACGGTACGGCGGAAAGGATGGTGAGAGGTATGGATGCTAACCAATACGCCGGGGTCGCCCCGCAGATATGGTTTTTTATTAGGGTAAAAAATCCAATTAGCGGCAAGTATCGCGGACTTGCTTATTTGCAGCAAACATGTAAAAACGTGTAGCAAAAACTGTCACCACTAGGCCAGCAAACCGCTTACACGGTAAGAAAAAAGTACCCAAAAGTAAGTTCTTTTCACTCATCTCGGCACTATAGTACAGGAATCCAAACAGTAGGAAAGCGGGTCAAAGTAGTTTTCATTTACTTGTGTGCAATTCGTATGGAATTTTCCACTCGCTTTCTACCCAAAAGTAAATTAGTTGTACTCAAAAGTAGGTGAATATGATTATACTCAACGTTGGGTTCCCACACTTTACTACCCCTGTTGAGTGGTTTTGCTCCTCCGTTTTTGACAACATTAGAAGGAGGAAAGGAGACAAACTAATTAATTAATTAATTTATCTTTATTAGGGAGGCTTTCAGCCTGGGGCTGGTTCGCCTCCAACGGAGACAAACTAGTCAAAAGTAGGTAAAAGTGAACTAGCCATTGGGTACTTTTTTCTTACCGTGTACATCACAACAAGTCGTTTGAACACCTGCACCAATGCGTTGCTAAAGCTATTTTAGTAACCTCCACCCTAACGCAGCAACCGCACTGCTAGTTCTAGATCCAAACTAATTCATGCAGCATCACAAAGAATTTTTTTAACGAATTGACCACTTTGAAGGATATTCCAGATCTTCCGTTACGTGGGCAGCAGAGTGCGCATGCTGGTCTCAAATTCGAATACGTTCAGCTTCACAAAAAGTGATTTAAAAAAACGCGGGGGTCTATAATATTTTTTTACGAATGGACTAATTTTACGGATGTTCTGAATCTCATAATCACGATAATCACGAAGCTCTGCGATCAGTTTTAGCTCGAAGTTCGACGATAGATATAGAAACTACCAGCCCAGTGGCAGGTGCGTAGGCAACATGTTATACAGTGACAGCAGGCCCAACACAACAAAATAAATGATTTGAGCCCGGGACATGCTACCTACTGTCAAACGCTACTGTTGGTATATGCTAGAGTCGGTGTATAATGAGTCACGCCAAGAGAAATACAGTTGAACTCGCATCACGGGTTTCGAAAGATTCCCTTTCTTTTCACTTTGCAACAGAGGACTTCTACATCAACTTCAAATGACTTCCAGCGAGAACAAATATAGCGGCTTTAGTAAATCATTATATCAGTGATTTAGTCAAATTATCTTAACCAAAAATAGTAAAAATTCTCATAAGTGATCATTACCAAACGTATCCCATGACAATTTATTGCTCAATGCGTGTTTATGATTTCTTCGATTATATTTTTTATTTTATTGCAATACCTTTCGTGGATCTTTCATAGCATCGTAATGTTTGTGTACTTTGCGCGATAGGTAGCCGGTTTGACAGTTCAATAGGTAGACTTGGCTTCACTCTTGGCGTGACTCATTATACACCGACTCTAGTATAGGCATTCTCACTGGCCTGGAAACTACCGATCGGTGTGAAACCTGGTTGCTAACTAAAATAACAACGGCTAAAGCTGTCAAACTAGCAGGCACAAGCAAAACAATAGACACAAGCTGAGGGCAATATTTACTAGTCATGAACGCTAATGGCGATAAGCTCAAACTCGAATAAACTTTTAATATCGTCCCAGATTGTAGGATGTTCCAAATGTTTGTTAAGGATAGTATTGATTAACACCGACGTCGACAACAAAACAGCCTGTCATTCGTGATCGGCATTTAATCCACGGATAATACCGGTTGGAGCTGAATAACCTGAATAATGAACATTTCAAGAGCAAATTTTCATTACGTCGAATGTAACAAAGGTAAACAAAGTCGAGCTATCAGTGTCAATCGATTCTCCTGCTATTACACTATATACTGTCCGAATATAGGATCAAATCCCATTTTTAAATTTATTTGCCAGCCAAATTGCTTTTTGACGTAATCACCTTCCGATCAAAATAGTTTTCGATGTTACTTAAGTCACTCAATTTCTATGGAGATGCCGTTTGACTTAAGTAACAGCGCTGAGAAACCCGTGAAAAGTGTACGTTCGTCGTTTCGCTTTCTCATTATTAAAGTGAATAAATCGAACTGTTTGTTGCTAAGATGATTTCGGTGGTCCTAAAATGATGAATGGGCTGCACGTAAGGAGACGTAGTTGATAATTCTCCCGAATATCCTGGTAAATACACTTTGACTTAAGTAACAATAGGGGCCACCAAACGACGTATAATAACTTTTGACTCAAAAACCAGTATTTTTTAGCATGAAAGCTAGCGATTTGCCTTTGTATGATTAAAACCCGGCTAAATATGTTAAACATTGCTATCACTATGAGATTATATGTGTTTAATTGGAAATAGGAATAACTTTTCGGTCATCAAAACAAAACTTTATGTTTCTCGGATCGGTGCGAATGTTACTTACGACATAATGAAAATTTTCTCTTGATTTATGGTCGACGTCCGTCGGTGATTGGCACTAGATTGCGGAACAGAGACCGACGTTAAATAAAGGAAAGGAAAAAAACTTTTGAATAGATTTTTTTCATTATATTAGGGGAAAGGCTCCTATAGTTGCGGTACGTTAGAAGCTTAAGGTTCCTATAGTTGTGAATTGAGTCTCCATGCACAACTATATAGGAACCTAACGCTTCTAGCGTACCGCAACTATAGGAGCGTTTACCCTACTGATTAGACTGGCCCACAAAAATAAAAGTTTTAATTTTCCACGGGCCAACCCCTCGATTTATGCAATTAGGTGAGAAACCCACTCTCTGAAAATTTCAGCTCATTCGGATGTAACATGAGCTGGCGCTCATGTATACATGAAAAAATGACACTCCTACACTCTATCGATCATAAAAAAGTTTCCTTATTCTCGATTTGATTCAGATTTTCAAAACTTGTAGTTCAGTTAATGAGCAACAACTTTGCTGAAGATTGCATCATTATTCCAGTCAGTTTTATTGAGATATTCTCTTTTGAATATTTTTTGTAAATGAAAATTTCAAAAAAATCTCCTATATGAACATTCAACCAACAGCGCCAGCCCGTGTAACGCCAAAAAGAGCTGAAACATTCGGAGAGTGGTTATCGCACGAAAAGACAAAAGCCTGGATGTTGGCCTGTGGAAAACGTGAATTTTTATTTTTAGTGGTAATCTAGTTGATGCGTTGTATAAGCTGCCTGTATTTTGTGGCAATATACGAGCAGAATGCACATTAATATCTCCATACTACTAACTTGAATCGTAATGCTATCTTCAGCAAAGTTGTTGCCTATAGTTTAAGCTAAGTGTGCTTAGATGATAAATGATAAAAAAATTTCCCCCATATACCTAAATGTGGGCCAGTCTACTACTGATGTATGAAGGCAATAATATGAACATGCCATACGATGTAGAAACTCCTTTTTTTTTCTTGATTTGTTTTCCGTCGATCTTGTGTTTCGTGCTGAGTACCAATGCTATCGACTACCGAAGGCGTGTGATCAGAGATGTTATGCCTCAAGAACATCCTGGCGGCACTTACTGGGATTGAACCCAGGCCTGCTGGGATGAGAGGTAATCATGCTTACCACTACACCACCAGCGCCGATGTAGAAACTCCTATACATCCTATCCACTATGTGGCATATTAGAACGTACAATTTGTTAAGGTGGCACTATTGGTTTAAAAATCGAGATTAAAGCACCAACGAAATGAAAGTCTATGGGTTCGAAAAAAATATCATTGTGCGCCGAAAACGAAGTTCTTTCAGATGGTGTATAAACGATATTTTTTTTTCAAAATTAAAGAACCCCAGCAAACCCTCACTACGTTCCTGCAGTATGGTAGTAAAACATAAAAAAAAGTTACTTACAACAACGCGGACTTTAACACGACTTGGAACTGATTATCGCTGGGTATTTTTTGGGCAAATTCCCATAAATATTCGTTCATTATTGATGAATATGATAAACTATCTGTGAGGGCAAACAAAACACAACACTATGTCCCGAATCAAAACAAACAAAATGCACGTGAAAGAAACAAACAAAAATTTCCAAAAATTTGTTGAAATGTTTCAACAATGACAGACACGTCAAAAGAAAACCACTGTCACTGAAGTTCAAGCAAAATTTATCACAGTGCAATTTTTCCTGTCTGCTTGTCGGTTCGGTCTGTGCAAAAGTTCGTTTCGCGGAAAATACTTCGATCAGCAGTGCGTCCGTTTTTCCACGGGATTCGTTTGGTACTCTCCAGCGAAATCTAGTACCGGTGAACAGCACGAGAACTGTCTTGTCGCGGTCATAATGTCGTTCCTTGCTCGTAATGTGACCAGGAGCCTGGTGCAGGTGAGTTTTATTTTGATAGCCACAGGAAAATGTTTATGTAACCACCCTTTTGCTCAGAGCTCTATACAGCAATTGTGGCCGATGTCCTTGGCGATGGGGCGAGAGGTTATAGTTTCGAAAATGTAATGTTTATTTCGCTCTTTTTAGGCTTCCTGCCGTGGAATCCATTCCACTGGAACCGTCCAGACACCGAATGTAAGTAAACATGGGCGCTATCAGAGGAGATGTTAATTTACTGACCCTTTGTTTACTTTCACACCTGCAGAAGTCGAACAAGGAGGGTCGTATTACTTGCACAATGATCCCCGGTGATGGTGTAGGTCCCGAGTTGATGTACTCCGTGCAAGAGGTCTTCAAAGCAGCTGACGTTCCGGTTGACTTTGAGACGTTTTTCCTATCGGAGGTTAACCCTGTACTGAGCTCTCCATTGGAGGACGTTGTGCGGTCTATTCGGAAAAATAAGGTTTGCCTCAAGGGTATCCTAGCGACTCCCGATTTTAGCCGTACCGGTGAACTGGAAACGATGAACATGAAACTCCGTAACGAGCTAGACCTGTATGCGAACGTTGTACACGTGGTTAGTTTGGAGGGAGTCAATACCCGCCACACGGGCATCGACACGGTCGTCATCCGTGAGCAGACTGAAGGCGAATTTTCTGCCCTCGAGCACGAAGCCATTCCCGGGGTGATTGAATGTTTGAAGATTATCACCGCTCAGAAGTCGGCTCGCATTGCCAAGTTTGCCTTCGACTATGCCACCAAGCACAACCGCAAGAAGGTTACTTGTGTCCACAAGGCTAACATCATGAAGCTGGGCGACGGTCTGTTCATGAGGAAGTGTGAAGAGGTAAGCGTTAGCTATTAATCGAACTCTTCTAAAGTACAACTAAGTCTTGTTATCTACATTCCAAACAGATTGCCAAGCTGTATCCACGAACGCAGTTCGAGAAAATGATCGTTGACAATACTACTATGCAGTTGGTGAGCAATCCGAATCAATTCGATGTCATGGTTGCACCAAATCTGTACGGTAACATTATCGACAATATTGCCTCTGGATTGGTCGGCGGTGCCGGTGTCGTTGCTGGAGCATCGTACTCCTCCGAGCATGCCGTCTTTGAGCCGGTAAGTTTTAAACTGTTATAGAGACTTGGAAAAGCACACGGTCATTCGTAGATTTGAACAACCAGGCTAGTAAAAAAATTCCATAGTTTGGCTATGACGGTACCAGTACCGTGCCGGCACCAAACTTTGCGCAGTTCCTAATGATTGTGCGCCCATGTATATTCGATCCTTTGGAAATGGTCAATTGCAAGGCCGTTTAATCTGACTCAGTTTGAGTAACTTGTACTCATATGAAAGAAAAATTGCTAAAAACGTATCTAGGTTACTCAGCGGTGCCATAATAAACAAATACCATAAACGAACGGTAACCAAAATAGTCGAACTTTTCCACAAATTGTTTGAATGATACTCTGAACAAGCAAAATAACCATACAATTTTTATTAGGGTGAGTGACCTACGTTTTTAGACATTTCTTTATCAGCTGAGTAGAAGTTACTCTCTCCGATTGAGATTTAACGGCCTTGTATGTATGGGGAGAGGCCCTCTTTCCGATAGAATTGTCGACTTACATTGATGGACTTTGAAAGGATTACATCACACGAACAGTTTAAAATGACGTTTCCTACCACTAGAACTTTGTCGTGGAACCATATATTGAAAAAAAAATCTTTTAGAACCTCAAGAAAATAGTCTTATTTATGATAAGCTACAAAAATCAGGATTTTGTTATTTATTTTCTTAAAATCGCTGGTCGTCCCAAAACTGCTCGACAATATGATTAATTACCAGAAATTAACCACTTCATTCGAGCAGTTAAAATGACGTTTACTACCACTCGAACTTAGAAATAAAACGTTATTTTTAGATTTTTTCTTCTAGAACCACGAGAAAAGTAGTCAACATTTGTGCGTTTCATAAAAAAATAGAAATTAGTTGATTCAGTTTTGTGAAATCGCTGGTAGAAAGTCACGCCAAAACTGCTTGACAAAATGGTCAATTAACCACTTCATTCGAGCAGTTGAAAATTACATTTACTACAACTCGAAATTCAGAATAAAATAATATTTTGGGATTTTTTCTTCTAAAACCACAACAGAAGAAACCAAAACTTTTGGCATTCATAAAAAATAGCAATTTATTGGTCCAGTTTTCTCAAATCACTGGTAGAACATCATGCCAAAACTGCTTGACAAAGTGGTCCATTTACAGAAGAAGGCCCTTTGGAAGGTAGTGCTACATTACCCCGAATGTCACTTCCCCGAACGCCATTACCCCGAATGGACTCTTCTCAAATGTGATTTTGGGCCGTATGAATAAAAAGAGTTGACTTTACTTTCCCGTGCTTTTCTTACGGGAAAATTAAAGTAAACGCTTTTATTCATACGACCTTTAACCTTCTTTTGATTGCTGCTCGATGTTTCCACATTCGGGGTGTTGGGCGTTCAGGGTAACTTAATCGAAGACTTTCAATTAACAATATGGCCAACTAATCGATCCCATGAACAATTCAAAGGATATATACATCCACCCGATCACATCCAATCAAGCGATTTCACATTGAAACAAGTCATCCCCAATCCCGATCTGTTGGTCGAACGAAAGGTCGTTCATGAATGCTGCTAAATTCTTGTCGCTCACATTTGCAAGAGGTGTAGGAGGTCTTCTGTAATCCACAGTCAAGTTTATTAATAATTTATCTGAATATCTGCAGACAGAAAATTATCTGATTCGCAAAACTGTCGAAATTTTCTTCCGGTTTAATTTGAAAAAATCTTCAGAATGGGCCAGAAGTTTTTTTTTCTTCTGATTTCTTCAAAAAGGCCATTCTTTGCTTGATCTTTAAATCTTATTTCGCCGGAAATTCAGTCCATCTTTCTACGGAAGCTAGTTTTAGTTCTATTAGCATGTTTCTTACGATTTCCACCGGAAGATTCTTCCAACTCCTCTTGGGGTGTTTTTTTTTTTATATTTTCCCGTATGTTTTTTTTTTTGCCGATACCGGGAGATTATTGTAATTTATCCTGGAAGCTTCATCTGACTTCCCCAGGTGCTACTACTTACTTATCAATCAGGCTAAGGTCTTGTTGTCCTCTGCTGTCCGAAGAAGTCATCTCCACAGAAGTCATACTGCCTTTCACCAAAACTGTCTTCCGGAAGTATTTCTAAACTTTCTATGACACATTATGCCAGCTTACCACGGATTTTTCTTCCCCGGAAGTTTTTCTGGATGTTCATTCAAACCAAATTTCTCTTAATTTATTGATACCCAAATCATAAATAAGAGATCCCGGGAATTAAGCATGTCTGTTTTAGTTGTTTCTCAGGAAATCGAACCAGCTTCCCTGGAATTTGGAAACGTGATTTTTGGTAAAATTCACGGGAATCCTTGCCATGAATGTTAATGGTAGAAGTAGAAAGCACTTAAAACTTCGGTAATACATAGCAGGGTGACCAGTGAACCGGAAAATCTGGAAAAATCCGTGACATTCGATGACAAACCCTGAAGGAATATAGGGGAAATGGCTCTAATGTTGGCCTATGGATCTAAGATTGGGCCCATCGCTAAAAATCTGCTATTTAGGGGAAATGCAGGTAATGTTGGCCTAAGTGTCCCTAATTTGGGCCCATACATAAATTCAACAATCGACTAAATTTTCAATAGCAACCAAAAATATCCATTAGGGTAGAGAACTACTTCGGCCTAATCGCCCATTTAGGGCCTATCGAGCAGAAAACTTCAAATTAATCCATGATTTCAGAGTTAACAAGTCAATTATGCGTTTGGTACGATACTTTAGTTAATAAGCTACCGAACGAAGTCAATGAGAACGCGTGATATGAAGGTTTGCACCCATTATTCCAGAAAAACAAAAGAAGCGCTCCGACCGAATCATGTTTTATCTTCATCCGATAGGCCGAAGTGAATTCATTGGCATTTCAATTGCGTTTCAATGCGTTAGGCCGTGTAATTAAATTTAGAAGCCATCAGTAATAATAACATTCCATTTGGTGCTAAACTGCGCTAGATTAAGAAAGACTAAGTGCGGGTTGTGCTTGATAGGCCGCAATTGGGGTAGTTAACCCTATTAACATCCCAATAACGCGTTCATCTAGATAAAATTGATAAATAGCAGATTTTTAGCGATGGGCCCAATCTTAGATCCATAGGCCAACATTAGAGACATTTCCCCTATCAATTTTATCTAGATGAACGCGTCATTGGGACGGTACTAATGGATATGTTTGGTAGTTGTTGAAAATTTAGTCGATTGCTGAATTTATGTATGGGCCCAAATCAAGCTGAACATTGCATAAGGTCCTAAGTAACATTGATCGATTCTCTTCGTCGACTTTCTCTTTCGTTAATAACTTGAACACATAACCGTTTCTTGTTGTGTTTGTCGTATTAGATGCTAGATAAAAACTTCTTTCATCGACCTGTGAGCTGAAAATACCTGGGAATGTCTTTACATGGCCGTGGGAATACAAAGAAAAAGTCGATGAAGAGAATCTGTCAATGTTACTTAGGACCTAATGCAATGTTCAGCTTGAAATTAGGGGCATTTACAGGCCAGTAACAAGTCCTATACCAACAGCAGCGTTTGACAGTAGGCAGCATGTCCCGGGCTCAAATCGTTTATTTTGCTGTACTGGGCCCGCTGTCATGGTATAACATGTTGCCAACGCGCCTTCCACTGGGCTGGGGCATTTAGGTCGACATTACATCATTTCCCTTACCTACTTAATCTTTTTTTTTCGAAAAAAATATTGGAACAATTTAAAGAATTTTGGATTGGGCTAGATGTTTTAAATTAATTAGTACCTTTGAAGAAGAACTATAAGACAATTTTAGTTTTTTTTTGCAAGGATTTTTGAGAAGGTTTTAGAATGATTTTTTGTGAAAATACCAAGATATTTTAGAAAAAATTATAGGGAGTTTTGAAAAGAATTCTAATGGCAATAAGCTCCAACTCAGTGGCGTTTCTTAACCTCAATCTACCTGCGCACCAACTCTCAAACTATAAACAATTATCAAAATATTGCTTGCAATGGATAGATATAGAGTAAACTAGAAGATTAAATGTATTTTTCAACCGATTCGAGTATGAATATGGTATTGAATCTGGTTTTGAAGGTTGATGCACAGGTAAAAAGAGTGGCTACGGGACGCCACTGCTCCAACTATCAACTTTTATTACCGTCCCTATTTGCATGATCTACAAAATGTTTACTTAGAGTCGTGTTGATTAACTGTGATGTCAAGCAGCCGGACATTCTTGATCGGGATTTAATCCGAGTATAATACCGGCTTTTAAGAGAGTTTTTACTATAACTCAGGGGGTAGTCGCTCTGCCACATTGTGATAATACCCACAAAAACACACTTTGTCATACTTCAAACACCCTTCCGCCGTATAAGATTTTTTTTAAATCAATACTGGCACCACTGCAAGTAATGTTTGCATCCGATTATTTTGAACAAAAAAAAATAGAAAAAAACATCATTCTGTAAAGGCCCACCCACATTAGATCCGTTTGCGTTGCGTTGACGTAAATGTGACAGTTAGACAATAGATTTAGCTGTCACTTTGCCGCAACGCGTCAGATCCGGATCTAATGTGCGTGGGCCTTAATAGCCGGGATAGGTAAACATTATCAGGGTGTCTACTACATGGAAAAACCTGGAAAACCGGGAATTTACAGGGAATTTTATTTTTCTGGAAAAACCTGGAATATTCAGGGAATTTTGGTTCCACTCAGGGAATTTTTCAATTATCACTTCATTCGTAATTCAAAAGAAGTTTTTCGTTCTGTTTCTCGAAACGTTTTTTAAGGACACTGAACTTGACAAGCATCTGACAGCTAAGACAACGTGTGCGAACAAGACAAGGTCATTCAGAGAGTCTTGTCACGCTCGCTCTTCGCTGATTTGTATGTGGAGGATCAAAATCGTCGTAAAAGGAAGCATACGAAGCATGTATTGTATAAGAATAAGCATACCAGACAGCAGGTCTGAGACCCAACATATAATTTTTTTTGAGCTTCAGAGAGGGTCGGAGATCTACTGAAAAATTTGTTGAGCTTCAGGGTAGTTTGTAGATCTTGAGAACAGAACTGCAAACAAATTAAAAGTTATTAACAGAAATTCATAAAAACAAAATCACAAGAGAGGTCGTAGATCTTCAGATAAATGTTCAAAGAAATTTTCAAAACTTCAAGCAAGCAAAAATAATTTCAAATCAATTTGTAAAACTATAAGCGAAATTTTACAAATCTTCAGGGAAATTCGCATAACTTCAGACAAGTCCAAGAATCTACAGTGAAATATAAAGTATTTCACAGAAGTTTGGAGATCCTCGAAACATTATTCAACATCACAAAAGTTCGTAGATCTTCAGAACAAAGCTACAGAACTTTGAAAAAAATCACAGGACTTCTGAAAAAATCGCAAGAATCTCAGAAATGTTAATGGATCTTCAGTAAAAATTGCAGAACTTCAGGGATTTAAAAAAATAAATATTTACACGATTTCAGGAAAATTTGTAGATCTTGAGAGAGACATTTAAAACTTCAAGGAAGCTCAAATATTTTCTGATAAATTTTGACAACTTTAGGTAATCTTCAAGGAAATTTTCAAATCTTCAGGGTAACCCTAGAGGAATTTACAAAACATCAGAGAAGTTTGCAGATCTACTGAGAAATTTATGGAGCCTCAATTTTTTTTTGTAGATCTTGGGAATAGAGCTACGGAGCTTAAGACAACTTTACAGAACTTTAAAGATATTTGCAGGAATTTGACGGAAAGTTTCACAGTTTCACACAAATGTGAGATCTTCAGAAAAATTCGTTAAATGTCAGAAAAGCACCTCAATTCCAAAAACAAATCGCAGCGAAGTACAAAAGTACAATATTTTGCAGAACTCCATGGAAGTCGGAAATAGATGAATCTAAAGAACTTCAGAGAAGTCCGTAGACCTTAAGAGAAGTCTGTAGAACGTCAGAAAATTCGTACGTTTTTAGAAAAAATTGCAAAACTTCAGCAAAACTCGCAGATCTTCGGGAAAGTTCGCCGATCTTTAGATCAAGAATCCACAAAGAAATTTAAATAACTTTAGAAAAGTTCGGAGATCTACTGTGAAATTTATTGAACTTCAGGGCAGTTCGTAGATCTTTAGAGCAGAAATACAGTACTTTAGAAAACTTTACAGAATTTGAAATAAATTTTAGGAACTTTAGAAAAGTTCAAAGGGTAGGTCGTAAATCTACTCAAAAATTAGCAGATGTTTAAATAAATTTTCAGAATTTTACTGCGGTTCTTGGATTTTGAAAGACATTCACAGAACTTCAGGTAAGTTCGCTGATCTTTAGAGATATTTGCACAGCTTCAGAAAAATTAGAAAAACTTCAGAATACTTCCTAAAACTTCCGGAAAGTTCAAAAATTTCTAGATAATCTTTTAATTCTTTAGAAAATTGTATAGATGTTCAGAGATATTTGCAGATATTCATTGAATCATGAAAATCTGCAGAGAAAATTACAGAACTTTCGAGAAGTTTGTAGATTATTAGAAATGTTGTGAACATCAGAGATAATTGTTGATCTTCAAGAATCTTAAATTTTCAGGGATTCAGGAACTTTGTAGGTTTTTAGGAAAATTTGCTGAACTTCTGAAGAACACACAGAACTTCAAAGAAATCTGTAGAACTACCGAGACATTTGCAGATTGTCAGGAAAGATTGTTGATTTTTAAGGAAATTTTACCGGAGAACAGAAACAAAACTTCAGGGATGTCAGAAGGTTTGAAGACCTTGCAGAATTGAGTTGTGTATCAGAAATTTTCAGAACTCAAGGAATCATGTATATCTAGTGAGAACTTTTCCCACGAGCTTGTCTAAAGTTGGTATCGACATCCTGGCGAAGTTTTGAAATCCATTTTCATCTTCATATCGCAGCTCTTGATGGACAAGATGAGCCAAATCCCTGCCGGTGTTCCTCCTGAGCAACCATTTCCTACTCCTCAAAGTTCACCTTCTCTTTCTCATTTTATTTAAAATAATAAAAGCAAATACGTCTGCCGAAACTAGAGCAATTTTCCGGTAATTCATGGGGGAAGTATTTACTTTTGATTCCTGATACAGTTTTGTTTTGAAATCTAAATTGACAGTTCTTTCGACATGTGCAAGCAGTGTGAACACCAGCAAACAACAGCTTTGGGTTGGGGAAAGCTTCCCTTATCCGATGATGCTGGTAATTTGCGTTCGATTGGCGAAGACAGAATAATCAATGTTTTGTTTATAAAAGTTGATAGTACCTTTTCAATTGTTGGTCTAATATATTGTGTGTGGCAGGATAATTTCTCAAAAAGGGATTATACCATCTGTTTTCTGTTTATGGCCGTACGACTGCGCCCATTGATTTAACACACGGTGGCTCTTTATCCAGGATTCGCTCCTCAAGCCGCTGCCATAAAAATATCAAAGTTACACACCTATGTATAATCCTTATGGGCGGGGTTGCAGCGCGCTTATGAGCGGCGCGCTTCGACCATCATCAAATGAGAATTTAACATAAGCACGACAATACACAGAAACAAAATCAATTGGCAAAAATACTATATTGATGGTTTAAATTAAATACTCCCACCAATAGATTTGTGCAGAAACGAAATTCATTTAATTTGACTAATTTTTCTATCGAAACTACTATAACGTTTGAGTCAGCATAGTAGTTTTGACAGAATGGTTGTAAATTTGATTATATTTATAGTCAACTATACTGAAATCATGGTCGATTTAACGGTATTAAGCGTAGTTATACTGAAAATAAGTGTTTTCTGCAAAATAGTATTCCTAACTATTATCTTTGTTTCAGTGTATATTGAATTGGTTCCGCTTTTTGATAGATCGAAAATCTATCCGCCAAACTATGAATATAGCGACTATAGTTGAGATCCACGAATGCAGCAGTCCACGTAAGGGGCTGGCCATAAACTACGTAGACAGTTTAGGGGGGGTTGACAATTATCCACGGCCCATACAAATTTTAATTTTTTTTGTATGGAAAATTGTCTACGCAGGGGGGGGTCAATAATCCCAAAAAACTGTCTACGTAGTTTATGAACAGGCCCTAAACAGTACCACTGAACTCTCATTCGATTGAGGTTAACCCCGGCGGTGCAAAACCTTATTGTGGGTGTATAATAAGTCACGCCAAGATTGAAGCCAAGTCTACCTATTGAACTGTCAAACCGGCTACCTATCGTGCAACGTAAACAAGCATTACGATGCTATGAAAGGTCCACGAAAGGTATTGGAATTAAATATAAAATATAATTGAAGAAATTATCATATACACGCAGTGAGCATTACATTTGTCATGCGATACGTGATAAGTAATGACAATTTCTTCTATTTTTCTTTAAGATAATTCGACAAAATCACTGATGTAATGATTTACTACAGCCGTTAATTTTTTTCCTCGCTAGAAGTCATTTGAAGTTGATGCATAAGTCCTCTGTTGCCAAGTTAAAAGAAAGGGAATCTTTTGAAAACCGTGATGCGAGTTCAATTGTTTTTCTCTTGGCGTGACTCATTATACACCGACTCTAGGTTAAGTGACTCTCCATTTGATTTGCACGGAGACAATTATTATTGTCACTTCACTGTCACCTCACCTCACAAGCCGCGTAGAATAGGCCTAACATTTTGGAATGTTATCTATAAAAATAGAACTATTATTCACAGTTACAGAAATGTCAGTAAAGGAAGCGTCATAAATCTACAACTTTAATGTAATTGCCAGATTTTACGAAAGATTTCCCAGAATATTTAGAACCACAAATTAAATTCTCATGATTTCAGGTGTAAATCCTATAGTTTACTTAAAACTAAAGTGAAAAATCAATCAAAATTAACAACATTAAATATTGATGTTTAACTCAGTGATGAGTAAAGGCCGGCGCACAATGGATAAGTTTTCAGGTTTTTTGACAGTTAGCCCATGCATTATCTGTCAAAAAACCCGGAAACTTATGCATTGTGCGCCAGCCTTATTATTTTGATAAGATAGTTTAGTCAAAATTGTCTCAATTGGCGTTCACGGCGACTCTGTAGCTCTTTACTCCTATGAGAAAATTCATAAGCAAACGTCAGACCATAGAGGTAACTGTCAGACTGTGCGTGAAACATGGCAGACTTTGTACTATCCTTTCACTCCACCGAAAATTCCCATAAGAAACTGTCTATATTTGCTGGAAGAGCAAATTTTTCGACGGTGCCGTCAACGCTCATAGACCAGCACTGCTCACCGTGCGGCCCGCGTGTCGGACGTGGTCTCTGGATCTTACAATAATATCATTCTAGTCCAATGTTATCATGATTTTTAGCTCAAAATGAATGAGAAAGAAACAAAATGCAGCTTGAAACATGTTCATCGAAAATAATTACAGCCATTTAAAAAAGCAACTTTTGACGGGTTGGGCAGGCCTGTAGGTTAAACGAACGGATACAAAGATATAAGAGATCCCAAATTTTCTATTTTCTTTCGTAGACATAATGAAGTAATGTTCCTTATTAGAGAGTTGTATAGATTTTTCTCCTTTAGCTTACTTAAATCTTTGGTTTTTATTAGTTAGGTAGGTTCCGATTCAACACATTGTAGTTTCATTTTTATATTAAATTAAATGGAAGATAACCTTTTTTGCTGTTTTATTTCGTAGACAGTTTTAAATTAATCAATATCCAATATTCTTACTTCGTTCTTTGTTTTAGGGTGCACGTCACACCTTCGCCGAGGGTGTAGGCAAGAACATTGCCAACCCCACTGCCATCCTGCTGTGCTCATCCAAGATGTTACGCCATGTCAACCTATTGCACTACAGCCAGATGATTTTCCAGGCCGTGCAGAACGTACTTAAGGCGGGCAAAGTCCGCACCAAGGATCTGGGCGGTCAGTCAACCACCGATGAGTTTACCAAAGCCGTAATTCACAACCTGCAATAAAAGTGCAAATAATATGGCCATCTAGCTGCGTTTAGAGTAAGACACCCCACCACGCATCTGTATTAAACACTGGCACCGTACTAAGTGCGAGAGAAACCCTTACTCTGTACGTTTCAATTAGCTTCCGCGATTAATTTTAGATAAATCCTTCCTTCGCATGAAGTTCGTTAATTTAATTGAAAATACCTATTTATTAAAATATCCTCCTACCGAAAAAAAAACACGACAAATAAACTACTAAAGTCATCATTCGATTAATGCGATCGCCAAAAATTGTTTATTTTGATGAGATCCCGTGTTCTCTAGTTTGTTAAGTACAGTTGAAATTGTGATTCGAAATATGTAAATCAAAGTTTACAGACTTAAATAATGTATGTTGTCAGGTTGTCACCTTCTTGGGTTTAGCCAGCTCCACTGCCGCTCTTCGCATGTCGGTCCCATAGTCGTTTTTGTCAAAACTGAGTTTCAATGCAAATGGTAGGTATTACCCATATTTTCATAATACTGGATGAACTCATCAACTTTGTTCTGAAAAGGTTTGGAAAGGCAGTCACATTGGTGGAAGCCGGCGCCGGTGGTGTAGTGGTAAGCGTGACTACGTTCTCACCCCAATGGGTCTGGCTTCAATCCCAGCCGAAGTCGGTGGGATTTTTCTGAGGCATAAAAATCTCTCGTCACGTCTTCCTTCGGAAGGGAAGTAAAGCCGTTGGTCCCGGCCCATGTGTGTTGAATGGGTGCGATATCCTTCGCAGGTGTGGAGGTTGCCTTCCTGCACATTCGATTGCCGTCAATGGATGGCAATCGATGTCCGTCGGTGATTGGCACTAGATTGCGGAACAGAGACCGACGTTAATTAAAGGAATGAAGAAAAAAGGAGAAGAGTCGTATTGGTTGTCCCATCACATAAGAAGTAATGGTACGAAGCAAACTTAAAACGCGATTTTCTCGGCTTTCCCATTTTCGGTATGGGACGGACATGCGAAGAGCGGCAGTCCAGTACGCAATCGCTTGCCTTTGCCTTTAGGGCACCACGCTTAACGGATTCTCGCGGTATTCCTTTCTCATGTTCCGGAAAACCTTCGGCTTCGAAAGCTCGATTACTCTTACTCAGGCTACAAGGATGTCGTGCGTGTAAATCGTTCAAAATAAGGAACGCATGGTTGCTTTCTTAAATATTTTCTCTAAGTAAAACTTGAATAATTATGCATCCATATTTATTGTATACAAGCACTTAGATCTGTCTTGTCCCCCCTTCTCGATTCTCATCGTCGCCCACTGGTCACCATAGACGGTCAAACTCCAGACGAATCTAGAATCGCACTACCACTGGAGACAACGAAATCCTATCCCCATGCTCCTCCCCTGATCATATGCTTCGATAATGTACCCCTCTAACACAGAACAGAAGTTGAAGAAGTATGAGCGAATCAGCGTAGGGTCGGGTGGGGCACGAGTGCCCCTATGGGACAAAAGGGCCATGCGTCTTAAATTGAGTGAAATCGATTAATGCTTGCTTATAAACATAGCTTTTTGATTATTAATCATGCTAGCAACAGCTGTTATTGTTTACGCAATTTAACTATTGAATTTCACAATATTATTCAATACATAACAAATGAACTATGTTAACCAATGAAATCAAATGAAAACTATTGTTGTTGATATTTTATGTAGCTAGTTTTGTCAAATTTGGCTTACCGAAGACTTAAATGGCCAATGATGCAATTTCTTTTACATTTCTGTATAATTTTATTCATACGGTGGCACTCTTGCCCCGTGTGAGGTTCATTTTCAAGAAAATTATTGTTGACCAATTGTAGGCAATATTTATATATTCTTTGTTATTGGTGTTTCAATTATTCATTATTACTGATGCCTCAATGCAGGAATTGTAGAATATAATATTTGGAAATTCAAAAATCCTTATTTTATGATGTCGAATTATTATAAGTACAGGGTTGTTACAAGATTTTCTAAATTTGATCCGCGAAATCCGCGATTTCTCATAAGAAATCCGCGACTTCAAATACTAATCCGCGACATAAAAAACTGTTTTCATTGTCTAAAAATAGCATTTGTATACTACTATTATAGTATATATTATATAATATGGCATTTCAAGCTTATTGCTTATAGCATATTAGATTTTTGCCTACTCTCAACTTAGTGTTCTTTGAAGTACTTTCACATTTTAATTAAGAGCTTTCTATGCCTGTACCATCCTATGCCCAAGGAAGTAGAAAAAATTTCCAACCCGAAAAATTAATAGACCGGACGGGAATCGAACTCAGTCGCCTCCAGCATGAACTTGCTTTGTTTCACCAACTGAACTAATGGAGCATCGAAAATTTAAAAAAATAACACTGTATCATCTTCAGTTATTTATGTATAGTATAAATACTGAGAAATTAGTGAACATAATAAAACACCCTTACATTATGAGATTTCTATTGAACAATACCGGCCTAGATTTGATGAAACATTATGTTGTCCAAATTAGTGCATTTTCATTTAAAATGCAAATTTTCTTGAAAATTAACCTTTGCGTCTCTGACGTATTTTGCTGTCAATGTTGTAGTTAATTTGTTAATTAATTTCTAGTTTTCTCAATTTTATACCGATTCAAACCAAACACCATGCACATAATCGAGAAAATAACATAGTTTCATAAGTCATACTTGTTGGTCACGTCGCGGTTGTATGTTTACACGGATGATATTACTTGGAGTCTGTCCCAATCTCGGTTAATCTTAATCGGTTATCTGAACTCGAAGAACCTGAACGGTTTGAAGAACCTTGAACAACTGGATTACTCGGAAATAGATCATGTATGATTCACATAGACACTTTGAATCTGTTAGGACGTATTTCGATACTACAGACATTATTGCAGTCTTGGTTGATATAGTAGAACAAATCAACTGAACTCCAGGGCGATTTGGAGAACCTAGAATATCCGGTATACATGGCAATTACTCGCATACATACGATTCGTTTATGATTTGACAAAGAAAATGTTATGTCCTTATTGAAAAAAAAAAGGAAAATGTCTCACATTGGACAGACCTTAGGGCTAGTTTGTTTTCTTTATTAAGGAGACTTTCAGCCGAACGCTGGTTCGTCTCCAAGACCTCAGGGAATTTCCGTGTAAATCCAGTGTGACTTATGGAATTGAGATCATTTCTCGATTATTTGCCAGGCTTGATGGAGCCTCGCTCGCGAGTTTGAAATGAGCCGAGCGTAGCATTTTTCTGAGGAGTAAATGCCTACTGCCAAATCATTCCACCGAGCTTCAGAGCTTTTTTTTTCTTTTTTTTTTATTTTAGTCACTTTAACGCTCTTGGGTCATTCGTGACTTGTCCGAGGGTGAGATTTGAACTCGTGACTTTGGCGTGAGAGGTATGGATGCTAACCACTACGCAGGGGTCGCTCCCTGCTTCAGAGCTTGTGAGCGCCCTAATAAACGTGTACCATATACTGACGATATCTTAGATGGTGCGACCATACCACATAAAATTGGGATGATATCCCGAATTGGTGGTTAGGCGCATCTTATGGTTATTGTTTATGCGGGCGAAGGGGGATAAAATGAGAGTGAGGTTTGCTGCCCTTCATGTTCATGTTTTCTGTCACACGCTCTTACTCTCACTCTGGGTGAACTCTGAGCTTCTTGCGTCGAACAAAAAAGTTATCCGGAGTCTCGAAAAGCGCACCTCACGTCAAATCATCCTCTCGCTGAAGTTCACTCTCCCTCTCTTTCGATGAGTTTTTGTTTACTTCTTCCATATTCCTGTCACTCGAGTAGAGGGCTGGCTAAACTCGCTGGACAAGAGTGTTTTAAAACCTCCAGTGAGTTTGAGGAGTTTCAGTAATACTGTTATTTGCAGGGTGTTTGGTTTGAACCGGTAAAACAAATTGAGAGCCAAATGAACAACAAAATTTATGACAGCAAAATAATCCGGGACGGAAAAGTTACCATGAATTCCACAATTATTATGACAGCACATCAGTCCCTTCGCAATTTTCGCGACATCATTCAATGTTTCCGCGATTTTCGCGACTGAACGTTCAAATTCGCAAAATACGCGCCTGTTTTAACAGCCCTGTAAGTAATTTAGATTTTTGACACAGCAGCACAAAATGATTTTTTGCAATTTTTGTAATATTTCATTTTGGACAGAACTCTGCATATGAACACCATTCATAGTTTCATGAGTGAATTAGCATTGAAAACATGTTTATTTCCAAAATTATAGGGGGTACACTCTTGGCCCACCACACCCTATCAGCCTTCTACCGCTAGGTGCGCTAGTATTCACACAAATAATATGGAGCCACTTTTGGATCCAAAGTTCCACTTCTGTTCTGTGCCTCTAACATCATGTATTGTCATCAAGTATTCTTCCCAATTCATACTTGACATATAATTAAGTGAATTTTGTTGCAAACAATGAACAATAGATTATCGGCTCCATAAAGCTAACACGATTGAGCATTCCAAATAAAATAAATTGACAAAAAAGAACTTAGATGTTCAGTCTACACGATTAAGAGAAGAAGACTTAGTAATTTTTAGAACAATTATCCGGTTACGTTGAGATCTTCTTAAGGACGAGGTTGATACAAACCACAAATGGCCGTTGTCATGGCTGTTTTTCTTTGCAAACTTCCATCAATCTCATCCTTACGCGTTCAGAATATGGAGACTTATCAAGGAAGTAGGATGAAACTTCCGGGGATGTCGCAAACAATTCTGTGCAGATAAAAACGATTAAATAGAATTAGAATTCGGAAATATTTTCTGGATCAAAGGAATCTCTAAAGGTTAGTCTAAGTAAAAATCCGGAAGAAGTCGAAAGAAAATTCCGAAGTTGCACGGTATTGTTTTTCCGATTGTATGACATTCCCCTGAAAGCCATTCCCCAGAATGCTATTCCCCAGAATGCTATTCCCCAGAATACCATTCCCAAGAATGCATCATTTCCCAGAGAAAAAATCCCCAGAATGTACCATTCCCCAGAAAAGCATTCCCCAGAAAAGATGATGAAATTAGTAATTTTCACTTTTCTTTTTTTTTACTATAGATAATACACTATGTTTACTTTTATGGAACTATGTATTTATCAATTCCAAACAATTTTTTAGCTCTTTATAAAATGAAAACCTTTAAGTTTTCGAGCCCTTCGTTCATCATTTAATAAGTCAAAGGGTCTATTATGCAATCCAATTCAACCAGTCGGAAACTGTTAAACCTTATCGAAGAATTGTTCGACCTGAGTTGAAGAATTTCTCGTGATGGATTAAAAAATCGGTGCATGGAACGTTGAACTACCGATTACAAGTTTATAACATTATTCCACTCGTTATAATCCCAAATGGTCATTACCCGGAATCCCTTGCGAAAAGCTATTGATTATATATTTTCCTTATATATTAAAAGAAGGGAATATTCCCTTCTTTATCATACATCCAAAGAATTAATTATTTTCTCTTTTATATATTCAAAGAAGGGAATATTCCCTTCTTTATCGTTTATCCAAAGAATTAATTATTTCCTTTTGTTATATTTTCAAAGAAGGGAATATTCTCTTCTTTATCATATATTTAACGAATTAATCATGTTCTCTTTCATATATTAAAAGAAGAGCATATTCCCTTCTTTATCGTATATCCAAGGAATTAATTATTTCCTTTTCTTATATTTTCAAAGAAAGGAAAACGCCTTGTTCCATTAAGAAGTTTTTCTATTCTTTTTATAAACGCGAAAGAAGATTCCAGGAGTGACTATAGTAAACAAAAATTGTCAATCTAATACATGGCATACTTTTCTGGGGAATGGTACATTCTGGGGAATGGTTTTATTGGGAATAGTCCGTTCTGGGGAATGTCATACAATCGTTTTTCCAATGGAAGCAACTCCGGAGAACTTCGAGATTAGGGCGTAATTGCTTTTGTAAACAAACGCATGTCACCGATTTCTCGCGAATTAAAGTTCAATCTCGAAAACTAACAACACAAACAGGTAGATGAATGACTCCACTATCATTTGGTATAGTTTGTTTGCCAGATTGAGCTTTTATTCGCGAGCAATCGGCGAGTAACTTGTTTTTTTATTCACAAAAGCAATTACGCCCAAATCTCAAAGTTCTCCGGAACTAAATCGGGCGTAAACGCGATGATCGATTCACTTCGTCGATTTTCTCTTTTGTTAATAACTCGCTAGAATTAACGTTTCTCTGTGCGTTTGCTGTTGCTTTTGATAGCCAATACAACCTGTTACAACTCTACATTGAACAAATTCTATTAAATTGTTTCGCTTAGCTGTAGCAATGCAAAGAGAAAATACGCCCTTATGCATGCTCACTGTCGAAATAATTTTCTGGTCTCTGAGGTGAATTTACATATTCTCGTTAATCTAAGCATAGTCCACGCTTCTATTAGCATTTTTTCAGCGTCACGCACACATATGACGTGTTTGTTTGTATATCTAATGCTTGCTTCTCTATCCATCCCAATCGACAGAATTGTCCAATACTCCCCCCTATTCTGCGAGTCACGGACTATCTCTCTCACCGGTGAGGTGACAATAGTCACCTCGTGTGAGGTGACTCCATTTGATTTGCATGGAGAGTCACCTCACACGAGGTGACAATTGTCGCCTCACCGGTGACAGAGAGTCACGTGACTCGCAGAATAAGGGGGACTGTTTTTAAAACGCTCCAAACTTCTCAGGTGAGTGTGTCGGTAGCCTCTTTTTCTTCGGCAACCTTTCCATTTGAACTGCGTGTTAATCAGCTTTTCTATCATCGGCAACTTGAAATCATTTGTAGTGCTTATATTTAATTTAAAGAAAAATCTGGCATAACATGACTGTTCAGTCGTAAAAATGTAATCAGATTGAAGCTGAAAGACTAAGGAATCGTGTGAATACATTCAGCGAAGTGTTTAATCTGAAGTTAACGTTTAAATTTTGATTGCCGAAAACAGTCAATGGGTGCCGAAGCCGACATTTACCCTAAAATATTTCCCGATTACCTACCTACCGGAAATTCCCGGGAAGAGTCATCAGCTGTTTCAAAGAAGGTAAAAATTACCGGCAAATTGATGCACTAACTAAAAACTTTATTTTCGCACATGGGGTTTCTTTCTGTAATAAAGCACAATTGCTTTGATTGTTTTTAACGGTATAATGCTTCGTACTTTTTAACTACACGAAAAAAAATGCATATGCATACATTAATTAACAACGGAAAACAAAAAAAAAATATAGGTAGGAAGGATATAACAAATTTAAATGTGATAATCCACCAAAAATTGGACCACTAAAGTATGCTCAGGCAGGTTCTTTGTTTGAAAATATCGATGGGATTGCGAAACAACAAAAAATCTGTCTGTCGTTCGTATTGAAACATCCCAGCTTAACAATTAATATGAATTAATTTACTTATACATCGACGCCTCACTTGCTAGGGTAAAATTTCTTCGATGGATCCTTCGCCATATCAACCAGAATTTGCGCTGGCTGGAATGGAGCACCGTACAAATCGGCGTACAACCGCATCTTGTCCACCAGCTTAGCAGCACCATATTGATCCACCCAACGGAATGGGCCACCGGTGAATGGTGGGAATCCGAGACCGAACACGGCACCAACATCACCCTCCAACGGGCTGTCCAGAATCTTTTCCTCAAGACACAGCACTGCTTCATTCACAAATCTCGAAACCATACGCAGCTGCATATCTTCAACACTGTTAGCGCCTCGAGATTGCAAGGCATACTTTTGCTTCAAAATGGCCAGAGCACCCTGGTTAACTTCACGGTTCTTGCTCCTGCCACCCTCGTACATGAACACACCCTTTCCGGATTTACGTCCCATGAAACCAGCCTTAACCATGTCCTCCATGACGCCAAGGCTTCCGCCGCTGAACCGCTCACCAAACGCCTTGGACAGGTCGACGGCAATGTGTGCACCAACATCGATTCCGACTTCGTCAGCCAGCGTAGCTGCGCCCACCGGGAATCCGAACGACTTGGTCATCTTATCCAGATCCTTTGGATCGACACCTTCCTGGAGCAGTCTGAATCACAAGATAAAGCTTAGAGTCAAAGAAACAAAAACCATCCCATTGAATCTACCTGATTGCTTCAGACAACATAGTCGACAGGATGCGGGTTGTGTAGAAGCCTGGTCCATCTCCAACGGTGATGACCACCTTGCCCTGTCTCAAACCAACTTCGACGGCAGCAGCAGCAGTTTCCTTGGAAGTTCCCGGATGTGTGATGATTTCGAGCAGTTGCATTTTATCTACCGGTGAGAAGTAATGCATTCCGACAACATTTTCTGGCCGCGAGCTGCCGGCAGCAATTTTCGTAATTGGAATAGCCGACGTGTTGGTTGCAATGATGCAGTGCTTTGGAATCACCTGCTCAAGCTCTTTAATAACCTTGTGTTTAATGTCGATATTTTCAAATACTGCTTCAATAACGATGTCTGTATTTCTGAAAGCATCGTAGCTGAGAGTAGCGTTCAGATTGGAAAGAATCTGATCCTTTTCGATGCCGCTGATTCTTTTGCGTTTGATAGCGTTCTGTAGACCGGTTTGGACCTGTCCAACACCACGGCCCAGACCAGCCTCAGTAGTGTCCTTCATCACCACCTGATAACCCTTATCGATGCTTACTTGAACGATACCGGCACCCATCAATCCTGCTCCCAGGACACCAATCTATTTTAAACAAAAATGATGGTCAATTCTGTGAAACACAACAGGGAAATGAAATTTAACTTACTGTCTTTGGTGGGTTGGCGGGCTTTCCAAAACGGTTCTTTTTGCACTCGGTTTGTCCACGGAACAATCCGATGAGGCCCTTCGATTGTGAAGTTTGCGACAGTTCACCGAAGCCTTTACGTTCCGCCTCAGATCCAGCATCGAATCCTTTGTCTACACCAACGCGGATCACATCGATAATCTGTGGAATTATATAAATGTTAATCCCAACATTTCTACTGGTACTTCGAGTATTTCTTACCTTAAGTGGCGCAGGATAGAGACCTCCAGACATTTTCATCACCTGCTCACGAGCTTTACCGAATACTTTGTCTTTAACCCAGTCGATCGAGAAGGCATATTCAGTAACCGTATTCACCAAACCGGACTTTTTTCTGTTGACCTTGAGTTTATCGGAGGCAATGTCCTTGGCTGTTTGGATGGCAACCTTTTCCAGGTACTCAATCGTATTCTCCTCTGACGACTTCAATCCTGGACCCAGGGGGTCCACAAGCAAATCTACAATGCCCATTTTTTTGGCCTTATCGGCTTTAACATTCTTTCCTGTCAGAGCCAAATCTAACGCGGTGAGGATTGAGCTCAATTTGGGTAGCCTTTGGGTGCCTCCAGCACCCGGTAGTAGCCCAAGCATAACTTCCGGAAGTCCCAGATTTGTCTTCTTGTCCTTTACCGCAATACGGTAGTGACAGGCCAAGGCCAACTCCAGACCACCACCCAAGCAGACACCGTTTATGGCAGCCACTATAGGCTTTCGCGATTTCTCCAGCTTATTGAACATAAGTTGACCTTCGTGAGAAATCTTGGTAGCTTCCTCCGCACTCTTACATTTCTCCAGCATAGTGATATCGGCTCCAGCGACAAAACATCCTGGCTTGGCGGAAATCACTACTGCCGAATTGACGGCTGAATTGGTTTCCAGATCACGGAATACGGCATCAAACTCGGCTTGCACTTCGGCGCCCAAAGAATTCACCTTGGAGTTGGGAGAATCTAGTGTCACTACCAAGACATTATCGATGACTTTAGTTTTGATGTGCTTTCCGACCGAGGCACTGGCCAGAAAGCGGTTGTGCATTAGCGGAGCATTACCTGTAATGAAATAACCAATGTTAGTTTGTTTCTCCAAGATGAAAACATACGCTGTTATAAATTATTAAATTCGTAATAGCCTGCAAAAGGGTAAGGTGCAGTTACAACAGGCGCGGATTTGAAATTTCAGTCGAGAAAAATCACGGAAACATTAATTGATGTGCTATCACAAAAATTGCGGAATTAATTTTAATGGAGCGAATTGTTTAATAACTCTTTTATGACTATAAAGTACGCATTTTTTAGGGAAAACGAGGAAACCCATAAAATGACTAAAATTTTACGCATTTGTGAGTAATTGTTAGTACAAAAATTATTTATTTATTAGTAACAGATACAAGAACAGATCCTCATAAAAGGTATTAAAAATGCACACAGTTGAGGGGTAGTCCCGTTTTCCCTCGAATATGCATACTTTATATTCAAAATTGAGTCCTTTATAGTCATTTTTGCATATTTTTAGCAAAAAATATCAGTATATTTTTTAACGGGTATTATGATGTACCGCGAGGGCAAGTCAATTGATCAAGTCAGTTGAATTCAACTGACTTGAACGCGAATTGAACGTGTAAACCATGCAATTCAACTGACTTGATCAACTCACTTGAATAGAAAAAAGTTGAACCAGGCTCAACTTTTCAAGCCAATTGAATTCAAATGAGTTGATCATTTGACTTGCATAGTCTAAACCCAGCTTTATTCTCGAGATGTTTCGCTTCTGCTTCTCTCTGGCGTTTCGATAATTTCGCTTTGTCGGAATCGAGAGCTTCTTCCATACGACGATCCTTGTCTACATGTGCGTTTGACTTTGTACTGTCGCATTAATGGCCCTTCGTTCATTTTCAACTTCTATTCAATTTTCATATCTAAGGGAACCATCGGCAAGTTTGACAATTATCACAAATGACAACCAACAATAGTTCTGAATACGCCGACCAATAACCTGTGCCAAAAAACGTCCAGTCGTTCCTTTTTGCTATCATATTGATCGAATGTGCATTTACCTGTGCAATATTTTTCAGATGATCAATATTAATGAACCTTTCCATAATGCCTCTAACCATTTGAGACATCGCGTTGCACAAAAAAGGCACCATAGGGTTGTCCGTCTGAAATTCGCATAGAAATGGCTCAACTTCGACAGCAACTGATTTGAAGAAATAAGCTAGCTTAATACCACGTACAGAATACAGAGTTATAACATGTTATAATGGTTGTCAAATAATTGTAACACAGAAACCAACATGTTGTAAATCTGTAGTCTGAACGTACTATTAGCCATCAGCAGCGAGTCATTCAAACAGCTTTTAATATCATGGTAGGAAGCTGACGTTGGTTCTATTTTGTCTTTCTGGACGCCTTGAATAAATTTTCGTATTTGCGGAGTAATTTCGAATATGGTAGATCCAGAATACATCGTGATAAACGCTCGACTTGCTAGTACATCTTTGAAGATATTGTAGATACCACGCAAATATTTGACAACATCCCAACTGATACTGCGAACACTATCCTTGAATTCATTATGTAAAATATGCAGCCCACAGCTTCCCAGATCTATCAGCTTCTCGTCACCTTTTTGGGCCCATCCATGGACACTTGCAGCAACTTGTTATTTGTTACATCATCGGATAGGGGCAACTATCACCTTTCCGAAAGTGGTATTGGTTTGCGTGGGCGTACTTTGGTTCGCGTGTAAAGGGCCTTAGAATGTTTGTTTACAAATGCTTTTGTGCCGTTATCAAAAGTTATGCCTGATATGTTCGATTGGTTCCACTATTTGACAGCTCAATTGGTTCCCAAAATTCTCTCCGCTAGACTGTAAATATAGCAACTGTACTTTTTACTACTTTCACCACAGACAAACAGACGTAACTCTTCATTGTGTATCTTCGTTCACGCATTTAACGGTTGATTTGAATATTATCAGTTCCGCGAACTACTCGTCGCAGCGCTGGCATCGGATCACTTTGACGTTTCTATACATTATATAGAACTTTTATGCAACATTGTTTGCGAGTTAGCGAGCATGCTTGTTTTCCGCGAGAAACCCGAGAGATGTCATGACTGAGGTTCTAGAATGCTGCGAAGCTGTTCGACTTTAACAGAAAAAGAAAGCATAACGGAGCCGGTGGTGTAGTGGTAAGCGTGATTACCTCTCACCCCAGCAGGCCTGGGTTCAATCCCAGTCGGCGCCGCCGGGATGTTCTGAGGCATAACATCTCTGATCACGCCTTCCTTCGGATAGGAAGTAAAGCCGTTGGTACCCGGTTCATGAGTTGATGGGTCGATAGGTAGGGTCCAGGTGTGGGAGCTACCTTCCTGGCACGTCGGTAGCATTGGTGCTCAGCACGGAAAACAAGATCGAAGGAAAAAACAAACCAAAGGAAAAAAAAGAAAAAGAAAGCCAGCAGTCTCTTCTTCGCATCGATTTGGTCGATTGAAGCTGATATTGTGACACCCTGGTGGCCAGCACATCCCGATCAGGGTAGAGAGTCAACTAGGGGCACGCAATAACCTTTAACTCCAACGCATTCAACGGCTGTAATTAAATTAATTCCATTAACTACTGCTTTAATTACATTAATGACACAATGAAGATGATTAACTACTTTTTAACTCCATTAATTACAGTTGAAATTTCGTAATTAAAGTCCATTAATTACATTTTCAATACTTTTAATTACATTAATTACGGATAGATAATTTACATTACCGTCAGTACCACTTCAAAACGCATTGATTACTTTAAGTACTTTTGATTTCATTTTAACTTCAACGCACCGGTTCTTTGTATTGCATGCCCCTCGCTATTCAATGAGCGTTGATAACGTCTGCAATGCAAATTCTCCATTGTAACGGGTAACACTGACGTTATCGATGGTTATCAAATAAGAACCCTAATCCCGATGAACTATTTCTCGGATATTTTATCCCATTTTTTTAAATTTCCCGGGTAGTGTGAAATACATTTATTATATATAATTTATACAAATTAAGCAGGTATAAAACTTAATAGCAAATACGATTGAGCCGAAAGGATCACTGTTAAATGAATCATTACAAAGATCTTTCAAAGCCATGTTAAAAATTCACTTCAAATTTGTCTTGAAATTTGGCTCAGAAATACCTGTATTCTTCTCGAAATGTCATTATAAATTATCTACGAAATTCCATTAAAAAACATCTCAGAATTTCTTTGAAATGGTACCCTTGGTATTCCCTTGGAACTCTCCGCAGATTTTTTTTTTCTTTGATTTTTTCCGTCGATCTTGTTTTACGTACAGAGTCACTAACAACCGGTGGAAACTAACGATTTTAAATTGGCTCACTACTTGACTAGCCTATTGGTCACAAGTACATCTATAAGCGTATTCTAGTATTGAGGGGTAAAATGAGGGGTTCGTTGATTTTTCAGTGTTTCGAGGGGTGCATCGATTAGCTTGGGACCGAAGATAGTAACAGAGTTAAGCCAAAAAGTTGAGCATGTTTCTTCGGGACCTTCTGGTCTTAAAGTTACCTCTATAGCTCATCCATGTGTACTAGATAGAGAAAGATGATTAAACTCAAAAAGGTCTATTATGTAATTCTTGTACCTGGTTTTCCTGTTTCCTTTGTCTGGCCTCATCTCTGCATACTCTGCGCATTATTGGGAACATATCAATGTTTAATTTTGCGCAATTAGTGTGCCAGTTATGATGGCCCTAGTGGTGCTCTAATTGGCCATATCTTAAATTTCATTTTATTTTATTCTTTTCCTAATTTATTTCCATGCAAGATTGGAACACAGATTTTGCTTAATATATACGCAAATAAAACCATGAAAATTTATTTTAAATTTGAATAAGGCCCTAGGGCCAAAAACTGGTGCTGACTGGCTCACTTACCCTAGTCAATTTTATCTATTTGAAAAAAAAAATCTACTATGTTTTGGCTCGATAAGGACTAAGACTATTTTGTCTCACCAGTTACTGCAAATATCTACTTTCATTTTTCCACAGGGTGGAAATCGAAGTGAAAGATCGCACGTCTTCGCATCAGTGTTTTCAATTTGGTTTTTATTTATTGAACTCACTTGATTCCCACATATCAAGTATATTATTTAGAATTATATCATGCTATTCAATAGCATTTTGAAGACATGATTGGTCGATCTCATTGTAACGTATTATTAAAAAGTAAATAGAGGGAGGAGGGGCATAGTGAACAGGTGGGGCATAGTGAGCATCCCGCAGTTTGGCTCTGGATCTCCAGCTGCATGAAACAAATCAACTGGTAGTAGGTTCAATATCATTGCGATATTGATCCTAGCACCAACCAATTTGTTCCGAACGGCCGGAAGTCCAAGCTGGTGCACGGGATGCTCACTATGCCCCACCTGTTCACTATGCCCCTCTTACCCCTACAAGTTTGAAATGCGCATAATTAGGCGCGGTCACGGTAATAACACGGACAATAATTTTCTGTGGTAATAATATCAAAAAAAAAAAAAAAAAAAAAATTATATCAAAAAAAAATTGAGTTGTCCCACAGCTGTCTACAGCAGCAGTCGATTTGTTATTTCGTTGTGAACCACACGATAGCCTGTTTTCGAGACTCGCTATTATACAAGGTTGCAAAGACTCATTTCAGCTAAAACAATGTTTTTTTAAATTATGAAATAATTAGTTGCCATGATCAAATTTTGAATTGGTAGGATACAAGAGGTTGCAAAGAATGTGTTTGACATATTAAATCTGTTTATTTCACCTCATGAGAGTCACAATCAGCGATTTTTCACAAACTCACTCACTCACTCACTCACTCACTCAGCGATCAGCAAATCGCTGATTGTGACTCATAGAAAGCAAAATTTACAAGTTTTATGTTTCCAACGCATACTTTGTAACCTCTTCTTGTAAGTTACAAGTAAAACATGCCATCATACCATCTTTTGGTTTTATTATTCCGAAAAACATTATTTTAGCTGAAATGAGTCTTTGCAACCTTGCTATTATATAGTTGCTCTTTGTTCGTTGCTAGCAATTCGGTGCCTTTTGTTGCTACGGTGCAAGATGTGTGAAGTAAAAAACACCATCAAGTTTAGCTTCAGCCATTGTGATGCCAAACCAAACATCGGAGAGATAGTAAATTTCGCCAAAGCACTCGACGCGGATCCGGCTGAAATGGAAGCTGTTTATCGCATTGGTGAGGAAAGGGGAGTCTTCATGAAGTTCAAATCAGAGGAAGCGATGCTCCATGCTCTGACATTCAATTCGGAGGATTTAATCTTCCATTATGCGAATGGAACGACGGCAAAGGTACGCATGTCGCATGCTGGTGAATTCATTCAATATGTGCGTGTGTATGACTTGCCACCAGAGGTACCCGACAACGAGCTGGATAAAGTGCTGGGGAAATATGGGAAAATTAAACGCATCATCCGGGAGAAATTTCCAACTGATCTGTGTTTTGAGGTGTATACAGGGATACGCGGTGTATATATGGATGTGAAAAAGGAAATACCCACGTCATTACATTTCTTCAATCGCAAAGGAAACATTTTTTATGATGGCAACAAAGACAAATGTTTTCTGTGCAAGGCGGACGGACACCGGAAGCTTTCCTGTCCCAAGCGGAAGGCTCGGAAGGAACCGGAGAAGCAACTGAAGGAAAAAGGAAAGCAAAGTGAATGAAAACAACACAGCAGCAGTACGTATGCTGGTGTAGTGGTGGAAGGTGCGTCGTTTGTCATTAGCGATCAGGAAACGGATACGGGGTTGGAGATGTTGAATGCAGATAACGAAATGGACGTGACTACCCCGACGGCCGACGAGAGTAGCGGAGAGCATGCAACGGGAAACGATGTCCAGAAACAGCAGCAGCGATCACGATTCGGGTTCAATGAAAATGAGGAACAAATTCGGGAAAGAAAGAAGTTGCGTGCACGGGAGAAGATCGCTTTGTCGCCGCTTCGATCGCAACCCAGAAAAATGATATGATAAAATATATTTGTACATATTTTTCTTTTGTATTTTGAGTACCATAATTGGTATTCTATGTTACTCGGCTCCGCTAAGTTATTTTTATAACATTTGAGCCTGCCAAATAAACGAAATGAAAAAAAAAAAAAAAAAAATATCAAAAAATATATATAGGGGAATTTACGTATTCTCGGCAACCTAAGCAGCGATCATCTTTCTATAGCCTTTTTCTCTAAGAAACGCACACATATGCAGTATTGGTTTGTTTAAAATATTTTGCTGCTAGCTGCTCTAACAATTTCAGTCGAAAGAATTGTCAAAAACTGTTTTGAAACGCTTTTACAAAGCTCCAATATTCTCTAGTGAGAGGGACTATTGTGGGCAACATCTTTTCATTCGGCAAAATTTCTATTTGAGCTGCATGTTAAAAGGCTGTACTTTCATCGGCAACTCGAAATCATCAGCATTTTGTAGTGCGTGTGTTTTATTTCAAGAAAACCCTGCTAGATTGTTTCTTAGTGGTAAAAATATAATCAAATTAAAGCTGAAAGCCTAAAGAATCGTTAGAATGCATTCAGAGAAGTGTTTTCGTAAGAAAATCCAGTGAAATTACCGTTTCAATTCGGGTTGCCGAAAATAGTCTGTCATGCCGAAGCTGTCATTTCCCCTATCAGATTCAAATTTACCTCAAATTAGCTAATTTAAACTTAACCTACGCGGATTGCCCCCTTAAGTCGCTCTTTACACGGTAGGGTTTTGACGACTTCTCAAAAACAGTACAACTTAACAACCGTATTCCAATCACATTATCCGTTTTATGTAAATCTGGCATGCTAAAAATACATCAGTTACTACAATCCACACACATTAAAAAAATGTTTTAGCATGTGAATTTATCAAGCTCGGTTGGTTCTATCCCCCGCGTAAAAACCTACTGCGGTGTACATGTATCCCTGTCGAAAACTGATAAACATCGATCGTTATCACAATCATCATCTACACCAGCAAATGTTTTCAAAATCGTTTCATAACATGTAGATTACGCGAGACAATGTGACTTCCCTAGCAAACCTATAGCGCCTATCTACCAATACATGTATACTAGACTGAACGGCTCAATCACTAAATAGTGTGTAAGTACCGTAAAACGGTGTATCTCTGATAATACGGGTAACATTGATAGTAATACATAATGATTAAATTTACCCTCTGCCCTATTTCCGAATTGGAAACAATGGTTCCATCTTGTAGCTAAGGGTATTACCTTTGATATAGTTTTTATATAGTATGTCAGGCATAACATTTGATAACGGCACAAAAGCATTTGTAAACAAACTTTCTAAGGCCCTTTACACGCGAACCAAAGTACGCCCACGCAAACCAACAACATCATCAAATAGGGGCAACTATCACCTTTCCGAAAGTGGTATTGATTTGCGTGGGCGTACTTTGATTCGCGTGTAAAGGGCCTTAGAAAGTTAGTTTACAAATGCTTTTGTGCCGTTATCAAATGTTATGCCTGATGTGTTAGATCATTTATAAATGTATTTCCGATACAGCCATCACAAATTCAATGTTCTTTTCTTATTGCTTATGATGTTTTTGAGTACATACTCATTCAAAGTTTCATATTACTTAAACTAAATTGTTCGAGATTCACGCATGTCTTTCTACATTCATCGAGTATTATCAAAGTAACCCCAAAACAAACAAAAACAACCCTAATAAAAATAACCATACAAGAGAGCTTAACGACGTGTTCGGGGTATCATCCAAACCATTTGTGAGATAGTTTACCCATCCGGGATATAGTTCGTTTATGGTATTTGTTTATTAGGGAATGCAAATACAATAATGTCCGTAAACATATTACTAACGAATTTGTTTTGACAAAATAATATTTGAAAAACATCAATTGTTGTAAAACATATTTAAAATATACTACCGTTCTACGCATAACTGTCCCATGTTCTATGCAATCCTTATGCACCGTGGGACTCTTATGCGTATAACGGCAGTATACTTCACAAAACTATCGAAGTTACCCCGTTTTACGGTATTCTTTTTATTTGTCCCTCGATTTTTCCAAGCATCGCGAAGCAACCCGGTAAAAATGTACCGACTTTGCTGCCGCGACATGACAATGTGACGTAAGTCCATTTTGTGAATTGTTCAGAAAACAGCTATTTTTGTTTAATCTCGTGATTATTGTGAACATTTTCAAAACTAATACTGGATCTGTTTAATATGATCTAGACAAAGCTAAAAATATGAACCTCGATGTTTAAAATAGCTTATATTGTTTCAGGACTTATGTATGATGGATTTCACTTACGTATGTATAGAAACAGTAATTATTTTCACTAATTCTCGTACAACTAAAACGTCACTTTCTCTGCATGCTTCAAAACCAATTTTGTACAAACTCAAATATGGTGAAAAGTGAAAATTTACCATAGTGGCGTTTACGTCACTTTGTCATCTCACGGCATCTGAATTCAGTGTGTAGCAATGGAAGCAACAAGACAACACATCGCTTCACCATAGCCTCTTTGCACACACACGCTCCACTGCCTGAAAGACGGCTGATGAGACTGAAACATTCCGTCACTGGCTCTCGCGATCAAAGTCCAACTTGGACTTGACTCTTCTTTGCATTACGCTGCTGCTGCTGGATTAAAATCCCAAAGCTAGCAGGCTCACCGATAAGGGTGCGAAATTTAAAAACAGCCCACAATCCAGGCTTGGCAAATCGAGAAGCGGTTACGATATAGCACTTACCTTTGAAATTAATCGTGCGGGCAAAGGTCAGATTGCGCTGCAATGATGTTCCAATCAGTCTTAAGCTGGCCATTTTCTCTTCGCTTCAGCTGAAAAAGGAATGATGAAACAATAGATGTTATATGGATCTATGAGTTAAGTTATTCTCACTTACCTACAGCTAGGATAGGCACTATACAAGACTAAATAATTATAAAACTACACAATCAACTTGTCCACGAAGTAAAATATCGGGATGCAATCAAATGGAACGAATCAAGTGGAAAAATAAGCCACTATATCCCGAGTAGCAACGATGTCCGTCCCGATGCGATGACTTATGACAAATGAATGAATATTCCTTATCTCCTCGCAGGGTTGCCAAGTGATTTAAAAAAATCTGGCCACTCAAAAATATTACTAAACAAAGATAGATTAATATTTAACCAATTTTCGGTTACGTAATGTTTATACATTGATCTGCTTAAATTTCACATCCAAATTATACTAAGTTTGAATGCCGGAGCGAAATTCGTTCATTGTACATGTATTATAAATTATTTAATATGTTCAATTATTTCATTTTCTAACGTCATGTCATTTTATCTCTTCGATCGGTTCGTTTTCGGCGAGTATATGTACACTGGAGTCGCTTTTTACGCGGGTGATACGTCCCGCGTAAAAAAAAACCGCGTAAATTCCGAAATCCACGTAAAAAAAAACCGCGTAAAAAAAGACCGTGTAAGAAAAAACCGCGTAAAAAGCGATATACCGCGTCAATTCTGAAATCCGCGTAAAAAAAACTAAAATCCGCGTAAAAAAAAACCGCGTAAATTCCGGAATCCGCGTAAAAAAAAACCGCGTAAATTCCGAAAACCGCGTAAAAAAAACCGTGTAAAAAAACCGCGTAAAAAGCGACTCCAGTGTATTTTAAAGTTTAACGTACACTCTAAAAAATCTTCACGTCCGATTGACGTGAAAACATACACGGTTAGAAAAAAGCACCAAAAATTAAGTTCTTTTCACTTATCTCGGCACTATAGTGCAGGAACCCAAAAGTAGGTAAAGCGGGTCAAAGTAATTTTCATTTACTTGTGTGCAGTTCGTATGGAATTTTCCACTGGCTTTTTAACCAAAAGTAAGTTAGTTGTACCCAACAGTAGGTAAATATGATTATACTCAACGTTGGGTTCCCACACTTTACTACCCCTGTTGGGTGCTCCTCCGTTTTTGACAACATTAGAAGGAGAAAAGGAGACAAACTAGTCAAAAGTAGATAAAAGTGATCTTTCCGTTGGATACTTTTTTCTTACCGTGTAGGTGGTTCTCGTCCACCCTATTTTTCACGTAACTTTTATCGGAATTGCACGTAGCCGATCAAAATTCAGCTTCTATTATCTACGTGATTAGTCAGGTAAATAAGAGCTGATTTTCACGTACTGCTTACGTGAAATGGGGGTGAAAACTACTGGACATCTGGTAACTTTTACGTGACATTCCGTTTTGTTTAAAATGCTTTTCATGTAATTTGTATGTAATTTTTAATGAGAATAATCGGAAGTATATATAGAACCAGTCAATATTATGCCATTTTATCGGGAAGATATAGATTTCACGTGTTTAAATTAATACTTATATCTACTCATAAAATTGTAAAATATTGACTAGTTGATTATTATAAGGTAGAAACGTGTATGAGTTTTTTTTTTCTGACAAAATATTAACATTTGTTGCAGACTCAAAATGCTAATGTCACCGGCTGAAATTATAAAACTAGAAAAAGCTACATATAATCATAAATAAATTAATATAAAAGAATCAAATTACCGTCCAACATTTGCAACAAGCGCTGAGGAATTTTAGATCTTTGAGGAGTTCTTTCACCACGCTCGGTGGCGCCATATTGATTTTTTTCGTACCTGAAAATCACGTAAATCTCGTTTCACGGAAATATGAAAGTCCCAAACACACAAACACAAATACATTAAATCTGTTTACGTGAATATACGGTCAATTTCACCAAAATTTTTAGTGGACATGACGTGTAATGCAGATCAAAGTTACTAACGTCACGTAACATTTGAGATTTTCTAAATACAGTTCAGGTACGTGATATTTCACGTAAATCGGACGTGAAGATTTTTTAGAGTTTCAATCAATCAATCAATTTTTAAGTTTAACATATTAAAGTGTATTCAATTCATTATGAAATGTATTTTTCGTGTACAAAGTATTTTAGAGGTATTTTTTATTAGGGAATTTTATTCAACGTGTACACATTAATGTATTTTTTTTTGTGTATTTTCCGAATGGTGTCATTTTATCTGTCAAACCATAGCGAATCAAAACAAACATTGTGTAGTACTACACTGAAACAAATCGACATGTACCGTTTATTGGATCCATCTTATAACATAGCAATGTCAGCAGATTTATTCATTCTATGTGATGATTGATAGATTCCATTGGATTATCACTTAAAAACCATGACTGCGATATGGAATGATTTCTATCGTAATTTCACATACTTAGTACTTGATAATACCATAGAGGTAACTCTAAGACTAGTAGGTCCCGAAGAAAATCATTATTATTTTTGGCTCACTCAGTACCAGAACAACGGTCCCAAGCAGTCCCAAGCTATTTCACTCACCCCTGCATGTTCTGCATAAATCCACACACCCCTGATGTTATCTGTCAAACTTTCATAGCGAATCAAAACAAACATAGTGTAGTAATAGAATTTCAACTAGAATAGGGTACGTTAATCGTTTGCTTGGGACCAATAGGCTACTAAAGTGGTGAGCCAATTTAAAATCGTTAGTTTCGTATTGATTGTTGATAATACTTTGCTTCGAACGTGGTTAGCGAAGGTAAGAAGTATATGAATATTGTCTGATATATTTCATGGTGAAAAACTGTTGATATGTCATGGGTGGGAACAGACATCTAGAAACTAATGGAAAATCATATAAGTTTGCACTTTGAGAAAATTCAGTAAAATATACCTGTTTTCATGATGAATATTGCTCACTAAAATATATATCTTATAAGATAATCATGTATATTTTATTGGAGTTGCTTTTACTGATTTTTGACGTTTGTTGATATGTCGCGTGTAAATAGACATGTAGAAACTATTGGACTGTCATTTAACTTTGCAGTATAGGAAAACATGTATATCTCATTGTAATAGCTTGCTTTGATTTTTGACGTTTAAAGATTGTAAACAGATCTATCCCAATCATTAAATAGTCATATAGAAATGCCTTTTAAGAAATCCAACAGCAAGCATTTGTTTTTGCATGTTCATCGCTCCCAATAAAATACATCTTACATGATTGTTCTTTATAAATTATTGAAACAATTTTCAACGATGTTAACGTGCACTCATTAAAATGATTAGTTGAACTAAATACTACTAACAACAATGATACTGTATTGAATAATCTTTGTTTGTTATTGTTTCATATGATAATTGGTTCCAGAAAAGAATGTACATATTGAGATTGAAAAAAAAAAATTATTCTACTGTAATATTTACTTTGCTATGATTCTAATTGTAAGCCTTCTACACGGCTAATTCAGATTCCAGCCCTAAGTAGTATTCGAACTTCATGAGCCAGTTCTATCAAATCATATAATTTAGTCGTTGATTTATTGGACACAGGTGCATTAGGAAGATTTGAACAAACCACACCACCGAAACGGAACATAAATTTGTCAGTGCTATTTGTCTTCACTCTAGCAAAACGAGCATAAAGTTGCACTACATTCCTTGTCGGGAGAGCTGTTCTTACTTCATGCTATTTGAACGAGCTCAATCTTGAAGTCAGCCGTGGCCCAGTGGAATCGAGCACAGACACCGAAAGCATCACACCTCAACAGATCTTGATCGAATCCCAAATCAGCTACAATAAAAAAAAAGGCACAACTGTGAAAGCTCCCACTGCCTGATGTTTATTTTTAGAATTTATTTTTAGAAATCGATTAAATATATGTGTCAAAAGAAGAAGTAAATTTCATGTTATTTTCACATAAACTTTTCTTCGATTGATTTATGACACATATATTATATTGTGGTGAAAAGTATAGCTTATGCTTATGGGTTTCAAATCCATTTCAGTTATTTATTATAATTTGATCGATTTTCATTTATCATATGACGATCATATAAAAGTTACCAAATTATCAGCATTGTAAATGTATCAGATATTCATATAGAATTTACCTGACACATTTTCAATCATATCATTTTCAATGGATTATCTTATAGCGCAAATTTATTAGACTTCCACATAACAGGAATATGTCAAATTCGTTCAGTGTATAATTTCGACTAGAATGGGGTACGTTAATCGATTTGCTTGGGACCAATAGGCACAGAGAACAGACATTGAGGCTCGAACAAAATTTCTCTAAAAACTTGTGTAAAGATTCCTATTTGACTTAAGCACCACTAACGGCGACTTCCCCACTTAAAAACTTTCTTTGACAACATGCTGGCGCTGGCGTTGCAAAACTTACTCTAGACACTAAGTGCTGGTAGCCCCAAGTGGTAATTTTCAACAGATAATTTATCGATACTAGCGCCCAATTGGTCGAAAGTGATAAATTTATAGAGGAAATTAGGAGGTGCTAGCGCTACGTAACGGCAACGTTTCCACTTAACTTTACACAAGTTTCTGATCGAACCACAGAGAACAGACGTCGAAGTTCAATAATAGGCTTGTCAAGTAGTGAGCCAATTTAAAATCGATAGTTTCCAAACGGTTGCATGCGTTGGGAATGATTCAAAAGCAAGGAACTTGGGCCAAGAGACGTTGAGCAATTACGTAACGCTTATAGGGAGAGAGGGAGTCACCTATATCGTTACGCATTATACATAGGGGAGGAGTAGTAAAGCTTTGCGTTACGTAACAAAGAGAACATTTTGTTTTTTTTTCGTTTCTTGATGTAAAGTTTGATAATACATATCTTTTTTGACGTTTTTGGCAACGACAACGAAGGCTGTCATCACTAAATCTTGCTTTGCAAAATGGATCTGTTTTAATTTTATAAATTGAGATTTTTGCTATCTTTGATCTTTTGTAAAGCAGGTACTCGATGGTACGCTGATCTTTTGTTTTTGTTTTGAATATTAATAAAATAATTAATTACCAAAATTAAAAAATACAAAACGAAATCAAAAATTAAATAAATGAAAAGGCGGGGGGAGGCGTTTATAGAGCATTACGTAATAAATAGAGGGGGCCATTTTCAGTGTAACGTTTTGTTCCAAAGTGGGCGGGGGGGGGGGGGGGGGTTGGGTCAAAAATATTGATTTTTAGCGAAACGGAATTAATGGACACCGCCCAACTATAATAACCAAAGCTCACAGCTCAAGTGCAGAAAACGGTTCCGCACCGAATAGGTCAAAACTGCACAGTAGGAGGAAAGGGTGATGGCGATGGATTACAAGGTTCCGGTTAATATTCCCAGCTTTATTTGGACGGGAATTTGATTCGCAATATTATCGCACAGAAATACATCAACCGGTGGGTGTCTTAATTCACCATTAGCTCTTTCTTATCCGAACCCTTGACCAGCAGCAGAGACCAGTAAAACTTGGGCCGAGAGGAAAAAAATGACCTGAATTCCTTTTCCACCTGCTTGTCGTAGGAGGTTTCATTGGTAAGGCTTTTCCCGGGGCTAGAATCAGCAGTTCGAACGAAATCAACAGTTGCTTCGCGCCTGTTCGGCAACTTCCATGCTACAACACACAGAGACCCGGGCTCTTATCCGTCGAATTCGATCGGCTTTAGTCCGGGAAATGGATCTGCGTTGCCGTATTCTCCGTGATGCACTTGATGTTTTTTGCCCCCGAGACCGATTATAGACGAGTGGTCCGTCATCTTTTTTTAGTTTTCACACCGATTTTTTACCGGCATGGCCAGCTGACATACGTGGTGTTTGTTGTGGAGAGCGTTGTAAACTGACAGTGAGTATGGCAGAGTGCTTCGCGGTCGACGTGAAAACTTCGAGAAACTGCACGACTTGCTTGACAATTTGTGTGCATGCAGAAGGGATAAGTTGGGAATAGAAAGAACAGATAGGATGGATTGAAATTTTGTGCACGTTGAAAATTATATAAGAGGTTTGGGTAAAAATGGGATAATCCTTAAGTGTCGTTCCCCCTGAACATAACATGTTTTATTTTGCAATTCTTTTAAGACGTCATTTTGTACAGAACTTTATATAGTGGGTGAGCTTGCATTGAAAATATGTTTATTTTCAAAATTATTAAGGGTGACAGTCTTGCCCCAACTGGCCCTATGCTCGAACGAAATGACAGTAAAGGCCCAACCCTAATAATCAAATACCATAAACGAACTGTATCCCGGATGCAATGAGCTGGATTACCGAGGTGAAGCAATCACTCACACAACCCCTGTACGATACACGCAAGTACACGCAAGTAGTGACGTCACTACTTGCGTTTACGTTGATTTTTTGGTTTACTAATACAACCCTATTTCACGATCTGCGCCACCTCTCTCTGTACCTCATTGTCCGGATGGGTAAACCACAGACAAACAGACATAACACATTGAATATTTCTCACTGTAAAACATCGTCGCTAAACTATCCCTGAAATGGTTTGGATGATACCCCGAACACGTCGTTAAGCTCTCTTTTATGGTTATTTTTATTAGGGAAGCGCAATGGCAGCGGAAGCATAACGGCAGCGGAAGCATAACGGCAGCGGTAGCGGAAAAGCCCGATCTGAGAAGCCTACTTGTCGGATTGAAAACTAGTTACAACCAAATCGACTTCGGTTAGGCATCTTGATGTCATTTGTGACAACTGTCAAACTTTCTGTTCCGCTTCCACCCACATTGCGTTTGAGCCTTAAAAGTATGGACGACTTTCACCAGAAAACTGAAAAAAAAACTTTTCAAATCCTTTCAAATCAACCAAAGCAATGCATTTTGACAGTTCGATTAGAATTAGAACAGCCTTTTGCAGACGTCTCAACTTTTACTAGAGGGCTTCAATTCGAGCTTTAATTGACAACGAAAGCAGAAAACCTTGATCTCAGCCTTGGGACCATGTATGAATTATGTCACGAGAAATTTAGGAAAATTATACCCCCCTCTCTTTCCTTCGCCATGCTTTTCATAAACATATTGCATTTTGATATAGACGGAAACAACCTCCTTTGAATATATTGATGACGAAAAAGGGTATGGCGTATGGCCAAATGGTAAACCACGAATTGGCTCATCGCGAAATGGTCGACCGCGAAATGGTTTACCGCAAAATGTTGTGCATTCGATTAGTTCCAATACCATGTAGAAATATAGTTCCTTGAATAACGTTTCAATATAAACAACAATGAAAGCTTGTCACCCAAGTAGAAGAAGCTGTTGGGCGCTTTTCAAAATATTCTAAAAGTATAATTTGATTTGATTTTGATTTTGATTTTGCGAGACAGAAGGGGGTCTTATGAAGGCCAGATCTCAAGTCTCAAGGCCAAATTCCAGAACTTGAGTGGAACATGGTTCTCACGTCAGACTATAATGTCTAAAATGAACCACATGCCCCAACCAACCCCTAGAACGGCTCCCATACACTCTCCATGCTGAATCGTGAGTCCCCCCTTTTCCCATATCATTACATGCAAAATAATAACCCGATGCAGGTCAATTGAATATGCCTAATTGAATTAGTTGCAATGATAGTGTTAACAGTAATGACAGTATAATATAGTAATTTAATAAAATTAATATTTACCTGTTAATAATGATCGAGGTTGGTGAAAATATTTAAAATAAATAAATTCATTCTTACCTTTTTATGGTTGTTTGATTATTAATTGCTATTATTACCTGCTTAGAGTTGGCTCCTTTAAAATACTGTGTAGAATTTACCTCATTATTCCTCAGTTCTATCGATTTGTGATAGAACCACGCTCAGCATATTATCCTGTAGTACGACTTGGGCATGCACCATGCAAGTAAGTCATCTCTCGTCAAAATGATGGGATATGGGGTGATGATGAAGGGATATAGAAAACGAATAAAAGAACAGAAAGAAAGGTATTAGTATTGGTTACATTAACCACCCCCCCCCCCCACACACACACACACAACGAAAAAGAAACATAGATGCACAGACAAACAGAAATAACACATTTAATATTTTTCTCCACAAAACATAGTCACTAAAACACTACCGCCATCTGTTGAGTATCATGTGATGGATAGTACGCTGAACAGATGGCGCTAGTGTGCAAACGTCAAACGCAAGGGAACCGACCGTGCGCGCCACAGGTGGCGGCACCACCAACCAAAAACACCCGAATTGACCGTCAAATGCGTATTCGATGAACAACCTGTCCAACCGAGTGTTATGTCTGTTTGTCTGTGATAGATGGGTTATTAGGAAAGTACAACTACATTATAACTATTAGTGCAATGGATGAACGTTAGTTTCGGGGTCATGTTAGTGTTAGAGTTTTGTTAGTATTGACCCGTATTCAGCCCTGTCGGCCCCTCGAACACTAGTCGCAGGCAGTTGTTGTTAGGACATGCGACACTGTCACTGCTACTATGTTAGAGGTATGACCCGTCAAGTTTCGAAGTGCAAAAAAAAAACTGTTAGAACTTTCTTATAAATTAATTTTACACTCAAAGCAAACTATTTACCTTAGCATTACAAAATATTAAAATTATGATAAAACTACAATTTACGGCTCCGTGAAATTAACTCGCATGAACCTTTCAAATCAATGAACTGGAGAAAAACTACAATTTTATCAAATTGCAAAAAAAAATCATAGCGACACTTGACAAATCATCATCAAGACCCTCATCCTTGGACAGGGAAATATTCTAAAAGTATAATTCAAACCTAAATAAACCTACCTGTGTTTAAAATAAGAGATATTTGCGGCAAAACCCGCCAGTATCGCACCCAACGATGGGCCCAATCTTAGATCCATAGGCCAACATTAGAGCCATTTCCCCTATATGGTAGCTACATGCCAGGGAAACTGCCGAAAGACTATCAAAGCAGACTATCCACCGAGATCCAAACCTTTCCAGAAAGCTGATCATTACGCATAGTTTGAACCGAGGTCAAACATCGTTATCTCTCGCCAAGTTAGTTCTTGAACATTTATCAGTTGAATGACCATCGCATTCATGAATAAAATATTAATTTCAGTGAACCGTGACGGAATTTATCGCGCGAAGTCCTCGGTTCACTACTCAAGCCTGATCGGGTGTAGCTTAATTAGAAGCAGAGCTGTACAGTTGCTTAAAACTATTGCAACTTTTGAAAAATTAGTCTGTCGATTCCGACACCGATGGAACATTCTTACGGAACAATGTTTGATTGTTTTCAGTGATTACTTATTATTTTTCTTGCTAATACATCTCAACAATAATGCGTAGCTGTTTTGAAGATGTCTTTAAAAGTGTTCCAGTCTGCAAATGCTCTGTGGGTTTAGTGACCCACTTTGGTCTCATTTTATAGCTTATAGGTAATTTGTTTCCTTTCTTCATGACATTTCGGTAGTTTTAGCAGACTTATTACGTGTACCTATCAGTTATAATACAATATATTGATTTAGTGCTGGGAACTAGGGAATAAGTATGCATATAGAATAAACTTTCTTAACAAGTAGCAACAAGTCCACGCACGGTACATACCTTATCTGCTTACAATTTTAACCTTTTAATGTCTTCCATTTTAAAGTCAATCCTGCAGTGAAGTAGTAAAAGTTGTATGTTTTGATTCAAATTTCTAAATAAATCACATCATCAAAAGTACACTTACCTCAACGCCAAAATTGTTCGCACCTCATTGGGCGTTAATCTCCACGTAGCCGACGACGAGTCCCAGTACTCCGGCAATTCAGACACACTTTCCAGATTCAGAATCGTCGCCATCTGCAGCAACTTGGCAAGCTTGTCCCTCACGGACCACGAAGTAGCTCCGGTGAGAAACGAAGCTAGGGCCCTAGCTTCTTGGTCCAGCACCAAACCACCAAGTCGATTGAACGTCGATTTCTTGATAGCCCGCTCCAGACGAGCCGTGATTTCGGTCGTCACAATACTAACCAAAGCATCGTAATTTCTCGGAGTGAGAGCAATTTTGAACATTGTGAAAAGCCCATCGATCTGCACTATCAAGTATTGGATGAATGTTTCACCAGCTTCGTAAGTGGCCAGTTCTTCTTCGGTTAGATTGTGATTGTGGGAAATGAACTGATCCACCCATGGGTGCAGTCTTGGTTTAATGGCAGACGTTCGCAGCTGCTGAAGGCCGAAATCTACCAAAGCTTTCAGCGAATCACCGACCGATTTCAAGCCGGATAGACAGCTGTCAAGCTTATCCTTCTCCCGTACCGTCATAGCTGGGAAACTAATTTTTACTTCATCTGCCATCATCGACCACAACGTCTCGATGAATTCTGTGGACATATCGGCGTTGTTGAGAGCCGTGATGAATTTGCTTCTAGCTTGATCTACGTCACTGGTCTGCAGACGACCCTGCTGAATCGAACTCTGGAAAGCGGACTGAGCTAGGTCCATGTAACCCGTCGGATAGCCGGCCTTCAGTGGAGCTTTGAGGGCATTCATAAAGTCCTGCTCCAAACAACTTGCAGCATTGTTAATCACCGCGCAAACGCCATCCAGCGATTGGGTGCCGTTCGAACGTCGGATGCACTTGCGAATGATGAAAAACACATCATCCAACATGCTGGAGCACTGCTGGCCGCTTTCGAGGTTATCCAGGGCTATCGCTTTCAGAACACTTTCCTCCATGAAGTAGCGCTCGAAAAGCAGATATGTCCCGAGAACTTCTTGCATCTGGGTACTCAGACGGGACTTTTTGATCAGCTCATGGAGGGTGTTTAGTTTGGTGTCCTTTACTTCGGATTCAAATGAGCTTTTTTCGAGGTCATTCTGAAAATACGATGAGGTAATTAAGAAAACCATCTACATAATTAGTACAAAACCGGATTAATCACCAAACATCTCCGCTTAATGAATTTCGTATACAGTTCTGCTCGGGAGTGAATTATAGTGATCTCTCCAATCAAAGCATCGATGTCCTTGGCATTGAGCTTATCCACCGATCCTCCACCGGAAGCCTTCCTATAGTGACCCATCGCTGCTGGATTGCCACTATTTTTAATGTAATCGTTTATTTGAGCAACCCTTCGTCCGATTTGACGATTTTTGTTAAACTCAAGCACAAGCTTCACCACCTCTTCGTCACATTCCTTTTGCAGAATGGCAGCAACCTGTATCAACCTTCCAGAACCGTAGCAGTTTTCGATAATTGCCTGGTTGACTTCCACGACCCGGGCAATATTTTCCAACAGTACCGTCAGCGTATCGGAATAGGCAACCGTTGCACGTTTCTCTGCCTTGGCAATATCCATAGAAGAACGGAGCTCCTTCTGCGCTTTAACCTGCAGCTTGGAACATATGTAGGTCATAAACTTCTCCAGCCCTTCGTCGTGCATCCCGAGAAGTGGGAAAATTTTGAAAAACCGTTCCACCGAAGCCAGATCGTCCTTTTTGACCGCCTCGTCAAACTTTTGGTTGACTACTTGTCGTATCTGCGTTGCGGCTTGTTCCAGTGTCGAAACCGCTTTGCTTACCGACGTGATCGATCCGGAAACGTCATCCGCCGTCTTCTGGAGTAGATTCTTATCCATCGACAGGAACCGGTTCACATGCACGGCGCCTTTCTCAAAGTCTTCCTCCTTGATTGCGGTTATCACACCCTGACTGCACAGCTGCAGATCGATCAGGTCGTGTACACGTTGCTGGCACTCCGAAACGCGGCCCCTAGCCTCGTCCAGGCGACGAACCTTGGCGCTTACATTCTCCGCAAGCTGGGACGTGTGATCGATCATCTCCGACAGGTTTCGGCTCTTGTCCGCTACCGTGGAAAGGCTGCTCAGTGCCAGGCCGATGTTGCGCATTTTAGCCTCCAGTTGGCATTGTTGTGATAGGATTTCCTCCAGTCGGGAGTCGATCTCTTTCTGTTGGAACAAGTTAAATTTTATGTGATGAGAGTTCGATCTAAAACCTGTAAATAATTATTACAAACCTCCTTCACGGAAATTTTCCTACAGGCTTCATCGATACCTTCCTGTGTACTTGTATCACAGCCGTCCAGCAAGGTGTCTAACTTGATCATGTTATCCTAGTACTATTTTCAATTTTTTCAGCAAATTTTTCACTAAAAATGATAGAAAAATTGTAGAAAAATTTGCGAGTGAATTTTGTTTACATATTTTGAAAAATTGACATGTTGGCATGTAAACTGTCAGATTCATTTCCAGCTGATGAGTGACGGCATCGACCGGCGTTCCTTACACGCTATTTCAAAACTCCCCAAATTTGGGTAGAATCCACCCAGATCGGTCAAAACTAAACCTACCCAAAAATGGGGAAACTGTGTTGACAAAATTCTCGCGTCACTTTTCAAATAGACCAATGCAACAAATGTAAACAAATCGAGTTAAGAGCAACCGTAACGGTACGCTGCTAAACTCATTTTAGCAGCCCTCATCATAGCGCAGCTACCGTATCGGGGGTTGCCATACGAGTAACTAAAATAGCAGTCGGCTTCTCGGTGAGAAGCGCGTTACCAAATTTAGCAGCGCGATTGCAGCGCGGGAGAAAGGTTGCTATTCGTAGAAATGTCAAAATACTCACTACTGGTACGGACTACGGCGAGTAACTTGATAACCGCGATAGCAGCGACCGGTGTTGAGAAGAGGGACTAAACTAAAATGAGAGCGCTGTGCGCTGTTAAAATAGTCGCGCAAATGACAACGACCGTAACGGTTGCTCTAAGCGATACAAACTATTGCTCTTCTATCATTGTACACAGCAAAAAAAGAATGTAATATCGATCAATGTAATTCAAGCTGATGTATGAAAAAATGATGTAATAGCAAAAAGCAGATACAATATAACATCAATGGTTTACAAAAAAAAATGGATGTAATTTTGTTCGCAAAATCGATGTACATCGTACAACGTTATATTACACAACCGATGGATTGACCTGGTTGCAGCAGTTTGGATGTAATATTCAACAACTTTTTTTTCTGTGTATGTGATACAAAAACATCCATCCAAATTTACTTTCATTTATTTGAGATAAACAAAGGTCAAAAATTGTCCAATGTACAGTTTGAAATGATGGGTACATGATTGTTACTTCGGTCATTCGGACTGCTTAACATGATTGGTGCTCATTTTCTAAAGGCGGGGCCAATCTAAAATTAGGCAGTCTCCTCTGATATCTGTGAAAGGGAATCTAGTATCATGTAGAGTCGGTGTATAATGAGTCACGCCAAGAGTGAAGCCAAGTCTACCTATTTAACTGTCAAACCGGCTACCTATCGTGAAAAGTAAACAAGCATTACGATGCTATGAAAGGCTCGATGAAAGGTCCACGAAAGGTATTGCAATTAAATATTAAATATAACCGAAGAAATGATCATATACACGCAGTGAGCATTACATTTGTCATGCGATACGTTTTGTAATGATCAGTAATGACAATTTCTACTATTTTTCCTTAAGATAATTCCACAAAATCACTGATATAATGATATACTACAGCCGTTTTTTTTCATCGCTAGAAGTCATTTGAAGTTGATGCAGAAGTCCTCTGTTGCCAAGGGAATCTTTCGAAAACCGTGATGCGAGTTCAACTGTTTTTCTCTTGGCGTGACTCATTATACACCGACTCTAGTATCACAGACAAACAGACATAACACTGGCAATTTGTTCATCGAATACGCATTTAACGGTCAATTTAAATGTTTTTAGTTGGTAGTACCGTCACTTGTGGCGCGCATAGTCAATAACCCTTGCGTTTGACGTTTACACACTACCGCCATCTGTTCAGTGTACTACCCATCACAGTAAACTCAACAGATGGCGGTAGTGTTTTAGTGACGATGTTTCATATTGAACAATATTCAATGTGTTATGTCTGTTTGTCTGTGCTAGTATCATGTAGAACAAATCGTCCAATGTAACACTCATTGATTATGTCATTGAGAAAAATCGTCCAATGTAACATGTCCGATGTACAACTTGACTAGTCAAAATGTGGTTTTTTCTATATTGTAGCATGAAATTCAAAGTAAAATTATGCACTTTGACTATATGTTTTTAGTATTACTTCTACGTGAAGTCAACGATTTACATAGTTGAAGATGCTAATTTCAAATAACAGACTGTAGTGGTAATTTTTATACGATAGATGGAGTAGATGAAAGCATAGAGTTGATAGTTCCGTTAGAGTACGGCAGTGTGAAGATTGTATATAGATATTAGAATAGCGAACTAGGACAACTTTTAAGGAAGGTACAAATCGGTTTTTTCATCTCTCTTTACCAAACTCCCCCTTTGGAGAGGGATGGTGAGGGGTGTCCCCCCCCCCGCCACCACTGGCAAAAAGAGATGAAAACCGACCCGTTCAAGTACCAACTGTGTGTTTGAAACAGTTCTACCGATTTTTACCGCACTTCAATTGTTATTTGAAGGAAGGCATCCAGTCGTAGGTTTGGAAATTGCAACTATTGTGCGGTAAAAATCGGTAGAACTGTTTCAAACACACAGTTGGTACTTGAACGGGTCGGTTTTCATCTCTTTTTGCCAGTGGTGGCGGGGGGGGGGGGGGGGGACACCCCTCACCATCCCTCTCCAAAGGGGGAGTTTGGTAAAGAGAGATGAAAAAACCGATTTGTACCTTCCTTAAAAGTTGTCCTAGTTCGTTATTCTAATATCTATATACAATCTTCACACTGCCGTACTCTAACGGAACTATCAACTCTATGCTTTCATCTACTCCATCTATCGTATAAAAATTACCACTACAGTCTGTTATTTGAAATTAGCATCTTCAACTATGTAAAATTATGATTTTATCGTTTTTACTGAATTTTCAACGTTACTATTCACTGACTACATTAAAAATAGTTTTACAAAATGTATTGTTTCTAAACAGTTAAAATAATAATCTGTCGAACTTCAACTTCGATTTTCTCAAAATGGTGGATTTGTTACATTGGTCTATTTGAAAAGTGACGCAAGAAATGAACAACATCGACATTAAAGAGCCTGAATTTATAAAGAGGCGACATCTTATCCATTTGACAGGTCTTCTGCTCGATTGGAATGACTTTTCCTATGACTTTGACAGACAATCGATTGTTCCAATTTTGACATGTCGTCTCTTTATAAATTTAGCCTCTTTAATCGACATTAATCCGATCGACTTACACGCTATTTCAAAACTACCAAAATTTGGGTACAATCCACCCAGATCTGTCAAAACTGAACCTATCCAAAAATGGGTAAACTATGTTGGGAGTGACAAGTTGATAAATTAACAACGTCGATCGGATTCAATGACGTTTATATAAGGTCTGGGCCAAAGGGCTTATTGGTGTTAGTGAAATGTGCAAATGGTTAGTGGTGTTCGTAATATATTGCAATGTTTATCTTTTTACACGAAACAGCTGTTGGCAGTGACGTATATCTATCTGTTCTCAGTATGTTGGCAGTGACGTATATCTATCTGTTCGCAGATGTTCAGCAATGTTTACAACATTTTTGCTTCTAACACCAGCAAGCTGCCTGTTGGCCCAGACCTTATATAAATGTCATTGGATCGGATTCATGTCGATGTTGTTCATTTGTCAACTTGTAACTGCCAACAAAGTTTACCCATTTTTTGGTAAGTTCAGTTTTGACAGATCTGGGTGGATTCTACAGTTTGTTTACAAAAGCTTTTGTGCCGTTATCAAATGTTACGCCTGATTTGTCAACTTGTTTCTCTCAACATAGTATACCCATTTTTGGTAGGTTCAGTTTTGACCGATCCGGGGTGGATTCTACCAAAATTTGGGCAGTTTTGAAATAGCATGCACCCATCAAATGAGAAAAAATGTATCCATTAAATTTTTACCCATTTATGAGTAATTACAAGTACAAAAATGAGTAACAGTAATTCATTTGTGAATAACAAATATTCATAAAAGGGTAAATTTTATACTCATTTGATGGCCTTGAAAATGCTTACAGTGTAGCCATTTTGAGCCTCAAAGTTTGATATCAATATTAGAAATACTCAGAGGGAAAGATGGACGGAGATAATGTTTTGAGCCAAATGAACTACCAAAATCTGAGCCAATCGAACATTCCCATTAGATTTTGTCCGAGGATTTCTTATTCTTATTAGATTAAATTTAAGAGTATTGCAATCGAACAGAAATTCAATCACTTTTATGTTTCGTGTGCTTCTCAAATTCAACTAGTTTTTGGAATTAAAAACAATATTCTAACTCTATTGCAATTGTTAATCTCAGTTGGCACCTAGGGGCAAGCCAGCTGTACTCAAAGTTAATATTTTTGCTCCGAGTAAATTTGAGTAACTCATAATTACGCAAAAATTATCAAAGTAGTCTGGCCTTATATTCATCAACAAATACAAACTACAGTGTACATACACATTATGTGTCAGAGGAAGAGGAGAATTATTTTATTATATTCTTGTCACAAATCGTTATTTAATCTATTGAATGCATTAACAGTATGAATCACCCTGATAAGCGTAATCAAAGAACATTGCTTTAAAGGGAAATAAAGTAAAAAATTGATCATCTAACATCCGTATAACCCGGAAAAACGTTCTTTATGAGGCTCCATGCGGTTGGCAAATCAGAGGTTCTGCATGTCTACAATTGCAAATTGCAGTATCTTAAATAAGAATGAATAAGTTGAGAATTCAAGATGTATGGGACCTTTGCTTGTTTTGATTGAAACATACAATTTTAAATACGGCTTTACGATGACAATGCATTGCTTTTCTTTTAATCTCGGGTCGAACTTAGTGGCAAATAGAATTGCTTATAGATATTTTTTCTGAAAATCATGACAACCAGCAATCAAATGAATTCCAGAATTATTTTTCTAGCATAGACTTCTCTGAATACCCAAGTGTTAGTGCAAAACTATGAGGTTGCTGCCTCAAAGATTAGTAGTAATTCTTGGGCATTCAGACAAAAGTCAGAGATTCAAACTGTACTTTAGCAAATTGCTCGTATTTTGAATCTGCAAATGCAAATGGTCAACGTCGACCGATAACAGGCTGTACTAGATTCGGATGAAAACGGCACGCAAAAGTAGGAAGGTCATGGGATCTATGGATCGTTATCCAATGTAAACCACCTTTTTCTCTCTTTATGTATGCAGGTATTCCAAACGTTTTTGTTTGACAGTTGGGGAATAATCACAAAAAGGTTGCTTTGTTACCGTGCATCGCATGTTGAGCAACTCGAGTTGCTCAGAGTTGCTCAACATTAACTCAAATATTACTCATGATCAAAAGCTGTCTGTCCCCAGGGTTGGCACCAAGAAATGTGCAAAATATTGCGATGCAATCAATTATTATTTTGCACGTAAATCGAATCAAAAATAAAAGTCATGTAAAATGCTAGCTTCTAGCAAGGGTTGCAAGATAATTTAGGTACAAATCCCTGCTGCCGAATTGTATTTTGTTTTCTCCGTCCATCTCTCCCTCTGAGTATTTCTAGTCAATATTAGGTATTTTGCGGTTTTTTTTCCCTCTGTTCGGGACCAAACACTACTGCGATTAGTAAATTGATCTATTGTAGTATATCCCGTGTCCTAAAAAGAACAATTCAGCGACTGAATTCAATTGACTCAAGGCATTTTCTTTCCATAAGAAATTTACTCATATTTGGAAAAACCTGCAGTTACTATAGCTTATGAGTAACTACAGGTATTTTTTTTTTTCAAATATGAGTAAATTTCGTATGGAAAGAAAATGCTCTGAGTCAATGGATCAATGTGAATGATGAGGTTTTGACAAAACTATGCTGTGGCTACCACAGTATTTTACATTTGATCGACCATATACAGTAGCGCCAAACGCATACTGTGGTGGGTTCAAAACATTGACCATCTAAATTGATCACGGTACTGACATCAAGTGTTTCCGCTGTGGGATTTCACATTTTTGACAGTACCCTCTTAACTGGTCTATAAATGTACACTGTTACTGGAAAGTACCCATAAATGTGTAATTGTTACCCATTAGTGGGTAAACGTTACTCATTAATGGGTAATGTTTTACCCATTTAATGGGTTAACCTACGTAACTTCAATATGGGTGAAATTGTACTCATTAATGGGTGCTATAATGTTAGAGTGTATGGCCCATAACAAACTTACAATACATACAAACTTTGCGGCTGTATTGCATATTTTACAGCTGTCGCTTACACCGCATGTATTAAGGGGAACGGCGGAAATTTCCCCTACCCGATGTTGCTGTTGTGTCGCGTGGGTGTACTTCAAGTAGTGAGTAAAGGGCCCACAAACCGTTTTCAAATGTTAGCACTGAATTAACCACTTTGTCAAGCAGTTTTGGCGTGACTTTCCACCAGCGATTTCACTAAACTGAACCAACTTATTTCTATTTTTTATGAAACGCTGTCTACTGTTGGCTACTTTTCTCGTGGTTCTAGAAGAAAAAATCTCAAAATAATGTTTTATTTCAAAGTTCGAGTGGTAGTAAACGTCATTGAAGTGGTTAATTGAATTCAGTCGCTGAGTTATTCTTGTTGGCCGTGTGTCAAATTTTCTAAAGGGTACAAAGATGAAAAAACTGTTGCAGCTGTCAGTGGCACGTGAGTAGTTTGTTTACGTTCAGTTAACGTTGTTGTTCAAAGGGTATACAGTTTGTGCAATTAGCTGCCTGTGAATTTAATCGGTATCTTTCTATTTTGTTTCATAAATAGGTGGCAAACTGTTTGAAAATGTTCAAAAACAGTGCTAAAGTGTTAACTCGATTATGCAGCTCAACATATAACATCAGTATACGGAAATACCGTGAGTATTTCGTCATTATGTAACTCGGTCAGCGCATTGATTTTAATAATATTCATTTTAAATTATTAATTCAACAGTTTACACTAAAAACTCCCATTTCTCTCTCAATAGCGGCTCATCCGAAACGCCATTACCGCAAAACCGGCGTTGTCACCAGCAATGGCAAGTTCGAAATCACCCTGGACCAACGGAAGTTGAAAACCCCTAAAGGGGCTCCCTTCTTTGTGGAAAGTGAACCACTGGCCATCGCCATTGCGACAGAATGGGACGCTCAAAAGGACATTATCGATCGATCCCGTATGCATCTGACGGCTCTCAGCAGCACCGTGATTGACAACCCGAACAACCTAAAGAAAACGGACATTGTCAACTATCTGGTGAATTACACCAGTACCGATGCCATTCTGTACCAGTCGAGTGTAGGTTCACTCATCTTTGGATTAAACTCTAAACTTAAACCCATCTTTTTTGCAGGAAGAGAAACGTCTCAAAGACCTACAAGTGGCTGAGTGGAACCCGGTGATCGAATGGTTCAACAAGCGTTACGATGTAAATCTGGAGCCAACAGATGGTCTGGAGGTTCCAACCTTCGCTCCCGGCACGGTAATGAACGTGAGTCGCTATCTATCATCGTACAACGAAGCCGCTCTGCAGGGATTCATGTTCGCTGTTGACACACTGAAATCCGTCATTCTTACCTGTGCTTGTGTCGATCGATTCATTACTCCCGAGAAAGCAGTCTTGCTGGCACGGTTAGAAGAGGAATACCAACTGGGCCACTGGGGCCGCGTTGAATGGGCTCACGATATCAGTAAATTAGATCTGCAAGCCCGGCTCTCGGCTGCGATACTGTTTGTGTACTTCAATTCGAGTAATGCTTTTGTGAAACAGAAAATGTCGATCTAAATAAACAAGCAGTAACGAATATGTAGTCCATCAAAAGGCTGTCATCCAAGCAATATTTGAAATCTTTGTGAAGTAAAATGCAATTACTTTAATTATCTACTAAACTTACATATCCGTTGAGCTCTAGCTCATACTCGAAGCGAGTGCTATCTTCCTTCGTTCCTTCGCTTCCTGCCATTCCTTGACAAAAAGATCGTACTGCCGTTGGCTTTTGCACACGATTATCAACGATCGCGGCCGGCAACCAATCTCCTGCAGCTGTTCCATACGTTTTTTGGTGGTTTGCAGGCTGTGCATCAGGATCCTTGGATTCAGCGCAATATCGTGCGGTGTGTAGTCCAATTCCTCCAGCAGATAATCGATCACCTTCTTCACTTTTGTCACTCGTACGTTCTTCACCGAAGGAGTTTTGAGGAAAATTGAATTGGTTACGTCCCGATCGAATCCCAGCCTCTTTCCAAAGTACTCGACAATGGTTTCGTTTTCTCCCAGCAGTTTCCCGTTTTCTTTCGTTAGCTGCAAGGATTTTTCCAGCACGGTATCCGGACAACGAACCATCCAAGGCATCAACTTTTTACCACGAACTTCCTTTGCCCGAGCTATTCGTTCCGATACCACCGCCGGGGAATACTTGAAAGCCCACAGATCGGCTAAAACATCCTCGCTGTCCATGTGGGCGATAAATTGGTCCAGGTTCTCCATGAAATTTTCATTCGGAATGCGGAACATAAAGGTCCTTCGAGCAAATTGTGTCGCCACTTCCTTTGCAGGAAGCCCCGTTTTATCGGTAAAATGGTATATGCGATTGCTTTCATTTGGTAGACATTCATTGTTCATAGTATTAACAATTCTCGTCAACTGATAAGGTTTGAGCGTGCACAGAGGAATCACATCATTCAAATCTCTCAACCCCTTCAAATTGGACAATGTTTGAAGTTTTGTGGCGAGCTCTTCCTTTTTCGCAACCAGCACTGAAGGATTCTGCAAAATAGTATCCTTTCTGATTTGCTTTTCAAGCAGTTGTTCAACGTTCTCCAACAATGGCACAGCTCCTTTGCATGCATCGTAGCAGGTTTTCGCTTCTTCCTCAGTACACTCCAGCAAATTTTCCATCCTCTTTAGTACGTGATTTTCGAACCATACCTCTGTCAAAGGGTCCTTAAATGAAGGGTCAGCGCCTTTTTCAATCACCTTTTCAAATGATTTTTCCAGAGCGAGGTTTGGTGCTCTAACCATCCACGGTTTAATCTTCTGCAGGGGGGAATTCTTCAACATCCGCAGCCGTTCGACAATCGACGAACTGGCGTATGCTAAAATCGATAAATGTTTTACGACATCCTGCGGTTCCATGTGCTGAAGACAGTAGTTTAGGTTCTGCTGAAACTTCTCCAGCGCCACCTTGTAGATACGAATACTGGTGGCAAAATAACGAGCAATCGTTTCCACATCCACACCCGTCTTGGCCTTCAAATAATAGATTCGATTCCCGTGCTCAATACTTTCATTCTGGGATATTTCAACCACCTTCTCTAGAATATCTTGCTGAACGTTTAAAAATGGCACCAGATGATTTATGTCTTCCAAATCCCTGAAATTCTTCAGGTAATCCAGCTTTGCACTCAACTCATCTACAATCATAGAAAAATACCACGTTTTAGTGAGTTAGGAAATTATTCAACTCAACCTAATCGTACCGTTTCTTATTGACAAAATTTTCGGATGATTCAGTATGGACCTCTCGCTTACGCCACGCTCCAGCAGCAACCGGATGTTGTCCGTGATCATTTTTGGAGGTATCGTCCTGAGCGTTTTCTTGTTTACCTTATACACCCGCTCCAAGTCAGCGGAACTGCAGTGAAGCAGCGCATTGATACGGCTGAGCAGTTCTTCCTTGTTCCACAAGGCCGTTGCACTTTGGACCTTAAGCGGGTCGCTGATTGATTCGACTCCTATTGGGAGATCATCCTCCCGGTTGCAATGAGCGATCTGTGTGCGAAAGTTCTGCCACTGCTGATGACGCAAGCCACATGATGCGGCACGGCTTAACGCAAGCTCCGACAGGCGATGAATGCATCGTGTGTAAAAGTAGGCAAATTTTAACATTGTGATTGGGATACACTTTTGATCAATCAATGAATCATTTTATCAACTCAAAATCACAATTTAAATGATTATGCGAAATCAAAGTAAGGACGTGCGGTAGCGTGAGTCGTGATTGCCCCGATTGCCCATTAGGAGATACATCCAAAATGTTATGTCAAAAATAAAAACAACAATAATCCCTTCAGTTTTTTTTTCTTGTTCTTGTATCGTGCACGGAGAAACGAAACAACTCAAAATCGAGATGAAAAAAAAAACTAAAAATAACAATACAAGGAAAGACGAAACAACTCAAAATTAAGTCTATCCAGCTTTCAATAGACCTTTTTGACGTTTAATCGTCTTTCTCTATCTAGCACACAGGGATGAATGGATGGTTTGTTTTCCCACTAATCTGTTTCCCTCTTGCTCACACTCCTTCAATTTAAGTGGTACATTAGTGTACGCCGATTAAACGTCAAAAAGCTCTATGCTCGGTAATAGCGGCCTGTTTGTATGAATAAATGTATCCTTCACTGTGCTTTTTGACACAAACTGGAGGGCGAATGTTGTTCCATTTTCTTCTGTTCCTGGGAGAGGGAAAGGGAGGGTTCAAAATCCGAACATCCATATAGTGTCAAAAAGCACAGTGAAGGATACATTTATTCATATAAACAGGCCGCCATTGCCAAGCATGGAAAACTGGATTGTATACTCATCTTGACACCCAAGTGCATCCAGACAAAATTGAGTTCTTTGGTAAATATTATTAAATTTTAATTATTTTTCAAAGACATTGTTTTGAAAAAAAAATGTAACTGCTGCATAAGGAGTGAGTATTAGGCTAAAAAATCATAACATTGGGTCATTATCTAAGGATTTTTGTTTTTTTGCAAAATCAGGTTTTAATTGGTTTTCTTTAATATTTAAAATAAGTATGTACTATTAAAAATAAAACATAGAATTTTTCGTTCGTATTTGACAGCACGGTAACCGCAAGTAATTACAACTACAAAAAATAAGTAGTAAGTATTGATTTTTTAGTAACAAATACTCATAAATGGATAATATTTTTACTCATTTAATGGGTAGTCCCAGTCTCCCTCGAAAATGCTTACTTTGTAGTCATTATTGGGTTTTTTGCGGTTACTGCGTGGATCTATAAACACGGTAACCGGACTATAAAAGACTCAATATTGACTAAAAAGTAAGCATTTTCGAGGAAAACTGGGACTCCCCATTATATAAGTAAATTGTTAACCCATTTATGAGTATTTGTTAGCTAACTCAAGGCGTGGTCACTACACACTTATTTTACGCCATATTTTTTCTCAGTGTGAATCATGTGTGCCGTGCTGTACCAAGAGGTGGCAACAGTACATTTTTTGCAAAACCATCGTCCAGAACAAAACAAAACAGCCAGCACACGGGCAGTCGTGTATTTCTACATTTCAAGCAAACGGCGTAGAAAAAGAATAGGAAAAATGTCGTAGCCCATTATTTTTCAAACAGTTTACTGAAATTACATTTTAGCTGCAAGCTTACGTGTGACAGTAAATTATCAACTCCCTTATTTACGCATAATTTTAACATTTATGCTTATGAGTGGTTAGTATTCATTCTTATCTTATAATTCCATGCAATAAACCTCAAATAAATGCTATAATTAGTCAGAAATCGGCAAAATTCTACATGACATAAATTTATGCCGCACGCGCCGCTGGTCTTGGCTGCTTCATTGTGCGAAAATGTTCTGTCGCCTGCAGAGAACAGTTTAGAAATGTCATGACATTTTTCCGCTTGCCAGTTTGTGTTTATGTGTCTTCTCTACACAGCAAAAGAAAATGTAACATCGATCAATGTAATTCAAGCTGATGTATGAAATAATGATGTAATAGCAAAATGCAGATACAATATTACATCAATGGATGTAATTTTGTTCGCAAAAGCGATGTACATCGTACAACGTTATATTACATAACCGATGGATTGACCTGGTTGCAGCAGTTTGGATGTAATATTCAACAACTTTTTTTTTCTGTGTATGGTCATTGCACAAAGTATCAAATGTTAAAGAAAAAACGTTAAACTCCAGTACTCGTGCCTGCCACCACTGACCAAGAGTGTCATGCCATAGGACTGATTTTTTTTTGTGAATAATTCAGTGTCAACATTTCAAAGGGGCGTAATTGTTTTTGTAAACAATGGCTTTAACCGTAGATTTCTCGCGAATTAAAGCTCACCCCTCCAAATTAACAATGCTTGCTGGTAGAGGAAACATTGCTCTACTTGTTGGTTTTATTAATTTTCATGTGTGAGCTTTTATTCGCGAAAAATCGACGGCTAAAGCCATTGTTTACAAAATCAATTACGCCCCTTTGAAATGTTAACACTGAATTCTAGATAGAGCAGGAATTAGGGCGTAACAGCTTTTGTAAACAATGACTTCTGTCGAAGATTTCTAGAAATTCAAGGCAAGTCCACGCAAACCAATGGAACCATCGGGTAGTGGAAGTCTTACCCTATCCGATGGTGATGTTGATTTGCGTGGACGAGCCTTGACTTTTTAGAAATCATTCCGAAAAGTCATTGTTTACAAAAGCTGCTACGCCCTAATTCCAGCTCTATCTAGAATTATGATGTTTAAAAAAGAATTCACATTATTCCTATTATGTTAAACGCTCTTCATGCTAACTTGAAAGTTTCCATTAATGTGTAAAAATACCCATTTTGAAAATACCGACTTAACTCATTATATGAGATTTTTTACCCATTATCTGTGACCCATTGATGAGTAACTGTAAGTCATTAATGCAGTGCCAACATTTCAAAGGGGCGTAATTGCTTTTGTAAACAATGGCTTTAGACGTCGATTTCCCGCAAATGAAAACCCACTCATCCAAATAACAAATGCTAGCTGATACAGGAAACATAACTCTGCATGCTGGTGTCATTCATTTTCATGAGTGAGCTTTCATTCGCGAGAAATCGACGACTGAAGCCATTGTTTACAAATGCAATTACGCCCCTTTGAAATGTTGGCACTGAATGGGTAACAGATACTCAATAATAATTATAATAATAAATTATTGGTAAAAAAAAGGGCTCATTAAGCCACTTTTCTTCAAAATGGGTATTTTTACCCATTAGTGGATACCTTCAAGTTTGTGTGTTTGCCAAAAAGAAGTCCCCGTTGGGCTGTGGATTTGGCAACACAGCTTGTGTGATTGCTTTGTGTTTGCCTCAGCGAGGAATGAAACATTTTTGCGCATTTTATAGAAATTTTTCTCGTGATTTTTCACAAATCGAGTGCTATTAGTATAAAACGTAAACTAATATTGAAGTAAGTACTTTCAATTGAATTTGCCTGACAAATGATCAAGGAAAACCTTTATCAGAACGGAAACCATGGAGGAACACATCTACAACAATTTCAACCCTACGCGCTGCAACATTTGCTTCACCCGGACCATCGATCACCGGCTGACGATGGTCGGCCAAAAGATGCGTTATTGCAAGGGCTGCCGGTTAATTGGATACTGTGGCGAGCAGCATCAAAAGGAGGATTGGAAGAATCACAAGGACTTCTGCCGTGCCGTAACGAAGATCCTGACGATGAAGAAAATCGATCACATCATCGAAGTGCGGAATGAAAGTGATAAGATTATCGGTGGAACCAGACGGGATTTAGAATGTGCCATTTCATTGGCTGAATGTCTAACCATTTCGATGCTGCAGAGAAAGCTCCTTCAACATGAGTACACTTTGTTGCGGTTTCCGAACATTTGCCATGTGTGCTTTGAATATGATATGAGCAAGCTCAAGGCTTGCGAGGGGTGCAATCAAATCTTCTATTGCAGCGAGGAGCATCGTCTGCAAGATGTTCGGAAGCATACACAATGGTGCGAAATGTACCGTATTAATCTGCTACTCGATGCCGGTACGTAATATTTGAAGTAAATATGATTAACGTTTTGATTAATTACTAATCTGTACTCAGATTATCCTACTCGATTGGAGATTTTTGGTTTCCCGAAACTTAACGCTTTCAAGCGGGTGAAATTCCCAGAGGACACTTTCGAGCTGGTTAACTTAGCTTACACCGGCAACATCCCCAGCACACCGCAATCCGTGAAGGATTTCAATGATCTCAAGTTCATTTCGAACTACTCCCACATCAGTACAATCTTGTACGCACTGAATGTCACCAACATGAACGAAGAACTGAAGCAATCGCTTGTCATCTACGTCGTCGGCGCTGAAGACGAAATTGTATACTTCGATTACAACACCTGTTCGGTTATCTTCACATACATACCACAGATCCGTGACGTGATAATCCACTTTATCGGACCTGCCCTCAGTTCCATCAAAGACGAAATAGAACTAAATTACGAAGGCACCCGCTCGGTTAAAATGTACTACCATAAAGGGTTCTACCACACGTTGGAACCTCTGGAATCGATGGACCGGCCTCAGATCATCGTAAGTTACAACTGTGGCTTCCATGAGCATATCGATTCCACCAAGGACACCTGGACCCATACCCTAGCACGGTTGATCCGGTTTGTTAATATTCCGATTGTGTTCACTTCATATACGCAAGAGGAAGCTTGCCAGGATTGTGCAATAATCTATAGCATTGGCAAGCGGTCGATTAAGAAGAAGGAGCTCGTGTTTGTAAAACGGGCAACCGCCAATCCCTACAAGGATTACAAACCGCTGCGTAACACAAACTACATTGACGATTGCGACGAGCTGTACTATTCCAATGGATACATCAGTCTGGTGATTAGCCGCGTGCCCTGAGCTGTGATGGCATTTGGCCCACGGTGTTCCTTTCTTGGAAGCATTCCTTGTGTTGCATTTAGTACAAAGTAGTAAGTGCCGGATCTAGTTGTTTTTACTGTTTATATTTTCTCATGAATTTTATACGAATGATTGGAAACGTTTTGTTCGAGCTCACGGAGCATATGTGCTAAAGTGTAAATTATTTCTGTGTATACTTTTATGAATTCTGTTTCTAATAATTGAAGAGTATGCCAATGTAAAAGTGAAGCTTAAAAAGTAACTAAGCTGAAGAAGTGTATAACTGCTTTCATTTACTTCGTTAATATCCGAAAGCATGCCACCAAACTCTTAATTGACACACTAATCAGCTTATCAATGTTACGAACAATTCAGTGGATTCGCAAGTTGCGCGCCATTCCGTTAGGTGGATCAATATGGTGCTGCGAAGCTGGTGGACAAGATGCGGTTGTACGCCGATTTGTACGGTGCTCCATTCCTGCCAGCACAAGTTCTGGTTGATATGACGAAGGATCCATCGACGAAAGTTTACCCTAGCGAGTGAAGCATCGATGCGTAAGTAAATTCCATCATATTACAATTGTTAAGCTGGAATGTTTCAATCCGAACGACACAGATGTTTGATTGTTTTGCAATCTCATCAATATTTTCAAACGAAAAACATGCCTGAGCATACTTTAGTGGTCCCATTTTGGTGGTTTATCACATTTTTTTATATATACCGTGTGGTGCCTGTTCACCGCTCACTTTAGAGCATAATCGTTAGTAAAATTATATATGCTGTGTCATATGACTTCCGTAGAGCTGACCATCGCAGTATTGTCCATGTGCTGTCTAACCTAGATTGGGAGCATATTCTAGATCCTGTAGACGTCAACATTGCTGCACAAACCTTTTCTCACGTCTTGGCATATGTCATTGACAGGCACGTTTCCAAAAAGATCATCCATATCGACTCTCGCGTCCCGTGGATAACGAAAGATCTTCGCTCGGTGAAAAGAACTAAGAAGACTGCTCTCAGAAGATTTACTAAATTCCGCACACTGTCGCTGAAATGCTACTATGTCAGACTCAACCACGCGTATAAGCGTTTAAGTCGTCTCTGTTTTCAACGCTATCAAAGGAGGATTCAACGGCGGCTAAAATCACACCCGTAATCCTTCTGGAACTTCGTAAATGAGCAACGCAGGGAAGTCGGCTTACCCTCTTCCATGATTTTTAATGGTGAAACTGCTGGCAATCAACAAGACGTTTGCAACCTGTTCTCAGCCAAATTTGCTAGTGTGTTTGAAGACGAGCAACTCTCCGCTAATCTCATTACTTTCGCGGCCAGTAATGTTCCTTTGGTCAACCAAACGCTCAGCGTTGCCTAAGCCACTACAGATACGATTTCTAGAGCAGCATCTAAACTTAAGACTTCAGCTAAGGCTGGACCCGATGGTTTTCCGTCGATTATTCTTAAAAAGAACATCATTATTGTCTTTTAGATCCACTGCGCCGCATATTCCAGCGCTCTCTTTCCAGTGGCATCTTTCCGTCTTGCTGGAAGACTGCGGATATGTTTCCTGTTCATAAAAAGGGAAGCAAACGCGACGTAAACAACTACCGGAGAATCACGTCACTGAGTGCTGTATCAAAACGAAACCGAACTTTTTGTCAGTGCGAACCTCAACCTGAACTGGGTTTTAAAAACAAACGATCAAACTGACGTTTGTCAGAAAACAAGCAGACCCAATCTTGATACCCGGTCCAGGTTGGAACTGAATAATAAACGAATTCGCTATAAGTATAGATCAACACGGATTTTTAACTGGGCGTTCCACAACTACGAACCTGCTGTGCCTAACGTCTTACATCACAAACAGTTTGATTGCTCGGACACAAACGGACGTTATCCACGAAATTGTGATCGCTAAGCTTGATAGACTAGGGATCGGTGGAAATCTTTTGAGATGGTTTCGTTCATACCTCACGGAGCGCCAGCTGACAGTAACTTTGGGTACTTGTCGCTCAGCAAGCTTCTGTTTTATTGTTTTATTGTTGTTTTACATCAACAGGCTGGATGAAGCCCCAATGATGTTAACCTTATCAACTATAGCAAAAAAAAAAACATTCAACGGCGCCGGTGGTGTAGTGGTAAGCGTGATTACCTCTCACCCCAGCAGGCCTGGGTTCAATCCCAGTCGGCGCCGCCGGGATGTTCTGAGGCATAACATCTCTGATCACGCCTTCCTTCGGATGGGAAGTAAAGCCGTTGGTCCCCGGTTCATGAGTTGATGGGTCGATAGGTAGGGTCCAGGTGTGGGAGCTGCCTTCCTGGCACGTCGGTAGCATTGGTGCTCAGCACGGAAAACAAGATCGACGGAAAAAACAAACCAAAGGAAAAAAAAAAAAAAAAAAAAAAAAACTCAAGCATGGTCATAACATAAAAAACATATATCTTATAGTCAGTTACTCCTGCCGGCGAAAAACAGAAGAAAACTTTCGACGAAGCGCATCACGGGAGAGATGAAAGTCGAAAACAGATGCAACTCTGTTGAATGTTCTCTGCAATCCGCAAATCGCACCGTGTGCTCCATAATTTGTGCGACGTAGAGGCAGTCTTAGCATAAGGTTATTACGAAGCGGTCGGGGTTGAACATTCAGGTCAATTTGCCTCAGGATAGCCTCGCAATCTGTCCTTCCTTGCAGGATATCGGCCACGGTTAGGGCTCTGCTTGTGTCTCTTCTAGTCCGGAGCAGTTCTAGGTCGATAAGTTGACAACGGCTTTCGTAACTGGGTAATCGAAACGGATCATTCCAAGGCAATCTACGGAACGCAAAACGAAGAAAGCGACGTTGAACAGATTCAATTCTCTCGGCACCGTTGTTGTAGTTTGGATTCCAAACCGCTGAACAATACTCAAGCGTCGATCGAACAAGCGAACAATAGAGAGATTTTAGACAGTAGATATCAGTGAAGTTTTTAGCTATCCTAAAAATGAACACTAAAGTTCTTGACGCCTTATCAACAACATATGCAATGTGTTGCTTGAATGAAAGCTGCGAATCCAAGATCACACCCAAGTCTTTCACCTGATTCACGCGTTCGATTGTCGAGCCAAGCAGGTCATAGCTAAATATTATCGGTTGTTGTTTTCGTGAGAACGTAATAGCGGAGCATTTGGCTGGGTTCACTACCATTCTATTTAACCTGCACCAACTAGCGAATACATTCAGTTGACGTTGAAGAAAGTGACAGTCAGCAATGGAGCAGATTCGTAGGAAGATTTTGAGGTCATCTGCATATGATAACCGAGGAGCTTCGATGACCAGATGCACGTCGTTGAAGTACAGTATAAAAATTAACGGTCCCATGTGGCTTCCCTGATGTGGCGAAGAAGCTAGCTGATCTGCAATCTCCTATGGCAACCTTTAGTTGCCGACCGGTAAGATATGATCGAAACCGACTCAGAAGATTACCGCATACACCGAGCCTGCCGAGTTTAGCAATCGCAAATACCATGGTTCAACTTGTCGAATGCTGCGGATAGGTCTGAATAAATAACGTCCGTTTGAACCCGATCCGACATGCTTTCGGTAATATACGATGTGAGACACAGCAGATTGGTGGTTGTAGAGCGACCGACAGTAAACCCATGTTGATCAGCACTCAAATACTGCTTGCAATGGGACAGCAACGGTTCCATAATCACTAGCTGGAATAGCTTCGAAACGACACTTAACGATGTAATTCCTCGATAGTTATCCACAGCTCGTTTCCTTCCTTTTTGACGTAGGACTACGTCTTTGATTTCTATATGGGGGTACACTTTGTGAAAACCGAAAATGGAACATGTAACAAATAAAGAAAGATTTTGAACGTTAATAACTCAGCTGCCCCTGGTTCAATTTCAATAATTTTATCACAAACGATCAGAAATATGGCTACGCATCGATAGCAATGCTTCCGAATGTTGATTTTCCACAAGAAACTATTGAAAAACTGGTAAATGTCCAGCATTGTCGAAAAGCATCGAAATAACTAACAAATCAACCAATTACCTACATGCATATGCTGCTTCCCCAGCACAGTCGTCAGAGAGTAGTAAGTAGACGAAACAAGTCGAAGTGGCATTCGCCTCCGATCCTCGGGCGCGTGTGAGTAGGGAGGATGGAATTGCGTAATATTTTGCACACTCATCGCCATATTCAGAACCAATCGCAAATTCTTCAAGATAACCACCATCCGTCGTCTGGTGTCTGACGTATCTCCGGTCTGATTTACGAGGTGTGCTGAATGTGTTCCTGAAAAATGAGTTCCGTGATGCTGTCACCTACACTAAACACGCCAAGTGTAAGCGGCCATGGATGTCATCTACGTTTTGAAGTGACAGAGACGCACTCTGTTTGGATTCGGAGGTTAAATCATCACCAACTTTGGAAACAAAACGGCTCTTTTCAGGGCCACCAAGCTTATTACAGTAAAGAGTAGGAATATAATTCATTTGTCTGCACAGCAAAAAAATAATTTTGATATCACATCAAAGTGGATGCACTACAATCATGTCGAAAATTTCATGTAATTTTTATGACCACATATATAAACAAATGCAGTAAAAGCAGCGTAATGTCAGTTCATGCATTGTATTAATGATAATTTTGTCCTTTTTAGCAAGTAATATTACACCATATTTTCGACATGATTGTAGTGCATCCACTTTGACGTGATATCAAAATTATTATTTTGCTGTGTGTTTGTCCATATTCAGAACCAACGATCACACAAAATGCTCATGTAATCAAACTGGAAGCAGGGGTACAAATTATTTTGATCAACCTTGATCAACTTTGAATCGCCACGGCCGGATATTTTCGATGGAAAAAGCAACAATCTAGCATCTAATTCGACGAAAACGTCAGGAAACATTTGTGAAGCCGAGTTATTTACGAAAGAGAGTGTCGATGAAGAGAATCGATCAGTGTAGATAGGATCTATTGAAAAGTGACGCGAAATTTGTTTCCCGTACTGAGCTCCAATGCTACCGACGCAAGGGAGGCAGCTCCCACACCTGGACCCTACCAATCGACCCATCAACTCAACCGGGGACCAACGGCTTTACTTCCCGAAGGAAGGCGTGATCAGAGATGTTTTATGCCTTAGAACATGCCGGTGGCGCCGAATGAGATTGTACCCAGGCCTGCTGGAGTGAGAGGTAATCACGCTAACCACCGGCGCCGATATCTTTCAAGGTGATATCACGGCGAATGAGATCGACCCAAATTTG